CATTAGTCCATAGCAACGTCCCTAGCAACGGTTTGTTTGGACCCAGCCGCCTTGTTGCGACGTCATCACTTACGGGGTCAATTGCCAGTTATAGTCACTTGGAGTCATCCACCTCGTTGCTTAGAGCCAAGGACATCTAATAAGTAGTAGAGTAGTAAGCTGAGCGATTTGGTACACGTTGAACATGGTTAAAAATCGTGCACTGAGACGTTTGTCCTCGTCTCTTTGTGCGCAATTTTTAACCATGTTCGACATCCAATAAGACATGTTTCGGTAGGAATAAAACAAATAAATCAACAAACTCAGAAAAGGTTATTATTTAGATTGTACAAAATCGCTGCACAAATCCTGACTGGTCTATACAACACACTGCATTTTGACATCAAAATACCAAGAGGACCAATATCACGAGCTTATGCTCCCTATGCTCTGTCAAAAAAAATTGCGGTGGCTTAGCTCGGCTAAGCCAGGATATACGTAGCGTGAGCTTATGTGCACAAAATGAGAGGCGCTATCAAGCGGCTCCGGTGCAGGGTCAGACTTGGCTACTGTGCAACGGAGGCGCACAGCTGGGCCCATGGCGGCGCCAGTGCGTCTGCCGCGGCTATGACGTCACTCCTCTGGAATGCGCAGACCGGCGAGGTGGGCGCGGCGGCGGCTTTGCGTGGCTCTCATAAGGAGCCGTGCTCATTATGCGGAGCTCCGCCGCCGCCGCCGCGCGCTCCGCATAATGAGCACGGCTCCATTATGAGGGCCACGCGAAACTGCTCAACCTCCGCCAGTGTAGCTAACGCTACAAAAAAAAAAAGTATTTCATAAACTATCAAAATTTCTATTGAGTCAGACCCACTTAATTCATTTCCGGGGAAAGTGGCGAGTCGCCACTTTCCCCGGAAAGTGGCAACTCTTCTTTTTTGAAAAGGTCACGGAAAAATGTCCACCAGTATACACTCTGGTCAAAGCAAACTGGAGAAGTGTTATGTACCGGCGCCACCGGCAGGTGGACTAAGCATGCTAATACTTCGCAGCGCACAACAGACAACACACCATCAAAACAGATACACACAAAGAAACAACACTCACGCAGCGCTGACTGTCAACTCTCGGATATATTAATCTTCGTTCTTATCTTTCACCCTTACGCACTAAAAAAGACTAAGCAGCCGATGCCGCGAGCCTCGTGACAATCGCGTGCTAGTGAGAGCTCGGGCACTTGTTCCTTGACCGAGAACCGCGATGGACGCACCGTCCACACTCTAAAGCTGACAGTAAAGCTTGTATTTATCAATTGGCGACGAGGATGGGACAAGATCAAGGCATTCAGGGAGTTGCCAGAACCTACGTCAAAAGCCACGCTGCAGTCGTTCCTCGGAATGCTCGCATTCTACGACAGGTTCTTAGAAAACCGAGCGACTGTAGCCTGCGAACTCTACAGACTACTAGCCAAGAACGTCCCTTGGCACTGGGAAGAGCGCCATGCCCTCGCTTTCCGGAAGTTGAAAGAGCTAATACTCCGCAAGACAACGTTGGCTCACTACGATGAGTCAAAACCACTGCTTCTGTCCTGTGATGCGTCACCATATGGCGTCGGCGCAGTTCTTGCGCAGGTCGACCACGAGGGCAGGGAAGCTCCAATCGCATTCGCGTCAAGAACTCTAGGGGATGCCGAGAAAAATTACTCACAGCTTGATCGAGAAGGATTAGCAGTGGTGTTTGGGGCGATGCACTTTCACCAATACATCGCCGGACGAAGTATCGTTATTATCACCGATCACCAACCACTGCTTGGCATCTTGGGACCGCAGAAGCCGGTACCACAAGTCTTGTCACCCCGAATGCGGCGATGGTGCGTCAAACTATCGGCGTACGATTACAAACTCGTGTACAGGCCTGGAAAACGACACCAGAACGCGGATGTTCTAAGCCGTCTGCCCCTACCTGACAGTGACGACGAGCCTTGCTCACCGGGAGACGTCCTGATGATTGAAGCCTTGACAAGTTCTCCGCTGACAGCAGAGAAGATAGCAGCCATGACATGCGCGGATCCGATTCTGTCCCGCGTCTACGAGGCTGTGCAGCAAGGCAAGCTTCATGAGCTCACGGAGAAGGTCTTTACCGCGTACAGAAAAAAAGGCGCAGAGATGTCCACTCAAAGAGGATGTGTCATATGGGGATCCCGGGTGGTCATACCAGCCTTGGCACGTCCTGAAGCCATGAATTTAGTGCATGCTGGACACAAGGGAATTGTGGCCATGAAGTCATCTGCACGCAGCTATGTGTGGTGGCCTGGCATCGACCGCGACATAGAGGACGCTGTTGGCAGCTGCCCCATCTGCCAAGAGTCCAGGAAGATACCAAGCAAGGCACCGCTTCCTACGTGGGATCACGCATCACTTCCTTGGGACACGCTGCATTTGGACTTTGCAGGCCCTCTGGAAGGAAACATGTTCCTTGTCGTTGTAGATGCCTACACGAAGTGGCTAGAAGTGCGAAGCATGACTAGTGCCACATCTGCAGCGGTCATCAAAGAACTCCGAGGTATGTTCGCAACTTTTGGACTGCCTCGCAAGATTGTTTCCGACAACGGAAGCGTCTTCGTATCGAAGGAGATAACAGACTTTTATGAAAAGAATGGCGTGAAGTTTGTGACCAGCGCTCCGTACCATCCAGCGACAAACGGCCAAGCCGAGCGCATGGTTTACGAACTTAAGCAAAGTTTGTCAAGAGAGAAAACGGGATCGCTCTCACTGAGAATTGCTAGATTCCTGTACAAACAACACAACTCAGTTTGCAGCTCGACAGGAAAAACACCAGCATTTTTGATGTTCAACAGGGAGCTTGCTACTAACATCAGTAGACTCCTTCCTCGTCGAGAAAGTAGTCACAAGGAACGAGATATGGAAAAGACACCGCCGTCCAGGGTATTTCAAGAGGGACAGGCAGTCTATGTCCTAAACTTCAAAGGAACCCCCAAGTGGATCCAAGGAAAGTTGACCAAAAGACTTGGAATTCGCTCCTGGCTGGTAGAGACAGCAACTGGATCAACCCGCCGCCACGTGGATCAAATAAGGCGTCGATTTACGACATCGACTCCATCGGCTGAGTGGTCTGTTCCTGCTCCTGTTTCGGACTCTCAACACGATCACACTACCGAGAGATCGTCATTTCAAGATAATTCCGAGACGACGCCGGAACATACGACAGACGCCGGAAGCGGAAGAAGGGAGCAACCTCCAAGAAATAGGCACCCTCCAGAACGCTATGGGAGCTACATCTGAGGGGGAAGAGGTGTTATGTACCGGCGCCACCGGCAGGTGGACTAAGCAGCCGATGCCGCGAGCCTCGTGACAATCGCGTGCTAGTGAGAGCTCGGGCACTTGTTCCTTGACCGAGAACCGCGATGGACGCACCGTCCACACTCTAAAGCTGACAGTAAAGCTTGTATTTATCAAGAAGCCAACAAAGAAGAAGCGAACACGTAAATTGTTTGGAAATCGGCGGAGCCTGTTATGCCCTATTCCCGACGTTGTGCTGAAAATGCGACATGTGCGTAAGGTTCTGCTAGACTGGCGGGGAACATTAATTCTGAGTAGAAACTCTGAGAATTACGAAAAAAAAGCTCAATTGCAGCGCTGGTCGAATACCTAAATGCCGACTTTCCCCGAGGTAATGCCACGGCACAAAAATCGCAGGGTATGAGCATTCTCTCGTTTATTAATTTGATTGCCATTAAAGCAATGATTTGCTAAATGCTTCCCTAAGAGAACAGCCCATGTACACACCGTCGATGGGTGCACAACAGTAGACAATCGCTGAGGCAAACGTAGAGCAGGAGAGTGGAACAGCAACTACAACTGGTATTCAGTGGTGGCCATAACTGAGCCCCTCGTTGCCGAGCACTTGGGACGCAATAAGTAGCAGCTCGCTCTGAGCATGCGCCGCGAAGTAACGTATAGTTGGCTTGCGGCGCCCCCACATTGAATGGCGCTCACGCTTTTTTTTTCTGCAACTGAAAAGGCCAGAAGAAAAGAAACGACGGCACGTATCCAGTCCGGCCATGTCCAAGTGAAATACAAGTTTTCTAAATCTAATTGAAGTACTAATTTAAGTACCACACCCCTCTCCCCCTCGTTCCCCAAGCCATGGTGGTCCCAGCAGGTGGTGTCCCAGCCCCCATTCCAAAAAACGTTTATCGTGCTGTGGAGACGGCAGGTGAACATCTCATTTTGACATGTCCATTTCAGATCTTACTTCTGGTGGATGATTTCCATAGCTGGCCAGCTTACCTTGCGCCATGCACCAGTCCTTACATCAAATGAAAATTTTCTTATCTCATCGGATACGCGCTGCTTGTTCATCTGATATCGCAGCAAGATGTCTCCGATTAATTATATTTATTTAAAACTAAAATTGTTCAAACTTCAACCCCAACCCCCTTTCCTCAGAAAAGCACTATGTATCTAGATAAAGCAACACAAGATATCTTGCAAGTAACTAGGCGATTAGTAGGGAGTGCAGCGGTTCACAATTCTGCTTTGCAATAATGCTTGGCTAATCAACGGGAAAGAACAGATATTGAAGTGAATGAACCATTTAGCAGTACACAAGATGAGCAGTGACCAACTGAGCCTTCATTGAAGGAACAGAAAAGCTACTTTTTCAATAAATGTTCGGTTAGTCACGACTGGTCTTGTCCACATCATTCCTCAGTCTCATTTTTTTCTGTGCTGTATTATTATTTTTCCATTTAGCTCAGAAACATTTACAGCATAGCCGTGTTCAAATCTGCATACCAAACCTTTTACAAAAAAAAAAAAAAAAAAAAAAAAACTTACTTTGGTTGATGTGGTACTCTGGTCATTGATCCACCAAACTTCATACTGATGGACGATATTAGCATTTCCCCTTCGAAACAAATTGCAACAGCACACAAACAAAATAAGAAATCCCCCTCAGAACACAGTTCTTCGTTCTGCAGTTTTAAACAAAGATAACAGCAGTCATTGCTTTCAAAGCTTTAATAAGAGGCAACGCAACTGTACAATATTATACAATGTGGATGAGGCTCTGGCACTTTCTCCTCTTCCTTACACTTTTTACATGTGCTGCATAATGCTACCGAACAAAATCTTCGCAGTTCCCCTACCCGGCCTCTTATAAAGACTCTCGTGGTGCTTTCTGTACAACTCTGCCATTAACAGTGCTTTTGACGAGGACGGGACCATCTTTTTGATGAGGTCCTCACCACACATACAACAGGGTTCCCCTTATTTTCTTAAGCAACATCACTCTTCGAAACGACAACAACCAACCTTCGGTTTGGGTGGCCCCGTTGTCTCTACTTTTTGCTGTTTTGGCATAGTAGTTCCTATCTCATATTGCCTTGAATTCCACGCTAGTCCCACTGTGATGACGCCGTGCCCCGGTGGAAACCTAGTTAACGTCGCAAATCAGGCTGTACACCACGTCCACTTCCACCTCATTGCTGAAGAAGAAACCTAATGCTAGCGCTAACTCTCTAAGAGAGGGCCGGTCGGTCGTTAGTCGAACGAAGACGCACGCTCCGTATCGCACCCCTCTTTCGACGCCTTCTCCTACGTACGTAAAATCGAGATGACGAAGAAACTTCTAAAATGCAATCCTGCCAACAAAACCACGAGTAAAAAAACGCAAGAAAAAAAGGTAGACCACATTACTGTTGCCTCTCCCACTGGGATGGATCGTATAAAATTTGCATATGTACAAGAGGTTCCGTTCCAACCCGAAATTCTACTCCGCCGAAAGGGTCAACCGCTTCCGACTCTTTCCCGTACCCCCTCGAATCCCTCGGTTTTGAAATGGCGCTGCCCCGTCGTTTTTCCCCTACAAAATGCTGACCCGTGGTTTTTGTCTGCCCTGGCACTCTCGTCTCTACGTCGGTGGTTACCGTTTCCCCGCCGCTCGTCTAGCAAAAACGAGGCAATCGGAAGGGGACTGAGCCTCGCCTTCCGTTCCTCTCCGTCGTTTCTGTCTCCCGTTGGCTTTTTGCGCCCATCTGTATTGCACCTTGGTCGGCAGACACAAGAAAGAGAGGTCGTTCTTCTTTCTCCTGCTGCGGATCTTGCTACGGGCCCTCTTTGTCTGCAACGACGAATCTTCAGCCTTTTCAGTCTCCGGCGGACAGGCGCCGTCTGAGCTACTCCCTCGACTGGTAGAAGAGGATGTAGCCGGACTCGGAGGTCTTTGGGGTGTCCGACGTCAAGCCGTAGAAGTCCTCGATGGCCGCTGCGTCGATTTTCTGCGTGGTACGCGAGCAGAGAGCCTAGGGTTAGGCTTCTGTCGTCCAAGGGCTCTTAATGGCGGTGGTTCGTTGCTATGCGCTACGCCAGTTACTGACGGGATGAGGACGGCGGGGTTTTTTGAATGCCCAGCCTCCAGACGCGCTTGTTGCCTTTTGTTGCGCTTTGGCTGCGCATGCATGCCCAAAGCTCGAGGGACGTTGAGTGTGTTATCGGACGTAAGATGATCGTGCTGGAGGCGGTGCAACTCAAACTGCACCCTGCTGTCCACATCCTGTCAACGACTCTAATCTCCAACAGCTTGTTGAGGCAGTGCACATGCTCCTTTTCCTTCCTTTGAATTGCCATGGAAAGTTTCCAAACAGTATATAAATTCTTACGGCAGCTACATGTAGCAAGCCAATCAGTGGCCTTTCATAGAATGTTATGGAAGGCAGTAGAGAAACCTTAAATCTAACACATACTACACTTCAACCAAGGAAAACACAAATAGGGGAGATCCAGTATTCTTAGGGAAAGTCCCCTCATTTCACTAAAATCCACGGAAAGTTAGGGAAATAAGAAGGCTTGCCCTATTAGTTATGGGGAGGAATACCATGCGGCGCTACGCCATTGGTTGTGCGCACTATGACGTCAAACCAATGACTGCGCTCTCTTTGTTGACACTCTTTCTCGTCGCCTCGCTACGGCGCGACCAACAGTGACGCAAGCGAGCAAGGACCGTTAAAGGAGTTGTGAAACGTTTTCCCGAAATTCTGAGCTACCTATATACTATGGCTATTTAGAATCCTTGTCCTTTGTTACCACACCCAGATTCATTTGTGTGATTGTCTGTCTACGTTTGGTAGCGCAAGAGAGGTAATATCGGTTTCCCGGGGAGCTTTCCCCTCAGTTCTAAAAAAAATGTGTCACGATAGGTTAACTGGCAGAGAATTTTTGTTGTCTGCGTAAGATGGCAATGTAGACCGGACTCCATGGGCAAAGCCAGAGCATCAGATATCGCTCCAAAAGCAGCGCCATAATGACGTCATGCGTGCAAGTGACCAGATGAGATCCGGTGTATGATATGCTCAGATAAATGTAAAATGGCCGACCTTGTTGAGCTCTAGCTGCTCTAGCGTCGCCTATTACGCCACGGTTGGCTTTTGGGTTTCGAGCCCTACGTCGACACCGTATGTTGTTCATGCTACCGTATGTTGTGTTGCAGACGAGAGTTTGCGAGGGAGTCGTTACCAGCTTAAATTGGTCAAGCTGCATCTCGATACGGTCGTTAAATGACGAGCCACAAATACGTTCTTGCTTCGACCAGAAAAGTGCCGATCCGCTCGCAGAAGCAGCAAGAGAAGGCTGGAAATATAAGCGAAACAAATCACATTTGCATACTTGAGGATCGGCACGTCAAGCTAGTGCGGAGGAAGATTGTGGCAAAGGTAAGTTAACGGAAAATTCACGACCGCCGGCTGTGGGAAATATTGCTGGAAATACCGAAATTAAGGCTAACCCGCAAAAATAAACGGCCCGAAAACGGATGTGCTGAGCGTCTAGAAGTCAGGCACGCATGTCCCTTGAATCCTATTGGCATATTGACTTTTTTATTGCTTAGCTTTAAGTTTTATTTTAATTGTAATCCACGATCAGATCCCACAACTGCAATCCACAACGAGTGAAAGCCGTGGCGGGACGAGCAGCAGTTACGAGGGTCATTAGACGACAGGAGACACGGATGTGTTTGAAACCGAAACAGTACTGCAATCACCTGATGTAGTGGCATACAATTAATACAAGAACGTCCATAAATAACTCAATGTTTTCATCACTCCCAATTTATTATTAGAAGATTAAATAAAGATGAATAAAGATGCCAACAATGCAAGCCCCACGACTTGGTCGTCACGTTTTGCGAAGGGGAGACCGAAAGGAAACGCCTGCTCTTATCTTCGAAATTATGCGGCGACAAAGACGCTTTCTGGTCGGTGGCACTGCGTGCGAGCATACATGGGCCCCACTAAAGCCAGTGAGCTCACGTAAAGTGAGAGACATTCCCAGCCAACAAGGTTGCGCGGCCCCTCTAAACCGGCCCCACTCACGTCGACGATGTCGTCGTCGAAGAGCAGCCAGAGGCCGTGGCTCTTGACTATGGAGATGTAGTGGCCCCGGTTAGGTCCGCTTCCGCAGTGGATCACCACGGCCACCAGGTCGTACATCCGGTCCGGGTTGAAGGCGTCGTCCGACTGCAAGGCAAACGGCCCAAGCTGTCCACCAGCAACGACAAAGTTTCAGGCAGGGAAGACGGGTTCGTCAGGCAGCATGCTACGACGCACACAGAGCCGCAGCCGACCTTAATGCGTTACATGGCTGCCTCGTATGGTTACCCAAAGGAAGAGAACGGCAGGTTGTCTCTTTCAAATGCCTCGGCATGCACTACCCGCGGAGCTCGCGGGTATTGCTTTCCCGAAGTGAGCGAGTACTCTTCGAGAAGCGCATTCGACAAGGCTCACTCGCCGCAATTATGCGAGGGTATGTGTTAGGCAGCAATGTCTCCACAGTCTGCATTCCCATAATTCGCACTTGGGTTTTACAGCAGAGCTGTTAGGGGCTAGTTTCCCCAGGATCGTGTCCGCCAGCAAACAAATGATGACACAGAGCTCTGAACAGCTACCGCCATCTAGGAGCGACGGCGGCAACCAGACAACCGGCTTGCTCGTTGTCTGGTTGCCGCCGTCGCTCGTAGATGGCGGCTACCTTTACAGCCTTTCCACTCTGGTTTGCCGACTGTTGGCCGGCCATTACTTCATTCCCACCATAGTACAGCCTCACTGGTCTTCACCAGAGTGGAAGGCTGAAAGTTCTTTAAAGTGATAGCTTTAAGGAGCTCGTGTCGTGGAAAAGTCGGCGTTGGTGGGAGGGGAAAATCCTGATTGTAATTCATTTGCCTTAAAGAAAAAATGAGAACTGTTTTTTTAGGCGCAGCTGGATCGAACCCACAGCCCTACGGTTGCGAGCCAGACACGCTACCGACTAGGGCACGCAGACACGCTTGCACGGCTCGGGAACGAGCGGGGGTTTATATTTAGCTATTGCATCTACTCTTAAAGGCGAAGCTTAAGTGTCCTCCTGTAATTGTTTTTCTTTTAGGGGTGAAGCTCCTTAGGGTCTAGCCTTGTCAGTCCGGTGTCCGTGCTCACATCGATCTTGCTGGTGCTCGTGCTCGTGAGCTCACGAGCACCTCATGTAATTGTTTTTCTTTTAGGGGTGAAGCTCCTTAGGGTGTAGCCTTGTCAGTCCAATGTCCGTGCTCACATCGATCTTGCTGGTGCTCGTGCTCGTGAGCTCACGAGCACAAGCACATGAGCTCATGAGCACAAGCACGTGAGCACATGCGCACGTGCTCGTGTAGGGCCAAAAAATTAAAATAAAATAAATAAATAAAAGACGATGAAAAAAAAAGCAAAAAAAAAAGCAGAAAAAATGTTTGCGCAGTCGACAGGATTGAAACCTGTGCGGGGAGACCCCAATGGATTTCTAGCCCATCGCCTTAACCACTCGGCCACGACTGCGGGACGAGTAAGGGGCTCTGGGATGTGGTAGTAACTCAAAAGCTGGGGATGCCATGGATGAAACGTTGCATGCAGCCGCTCAACATCTATACAGGAGAAGGCACTGCGGTGAAATCCGTATATAATTGCATTAAACTTTGCATGCATTGGTTCAACGCTTATAGAAGAGAGGGCGCTGTGTTCAAATGCTCAAATGCGTATATAACCACTTTCCATACCACACATTTTCTTTCTGACATGCCTGAAAACGAATGAAAGGCTTGGCATACTGCGGCTCAGCGTCTATGCAGACAAGCACCACCAGAGCTTCGCCCCAATCAACATCATTCACCACGTAGAAATGCGGTCAATTTTTTGGTCAAATTTGAAATAGAAGAATAATTGCATATATGTACATCTTTCCAAGAAACACACAGCACCAGGGACAAGAAAACTTTTTTCGAGCCCACTCCCTGAGTTCGAGGCTTGTCTCTCTCTGGTGTCCTTGCTAACCCTAACCGAGTGGACTAATGATTTCGATGGGCGCAACCTGTGTAGGCGCAATTTCGGACACTACTCTCGGCTAAATTCTCGCCTTTTCCCAGTTTTTTGCCTTTCATGGTGTATGTATTTTCCTGAGGACATTTAGAAAGCATTGAGCTCATTTAAAACAACAAACAAGCTCTAAACTATTTTTGCTAGGTAATGCGCAACAGAACGAATGCGACTGGAATGTTTGTCTTACTTTAAATTGACTTTTGACGCCACTGCCCTTTCACCTGTGTCAATTGACGACATGCTTAGACGTCGAAAATTATTTACAACAGAAGACAGCCGAAAGGCATGGATATTTCACGCACACCGATGACGTGTTCACCGATGTACACGACAGGACTTGAACATCAGATTTAGCAAGTGTCAACATTCAAACAATATACTGTATGTACCACACGGTGCGGCGATATCCAAAAAAAGAATCATTTGAGAAAGATCTCAAATAACACAGCACTACAGTGTCGAAGACCACATCTTGACAATCGTACGGAATCTAAGAGGACCTCGTTTTGAGGCATGTTTTGGGGAGAGCTTCCTTTTTTTGCAACACCAGCACCGAGGCAAAGGAATGAACGTGACTTATCCGCACCAAGTTGCCAATAACCAACATGGCTGTCGTCTGCCCATTCTTATGGTTCTTCCAGTTCTTCTCGTGGTTCGTGTTTTTCTAGTGTGACCGCGAGAAGTGAGGCCATCTGCCATTCTTGTGGACTTAAGAGTGCGAAGGCTTTTTGCCGATAGGCTTAGTATTGATTGAAGCGAGCTTGGTGGACTAAACATTGTCTCCAAATAATGTCAGACGGCACCAACTTCAACTTTGCTGTTTGTGCCAACGAAGGTGCCAACAAAGCGCAGCACCGTGATCAAGCAGATCAACAAAAAAGTGAAAAAAGAACAATATAAAGCAGAAGTTGCACAAGAACTTAAAATTGACATCAGACAAGTGGAAAGTGGCCGATATGCAGTGGAATACCGTATTTACTTGATTCTAAGCACCTCCTTTTTTGCACACCCGCGATGTTCAAAGAGGGGGGGGTGCGTAGATTTGGAACATGCCCTTGAAAATACAAAATTTGGACAAGAAATATAAATTTATTATAACCAAAATGAAAGAATAAATGTTCTAAAAGAAATAAATAAAGTAAAGACTGGAGAGTAGCCCGCTTGCCATCAGTTTGCACCATGGTCAACTAGTCGCTCTCGCGGCTAGTCTGTTGAGGATGATGTTGGGCGCAAGTTTCTGACCGTCGGCGGTGATGCACAACATTACGGTCACCCTTTGCTTCTCATAGCCAGTCGTACCCACTTTTACTTCTCGGGCGCCTACTTCGTTCACAATGCACGTCCTTGGCATGTCGATGTACACAGGGGTCTCATTGCCATTGCCGATCTGCCCAAGTCCGTAGCAAGATTCGCGACGCAGCTTCATCACATAACGTTGGAAGTTGACAAGCTTGTCCTCGAAGTTCACTGGTAGCTTCTGGCGGATAGTGGTGCGGCGTCTCAAAGAGAAACTGTTCCTCTTCATCATCCGCTCCACCCAGCCTCGGCTTATGCGGAACGCCGCACTCCGAGCTGTTCAGCAGCGCCGTGATTTCCGTTGTCTTCCGCATAAGAAATAACCGTTCTCTTCACACTCATGATGGACGACTTCCACAAACCACGTGCACACAGTGAACGGAATACGATTGCGAGGCCATTGCAGACGAATAGGCTTAACAGACTAAACAACCGACTGCAAAAAGCGCAAGGAGACCAAACAGACAAAACATCTTCGATAGAGGGTACAGCAACGCACCCTCTTTCGCAACTTGCACGGATGCGAAAGTGGAAAATGGCGGTATGTGCTGCCATCTATTAACTGACGTTGAAACCAAGCGCCAGTGGCCGTTCGCGACTCTGGCGCTCAGCGATACCGGCGTCTCCAGTCTAAAATTTTTTGTTGGGAGGGGGTTGCTTATCACTAACCAGGGCAAGTGACGGAACACCTGGTTAGTGATGAGATGAATTTTATCAGAAAGGCGGGTAAATAAAGTGTAGCCATGTGTCGGCTTGATGGGAAGATGACGTGTTGTCGGGTCGATTGCTTGTATGTTTATCTCATTTCAAGTTTACTTGCTGAATGGCACAGAAGTAAAAATTCAGTTGTAAGTCAGCGCTGTGTCTGTGTGTTTCCTTTTACTGGTCCTACGTCTTTTTGCGCTGTTTTAACCCATTCAATATGACCATCAACCAACTCACCCAACTTTACACTTTGCTCAAAAAAAAAAAAAAAAAAAAATTTTTTTTTTAGCTAGTTTGCATGAGCAGCGTCGATCACTTGAAGCTATACATACACCTTGTGAGCTAAATATTGTATTTATTAGTTTTTTTAATTTGGAAAAAATGCATTTTACTACACGTAAGTCCTCTCCAGGCCACTAAAACAAAACATTTCTTAGAAGTGCAGTGCAGTGTTGCAAAATGAGATTTAGAGCGCCGGCTTTTAGCCCACTCGCTAAATCTTCTTCAGCGGGGCTAAAAATCTATCCTTCTCAACCTTTGCATCTGTCAAAGGAAGAGGCAGAAAGGTCTATTTCGTACAAATTTTAAGAGCCCTGGAACTTACCATTCTCACCTACAGTTACAGTCGAATCTCATTAATTCAAGCTTGAGGGGGACTGAAAACTCGTTTGTATAAAGCAAAGTTTGAATTAACGGGAGTTTCCTCCTATAGAGACACATAGGATGGGACCTGCATGTTAGTTTGAATTATCCGCAAGTTTGAATAAGAGAGTTTGAATTAGTGAAAGTCGACTGTATAGGCCTTTCCAGATCTACAGCTATAGAAAGAGCTGCTCATTTCCTTTTTTCCAAGTGGGACAACCCTTATTACTTCGGACAGTGTCGGAAATGATAGTCAAAACACCACATCTCAGTCGAGAAAAAACAAACAAGTGCCCAATTAGGACTGTGAGGCTGTACTCTGTTAAAGATTAAGAATAGCAGGACAAGTCCCTCTCACAAAGCTCTCTATGATGAGTTGTTTCCTCCTCTCCAGCATTGCCTCTGCTCAAGTGGAAAGAGTGCAGGGCTTTGTGGGGCGAGCTTCTGATGCCATTCTTAACCTCCAACAGACTATAGCACACTATGGCCGTGCGAACGTGGGAGGACAAGCGGGCACTCACCGTATTGAATAGCCTAAGTTCGAGGGGAAAGACCACCCTGTAGGAGAGCTTGGTGTGCCTGTTCTGCTGCTCCGTGTACTTGAAGCGCTTCAGGTGTAGTGCCAGGATCATGGGAAGCTTCTTCACCCGCATCCTGCACGGGAACGGACGCCAGGTCACGCCAAATAGTGCCGCAAAGTAAAACGAACGGGGTCGAAACTTCTCTACTTTTCTCGGAAATATTTAGCGGGTGAGTGGACTTACGATAAGGTGCATCGAAGGGAAGTCGAGATAATGGTAAGTGATACGGAAATTTTCACGGAGGAATATCCGGATACGCCAGACACCCATGCTAGAAACGCATTGCTGCGACGAGGCATTGCAAACACACATTCTGTGAGGTATATGCGGTTATATCTACCTTAGCTTCCTTCTCAAAGGCTTGAGAAAAATCATATTCTAATTATATTCTACTGAGTAGAATATAATACTTGACTCGCATCATTCCCTCCAACCAAAAAGGAACAAACAAGTGGTAGCACCATAAAGGCGGTTTTGCCATTTCCAGCTTTATATACGGGGTGTTTTTAGAAACGCAAAGCAAATCGCTCCCGTAAAAACTATGCATCGCGCAGAAAAAGGGTTGGTGCCGTAGTGGTCTGCGCCAAAAGGCCCATTAAGAAAAATAATTGAAGGGGCCATGAAACACTTTTTCAACTTGTTCCTTCTTAGCTTTAATCCTCAACTGAAAAGCGAAACAAGAAATCATGTGGTCGTGACTTGTTTGTGGTGCACAACCTTCCGTCCTCCTTTTTAAAGGTGCACTAAAGACGTCCGAGATTGTCTGTTCTTGGTGATAACTCACTCTATGAGATCTTAGCATCCCAAAAATGAAAAAATTATGCTCGTGCGACGTCTCTTTCCCTACTAAAAATATGATAAAAGTTTGTGCCATGCCCCTTTCTTAGCGGAAAAATCTGCAGCACAGAATCCAGCCAAGGCGCTGGCGGCATAACGACGGGCACCAATCGGAAACGGAAACGCCAGTAGTGGAGGCGCCCGTGGCTCCTCCGCTGGATTCTGTGTTTCAGAATTTTCTGCTCAGAAAGGGGCGTGGCACAAACTTCTATCACAGTTTAGTAGTGATATAACCGTCGCAGAAGCATACATTTTGAATTTCTATGATGTTTGGGGCCGGTAAGATAAGTTCTCACCAAGAACAGATGATGTCAGAAATGTCTTTAGTGCACCTTTAAGCACACCATGAAACTCATCATTTGCAAGTGATGATAAGTGCCGTCACAACACATATTGGCCACGAATGCGAATCCAAATTTTCGTTGACAGATTGATTGTTGACGAGCGCAAATGGTCGAGTGACGCAGTGCTCGTGTCCAGTGCGTGAGCTGGGGTCGGCCGACGTGCTTCGGGGCTCTAAATAGTGCGCTGTATTTTCACATTTTCATAGCAAAAAGCAGACTTTTGACTTTCTATTATCTTCTTTTCGGCCCACTAAGCGATATGTGATCAGTCAAATCTGAACCTAAAATAATTTATCCCAGCCCAAAATTCATTTCATGGCCCCTGTAACATTCAGGATAATCGGGTAATTGCGTGTTTTCGTAATCAGATTTTTAATTATTATCTTTAAAAGTTCAATTAGAAATTTTAAGCTTCAATTAGAAGCTCGATGCGAATCATCCATGCCACCCTGCGCCAGCAACCTTGCCCCCTCACAGCAAAAATGTGCAACGTGCGTGAGCCGCCATGCATTGCACACAAAGGTGCGTCTTTACACTGGCACAGGCGCCAAAAGGGCAAACCTCATCCGGCAGTCCGGAGGCTTTCTTGTCTAGCCTCTTCTACGTGCGATGCGCGGTGGCGTGCATAGTACTTTGCGTGATTTGGCCGAGGGGGGGGGGGAAGGATTACTGGTGCAGAGATGCGCTCTGATAAGAAACCGAAACCTAGAAACGCGTCTAAATTACGGATTTTTCGGAATACCATAAAACGCTGCGCGTGCCATATATCATTGTAATGTAGGTGGATTTAGTCGTTTTCGATGATTCGCATTAGGTTTCTAAGTGGAATCGTACCTTTAAAACTAATAATGAAAATTTTAATTATTGAAAAGTTATTAATAATCAAATTATACTGGACGCTAATACTTTTCCTTAATGGGCCCTCTGGCACAAACCACTACGGCATCAACCTTTTTAAGTGTGCGATGCATAGTTATATTGCAGGAGTGATTTGGCCCGTGTTTCCATAAACGCCCTTCATATTATGCTGGATGTCCAAGAAAGACGCTTATAGAAATTATGCACAATATAATAGGTGTAATACTGTTAATGCGAACGAATGATTTCCATTTTTTTTAGACCTGTACAGCTTGCAGAAAATGTTTTGGAGATATTTTGAATAACCAAATAAATAAATGAAAGGGCTGTCATGAACACTACTAGTGTGGTCAAGAGTGCTTATATGGGACACTACCCCTATTTTTGGCATGACTTGTCATTTTTACAGGAACGCCGAAAGATAGCCCATTTGTGCCAATCGCAGGATCCTGGCCAATGGCTACGTTGGCCAAAACACAGCGTTACTTAACCACGCGGGAGAGAAGCAAACATTGCAGACGGGGAAGGACTGTCATCTCTGGTTTGTCGCCCCTCCCTGCGATCGCAAGTTCAACATGCCACAAGATTTAAAACTAGTATTTTACAGCAAAGCTTTTTATTGCTAGAGTCCTGTGGATTTTTTGTGTGCGGCAACCGAAATGACGTCACGGCTTCGTGCCACGTCACCCATGAACAAATTCAGCAGCAGGAGGAGAGGAGGAGGAAAGGAGGAGGAGGAGGGAAGCGCACCATCCTCTCTCTGTCGTCGTTCCAAGCCCCTTGCTTGCGTGCCTAGTTTCCTTTTTTTCCACCGGGTGGCGGGTCCGTCGCGCGTGTCTAGTTTCCTCTGGCTCCTCTGGGTGGGGATACTCCTCGACATGTGTGTGCGTCCCTTCCGTCACAATGACCACCGATCAAGACAATAAATGTGTTTGTACCTTTGTTCAAAATTCCGTGTCACGTCTGTGTCGTGTGCTAAACAGCTTCGCTGGTCCTCCACCTCCACAGGGTAGAATGGCTCATCATTTCTTTTTTAAATTTTTTTATGGCACATGGAAAGTTAGCTTACTTCTTATTTTCACCTGATTTGCCTTCGATATTAGGTGGGCTTGCTCTCGAGATGTTACGGCAAGCGGCAAAATTTGGTGCCCACCCTTTAGGGTGTAAAACAGGAAGGGCGCCCACGTCGCGTTTGTGCTAACAGTGTCTCACCGTGCACATCTTCTCCTCGGCGGCATTCCTTTAGACGCGCGCTTAAAATCGGATAAAACTCGGCAGGGGCACAGCCAGGACGCTGTTCAGGGCCAGAACACCACCCGAATGTTTTAGCTATCCGACGTCTCTTCTTTGCTTCGCACATTATTCAGTCAAGTTGTTTCATGATCAGGGTCAATTGGAAGCTCACATATATTAATGACCACACACTTTTCTGTACATCTATTGCCAATTTCACGTTCCCCGTTTTTTAAGTATTGTATATTTTGTTCAATTTGTATTATTATTACTATTGTTCCCACTCCCCTCAGTAATGCCTTGTGCCCTGATGGTAAAATAAATAAAAACATGAATTAGCCCGCACGTCTCGTCGATGTTACAGCGAGAATATCTTTTACAAGTTGTTCCGCATAAAAATGTTGTCACGAACGAGTGTCAGGAACCAGCGTCAGAAATGACTGACACAGACGAGCGTTGTGGACGAGTATCGTGAACAAGCAGCACGGTGGGAGCGTTACACGACATCAAGGTCATGTATAAACTTTACAGAGGCTCACGTAACATTGCCGTAACAAAGACACCCCAGCGGGGCTCGAACCCGGGTCGGTGTGGTGGTGGTCAGACGCTAAGGACTGCTTGCCTCATTGTCGTCACGCATCGCGCGAGGGCCACATAAGGCAGCGCCTGTGCGGCGCGCTCATTTGCTGGTCGTGCCCTGGCCAACGTCTGTTGTGCGCAATGATAAAGTTAGCACAAACCATGCACGGAGTGAGACATGTGTGGGACACATTTCGTGCTCTCCGATCTTCGACAGCATGATCGAGCTCGCTAATTATTTTCAAATTCTTTGTGAGTAGTGCAAAAACTATGAACTCGTCTCTTTCGCCCAGACATTAAAACTAGCGGCGTCTTCTTTGTATCCGCATGTGTGCAAGTCACATTCGAAAATATGCGGATGAATGAACCCCACTGATTGAATGGAACGGAGGCTACGAAGCTGCCGAAAGACAAAATCTCTGGTGGCGCCACGATTCGCACGCGGGGTCTCCCAATACAATATGGTGTTTCAAAGGCTCGTAAACAAGAAACAATGCACGTACGCAAGATGGGACAGACAGCGAGAGAAATTCTGGAGCACAACAAGAACGGACCACGTGCCAGCAAGCATCGCACCGCGTTTCACGGGGTGGTGTGTGCTTCCAGAACACCTCCGATTGGACGCGTTTCTCTTCGGCGTACTATTAATAAGACAGATGGGAGACACAGAAAAAAAGAGGCAGTACAGTGTGGTGTTTGGCAGGCCCAACAGGTTATAGGGAGACCTGGAGTTCAAACCCCTGCACGGCCAAAGATTTTGTCTTTCAACAACTTCGCAGCCTTTTTTTTTTTTTTTTCATTTAACCGGTACGGTTTGTTTATCCCCATATTTTCAAATATTTCCTCTTTTTAGCATGCACGATTTAACGAAAAAGCCCCACGTAGGTCGCATGTACACATAGAAAGTCACGCAGCAGTCACATATCTGTTGTTTCATATACACTCGGTCCATCTCCACTTCAATGCCACCAGCAAACCGAAACGCAAACCTAAGCGAATTCCTGGCGACGCCATTAAAACTCAAGCCTACAATGGCTGCCGAAACAAAGTGCCCGCTAAAGTAGGCAGGGCGGCACCCACCTCTTCTGGGCCTCCTGCTTGCTGCAGCAGTTCTCGCAGTAGTACTTGTGCTCGCTGCACAGGGTCTCCGTGTTGCTGAAGCCCCGGAGACAGTGGGTGATGGACGTGTTCTGGCTCACGTCCACCGACAGGTCGAGGAAGTCCTCGTCCTTGCTGCTCACCTGCGAGCACAAAGGACGCCACCGTCGTTACAAAGCCAGCCCCACACTAAAATTGAGGCTAAAAACAAAACTTCAACACCCTGTTTCGCTCAAAAAAGTCACTAAAACCTCCCAATATTTTTTTTTACTTAGAGTTTTAATGGGATGTGTACATCGCAAAACAAACTTTCCCGTAAAACAAAATGTTTCGCCGCAATATTCGTGTTGTGAGAATCGTTTGAGCAATTCAGAAACGTGTGCCCACCTTGGGACCGAAGTCTCGAAACAGAAGCATGTTTTGAAATCGTTCCCATCTCGAAATGCGTCTCGTGATGTAACATTGCGCCTATAAACTCTTTCTTGGAAAGGCCTTTTTTTTTTTTTTTTTTTTTTTGTGATATAGGAGGTGTCTTATTTAGGCACTTGAAAAACCAAAAAATATGTTTTAGCCATTCAATGTCTTTTTAGGTGTGAGTGTACAAAAAGCTACACAAGCAATCCATGGGATTTCAGCATCCCTGAGCTTTTAGTATTCAGTGCAAGCATCGTTTGGGGCACTGTGATCATGCTTTGCCGGTGCGAGCAAAGAAAAAAAAGCTACGAAGTCTCACCGTCTCGCAATTGAGGCATCGCGTCTCGTTTGTGAGTGTGCCCTGGAAAATGTCGTGAACCCAGGTAGGCTCCGGCTTGTGGGGCTGTGGATTCGACTGCGGCTGAGTGCCGGCCGCGGCCGTAGCCGTAGCCTGGTTGGGGGCGCCCAGGGTGGTCGTCGTCTGCTGCTGGGGCGTGTGCGAGCCCTGCTGGTCGGACGCAGATGTGGCCGAGGAGCACTTGTTGCCCTTGGCATTGCTCTGCCCCTGCGTCTGCTTCTCGGCTGCAGAAATCCCATTGGGTTCGGACATATTGCCACAAAGTACCAAGTGTTTTTGAGAAAAAAGAACCGTGTTTTTCGGCTCACATAAGTGAACTACGCATCGTGGGAAGCTGAAACCGGCGGATGGGATAGAAAGCGAAAGTTTGAGAACATGACATTACCTGGATAAGAAGATAAAAGAAAAAGAAAGATTCTCTACGAACCGAAGTTCACCTAAGCCTAATGTCGTCAAAACCAGAACTGACGTTGCTGGCACATGTGGCATTTAGATTAGCGAAGAACACTTTGCGGCAAGAGAAAGAATATCATTATCTTTCTTCCTGACAAGTTTGTTTTTTTTCACTGAAAAATCCTAAAGGCAATTTAATTACAATGTCATTTCTTCTTTTGACGATATTAGCTAGGCTTAGGTAAGAGTCGGCTCGTAGGGAAAACTGGCCCTTCTCTTTTATCTTTCCATCCAGGTAACATCAAATTCTCAAACTCTGACATTCTGTCAGTTGCAGAAAGTTGAAACTAAATAAACAATGCATAGCAGAAAGTTGAAACTCTACCAGAATGTGACATTGCTAGTGTCACATTCTGAAAGAGTTTCAACTTTCTGTGATGCACAGTTTATTTATGCTGGCCAAAAGACACGGTTCTTATTTCTCAAGAACACCCAATATTACAAAATGTGACTACTGTGTAGTCACCCTTTTTATGTGTGGCAACAAACTCGGTGGCGCCATCTATTGGATAACCCTCACACTTCCGGTCTGCACATATTTCTTCATTCTTTTAGCATCATTTTTTTTATAAGAGTGACTTACGTTTGACAGCACCACAAGTGACAATTCCTCAAAGAGAGTGGATAGATTTTATTTTGCAAAATTTGCAAAACCTGCAGTCTGCTTCAGAACCAGAAGCATCCAAGGGCTATTCCCCAAAGTGGCAACCCCATGTTTCAACTCGCATAAGCAAGAGTGAATAGTCTGTTGCAGGTTAAGAACAACAAGAGAGGCTCCTCTCACAAAGCTCTCAGCTTGCCATGATTGGTGCTTTCCTCCCCTCATCTCCCCTTTAGCCTTCGCTCTGCTAAAATGGAAAGAGCAGAGAGCTTTGTGGGAGGAGCCTGAATTTCTATAGGCAACAGTCCTAATATCCAGGTTCGATACGGTTGGGCACGACAGTATACAATAAGTTCGCTTTGACAGCAACTTGTTAATTAATAACTAATAAATTAGTTATTCATCATTATTTATTAACTCAAAATTTAATTAGTTCATTTTGAGGAATTAACAATTCCTCAAAAAACAGCAACCAACCTGGTGCTTTCAGCGTGCGAGGGCACGACATGAGACATAGTGCGATCTGACCCGCCAGGGGTTCGACGTATGCTGCAAAATAAGACGAATTAAAAGGGGGGCGAAAGAGTGAACGCACCTTGTAAGATGTCCGCAATGGTGTTCAGCAGGTAGTTGAGGAACTCATGCGCATCCTGCTGCATGTAGTTGTCGAAGAGGTCTGCGAGACAAGGTCAAAATAAAGAGATGGAACAGTCAAGCGGAACTGGTGCCCACGGCGTCGCACAAGGTACCCCCGAAACGATCTCCTCTCGAGCTAACTTGCTCTAGGTACAAACTGTCAACAGTGCACAGAGCGTGCAACGAGGAATGTGAACCACATAAATGCACCTTTTGCAAAAGCCAGCGCTGAAGAGCTTATCCTAAAAACTAGTTAGCCAGGTCGAAGAAAAAAATTGTTCAATGGTTAAGGAATACGCCGAGCAAGTGTAGTGACAGAATGGTCTCTTTCTTGAGCGAAAAGAGGAGCTAGCATTTTCTCGGCGTCAACAATTTTGCGCCACATTGTTGAGGCTAGCGTAGCTTCCACAGTGCTGCAGCCCTGCACTTCCACGAGATAGTGTGACTTCGTTCTGTGTCTCATTCGCACGCACTCGTGCAATTAGCCTCGACAGAGTTGGAGGAGTGCGGAAGCTAAGCTAGCCTCGACAATGTGACGTGAAATAATTGATGCCAAGTATAGGAAAGCAAGAGAGGAGGCGTCACGAGAGGGAGTGATAGCGTGTACGACGAGGCTCCACCCTCGCACCTGCTCCTCAGTTGGGAGCAGACGACGTCTTGGCTGTGAGTTCATCTTTTGTAGGAACGCGTCTGGTAGTTGATAGTTGACAAAAAATAACATACCATGCTCTTCGAGGCATTTACTGTACCCACTCTCAAAGGCTAAGTCCTCGTTCGTTAAGAAACGGTGGATTTCAGAAAGATGTGGAAAAGGTAAGACAACCATTGCTACGACCGGCAGACGACACTGGCATTCGGTACCCGTATGCTAGACCCTGATACCGCTCTGCGCAAGGAGCAGACGACGGCCTTGCTCCCTCTGATTGGAGGGATACAGTGGGTAGAAATGAAGGCTGCCTTTGCATCTACTCACTATCCCTGCGATCAGAGCTCGGAGGGATATAGTGATTAGGGACAATGGCTCCTCGGTGTCTACCCGCTGTACTTCCAATCAGAGCTCGTTGCTGTGATGTCACCGCACCCTTGCGCAAGAAGCAGACAAACTTGCACGCCGTATAGGTGCAGCGATTCCGTCGGTTTCGAAGAGTTTGAAAGAGAGAGAAAGACAAAGTAAAGGCTGGTTCAAACAGCACCGTTTTCTTAAGTTGCATTATGTTACGGGGACTTACGTCTGCTTATATCTAGAGTCAGCGGAACATCCGTGTTCTGTGTAAAGTGTAGCAACCAGTTCAATGAGTAGCCTTGCACGCGGCATTCAAGGCACGGATGTTCCAGTGACTTCTAATGTATCGTAAGAAAATGTAAGCAAACGCTCTTACGATGCAACAATTTTTTTTCTTTCAGTAAATAGCACTTTGAATTATTCCTTGACAAACATAACCTATGAAACACGCATTAGTGTTTTGTTCCATGCAACAGCAGTCGCAGAAAACATTTGAACAAAGAGCAGCATTCACGCTCTCAACACAAAGCCAGAACAAGCAGCCACGTGATGTGGAGCCAATTATACGCCGTCAATGTTTATCATAGCCAAGTGTCGGAGTTGGCAAAGCACGGAACACGCGCTGAATTCCTCGCATTATTAATGTTTTATTTTTATTCTTAAAAATATGCGTCGGCAAAGAAGCGTTTTAGTCAGCATCACTGCGTGCAAATATACTTGGGTCTCTTTAGTGTTAGTAAGCTTGCGTAAAGGGAGAATTATTTTCACCCAATGCGGAGAGCGAGTCGTCCGTTCCTTGCACAGGAGCTGCGGTGACGTCAGAACGATGCTGAGCTTTGACTGGCTTTGATTAAAAGGATAGAGGGTAGACCTCAGTGCTAGATGCCGTGAGGTCTAACCACTATTTTTTTCAATCAGCCAATAAGAGCTTGGCGTTTTGACATCATCGCAACCCCTATGCAAAAAGCAGACAAGCTTGCGCTCCGCATATCGTTGCATGGCCCCTCTGAAGTAAGGGAGTCCACCTACCGTTCTCCTTGCGAAGCCGGGCAATGAACTTCTTTGGGGCGATGGTGCCCGTCTTCTTCTTCTGGTTGGCGATGCTGTGGAACAGGTCGGCCAGGCAGGTGAGCAGGGTCTCCTTGGTGCGCTTGTTGCGGGCCTTGTACTCCAGCACTTTCTCCCGGAACGGCTTGCAGAAATACAGCGCTTGTAGGACCGAGTTGCAGTAGCACGTGTTGCCAAACTGGAAAAATGGCACGCCCAGATGCGTTACATGGCCGGGCAGACCGCATGTCTTACCTTAGAATTCCCCGAGTAATGTAATGGATGTACGGATGGACAAATGAGTCTGAACCATTTCAATGGAGCGGCAGCTTGCGCCACCTAGCCAGTGTTTATAGTCGGTGACAGGTCAAGAACGAAGTGGAAGCTTCTCCCACCCCTTTCCACTTCAGCGGAGCAAACGGTGAAGAAGAGGTTGCTTTCTCTCCAGCGTTTGCTCTACAAAAGTGGAAAGAGGTGGGAGGAGATTCCACTTCGTTCTTGACCTGTCACCGGCTATAGTTTTGTTAAATGGATGAATAAGGCCGAAATCTTTTAATCAGGTAGCAGCTTGCGCCATCAAGCCAGTGTTTACTTTCAATGAATAGATGGACGAATAAGGCTCAACCCCTTAAACGGAGGTGGTGGCTTACAACACCTAGTCAATCTTTGTAATTTCAACAAATAATAACTGTCTAAATAAAAAAAAAGTAAAAAAGAAAAGAAAAATTAAGGCTGAGGTTTTTTTATGGTACATTCATAAAAATTCCGGAAGGGGGTCAAGAGGGGGAAAAGAAAATGATTCGTCCCTCTCTTGACCTATGCCACCAGTCAAAAAAACTCTCCTTGCTCACCCCTATGTTCCGTTTGTCCTTCACTAACATTAAACACCGGCGCCTTCACTGAATGAGTCTTTCCACAACTGCAGGGCGAAGTCATTTATAGTGGACAATGGAGTACTCAGCTATATTTCATTCTGCTCACCGCCTGCTACACACACTGTCTCTCTTTCCTTGTACCTAGCTCTGTAGTATATCTCAGTCAGCAACACTCCCACCTGGGCTTCAAACAACAAAAAGCTGCCCCAAGACATGTCATAGATACCTCCTCTAGAAATATCTGTAGATGGATACGGCTGAATCCTTTTAGTCGGGCACTGGCTTGAGCCAACTATAGCCAGCATTTTTATTATGAACAGTTAGCCTTTACCTAGCATGCCAAAGACTAAGGGTAAGCCTTTTAACAGCATTACTTTGACACAGGAGTGTATACCATCCAGTGGCCTTCGTGCAAACTATCCAAAGCCTCTATACTTTACTAGTGCACCCTCGGCGCACATTAAATGCGAATGCTGCATCAGCACTCGGCTTGAATTTCGTTCAAAATCATTGTGTCGGCAGGCACTTAGCTTTGAGTATGAATTCCATCCCTTGGATTGAACACTATTGGTTAAACAATTTTATCTGGTAATCACTCTTTTAAAAACTAGATCAAGCTAGAGACCACGTAGGTACAGCGTTCATATACTGGTCTCCATTGCTGTATGCTCTGCTGCTTTGCACGTGCTGAGAGCGAACTGCCCCCCCCCCCCCCCCCCATCTCCCACAACAATCTTTCCATGACCTTCAAAGTTTTTGCTCGTGGCAGATGATAAGTTGCTTTACTCATAGCTCACGTTAATGTCCTCATCGGAATTTTTCCTATAGCGGGCACATACCTAGTCATGTCTCACAACCACTTTTTGTCAGTTCGTTCCAGCTGTGTTGCGTGACAATGTGCTACAGTATAGACCACTTACAACGTAACCGCTTATAGTGCAGGACCGGGTATAACGCGGCTTTTTTAAACCATTGGTTCTCCTCCCATAGAACTCCATGTAATTACATACCGCTTAAAATGCAGGTGTGCGAAGGGAAATATCGGTTATAGTGCGGTCTCTGGAGCAGCGTGCCGACGCGCCGACCGACCGGCATGGCAAGCACGCTTCCCTGTGCGACACCAAATAACGACGCTAGCCGCAAGCGGCACTCGCAGGGGCAAGGATGGCAAGGAGGTTGCTCGAAGAAGCGGGGAGAATTAAAGAGAGAGGCTTTAGCTGCCGTAGCGACGGAAGGACGCACGCATGTGTGGTTCACGGCGCAAGGCCAGCAAGGCATTGGCGAGCCCAACCGGGCTCAAACAGCCGTTCGCGCGCGTTGCATGCCGGTTGCGGGCCGGCTTCTTCTATCCGCAAACATGGCGTCGGTGGTGATCATCGACGTCGACGGCGTAGTGCAAGCTCATCGTTCCGCGTAAAAGCGCTATCCTTGACTGTGAATTTTCGTTGTGTGTCGCTATGATAACCCAGCACGTACTAGAAGAGAAGATCCACCTACTCGTGCGGCGATGTCGTGGCGGCACTCTCAAGACGGCAGAAACACCCGTGCCGTCGGGTTTGTTTACTTTGACTACAGGTGCTTTCTAAGCACTTGTGTTTTCGAACATCGCCCGGATTTCTTATTTGGCGCATTTCATGCCTTTTTTGGAGCATTTCATGCGCGTATCGTATAAAGAATGCAAATTTTCATGCGTTTTCATCACCGGAGAAAAATGATAAGGGTTAGCAATCCTGAACGCTCGCAACGTCCGTCCGCAACCCGCGACGCCGTTAAAAGGCTGCGCCAGGCAAAAGTCGCTCATTTCTTTCAAAATGTGTGACACACAGGAGAGAGAAGTGTACTAGTCTGGTGAAATAAAGACTTTCCTCGATCTAAGCTTTATTTTTCATCTAACATAAAATAAATTCTTTTACAAAGGTAAGTTGTCTCATGGCATGTATTTTGGCCTGAAAAATTGATGTTTTGGTTATAGCGCGGTACTGCTTATAGTGCGGATTTTCACGACTCCCGCGACATACGTTATATGCAGTCTACACTATACCACCAACGTTGCTTGACTGGATTTTGCAAAGTGTTTATATTTATATGCACGTAAGGAATAGGTTTAAAACCTTCAATAACAATGACAATTGTGTACCATTGTAGATCTCAACCATCCGTGACCCCATAAAACACAAGTCTTTGAGGCTTTTAGGGTACCTGCATGATTACAAACTTATTAGGTCAAAGAGCCATTGATTCACCGAAAAGTTATATTCGGGACTCCCCGTCTGTAGATCTATGCAGACGTGCAATAAAGCAACATTCATTCGCAAATTTTCCCCAACTCCTGTAACCTTTCTGCGAAATTCCCCGACATTCCCCGACTTTCCCGGGGAAAAGCGAGGGGAATGTCCCTATCTATTCATCGACATTTCACTGTCGGCAGGCGGACATGCTGTGCATTTACATGACAACCGGTCAAGTCTCCTACAAACGCAACTTGCACATCACAGTAGTAAACGAACGAGGCTAAAACAGATGAAACACTTGTTTCTTCCTGTTAGGGCAAATGGGTGGCAGCACAGAAATGCTGCGCATGTGAGGCCTTTCAAACAAACGAAGACCATCAATGCAAGCTATCAACAAGACGGGGAAACCAACGGTGCATTCTAATAGCAATAACAATGTCACTGATGTGATGTGACAGAGTTGCTGCCACTGCAGATTTGCATGCAGGTATCGCCTAATTGTAAGACAAATCTATCGCTCTCCAAATATGGTACTCCTGCCTAACTCAGCAAAGTCAAGCTCAGTGATGGAAGTGGTATTTGACTTTTAGTAGCAGGTTCTCTAGCAGGCGAAAATACTGGTTTGGAGCAGCCGCTTACACTTTTGGAACAGATACGAAAATCTGTTAGCACAACACACTTGAAAAGGAAAAAGTGATATTATCGCTTAATAAGTGCATCTATGGTAATGACTGTGGGTTTTCTTTTGATACTGGACCATATAACTTGTTACCTTTTGTAATAAAGATAGATAGGGTGCGAAAGGAAGGCAGAACCTCATTTTTAGAAACAAGGTTCTGGTCAGAGGAGATTTGACTTAAAATGAGTAATAAAACAATTGGGGTAAAATGCGACAATTCAGGTTGGGATAAAGTCCCTCCCCTCCCATTTTTGCAGCCGGTAGTTTGCTTAGCCTGTAAACATAATTTCTGTGAAATGACTGCAAAAACCACCGTATCAAGTAAAGTTTGTTTACCAATAAAAATGCCCCCCCCCCCCCCCCCTCCAAAAGTTCTTTGTCCCCATTTTTTACAGAAAGAGAGCTACGCTTTGTAACTTTACAAAATAAAACGGACCTGCGAAGTACACCTTTGACGAAAACTTTAAATTGCTACATGCAGGAGCCAATTTTTACGGCCCATTTTAGATCGAACTTGGTTATTTCAGACACCCAATACAGTGAGTACTCTAGTGAAAAACCTTTTATGTAAGAAATTTCTTTGTCCAATAAAGGCATATTATTAAATAAGATGATATAAGAGCATACAAGAGCCTTATAAGAACATATGAGAACAGTATATGATTATATAAGAAGTTATAAGAAACTGATAAGTATACTGTTCTTATATGTTCTGCAAGGGTTCTTGTATGCTCTTATATGATTTTTTTTGTGATATGCGTTTGTTGGACCAACAAATTTCTTACACATACAAGAATTTTCACCAGAATAGGTGAGCAGAGAAGCTGTGAAGTATATATTTGTACCACTTTCCTTTCTTTCTACTTCTCTCAATCATAGAGCTGATCAATAATAAAATATTTTTATGTTTTGCTTGGCTTCAGCCCATCTTGGTGCAGGTTTGGTGCAATTCTGAGCAAAAATGACATTTTGGCGCAAGATATAGCAAACTTTCATGCCGCAATTTGGCACAAATGGCGCAGAGCTTCCATCACTGCAAGCCATGTGAAGGTCAACCCCCATGCCATTGAAGCAGCAGGTGCCTTCAATTCTGTGAACATTATCGCTGGATGTTTCAAGCATGCCAGGCTTTCTCCTTCTCAATACCACAAAAATTCCAACACCCATATTAAGGACACAAATTTAAACAATACTCACGTTTACAAGGCCAAAGTAGTGCTCGTTCGATGGGAACTGATCATGACCAATCTCCTTCTCCAACAATGATCCATTTGCGCCCTGTTAGAAAAAAACAAAAAACAAGGCATGATGCAACACAGTAGCGGTCAATGAGACACCCAGTGAACATTTTTGAGACGTCATTCGAGGCATTTTGTAAACCAACAATGACTGTTCACTACATGAAGAAAGCAACAGCCACATGATGCACTGAACTTTCCAATAGGCATTCTTAAATACCTATACTCCTCTTGACCGTACAATGTACCACAACAAGAGCTACGAGCCACCGGAACCAATCCACAGTTCAAAGCACGTCGCGGAACTTCCGTCTAGGCAAAGCGATGAGCAGGGCGTGAAGCTACGTGGCCCGTGTGAGGCACTGAAATGGCTAAAATACTTCTAACGTCCGTTGCGGTACATCGTAAGGTGAAACGGAGTAAAGCGGTGGTCTTTGAGGCGTCTGCAAGACATCTTTACAATAAAATGCAACTTCATAGCGATCACTGAGATGTCTAGTAGACGTTTCTGATGCATTTCTAAAGGTGTCTTGTAGTCCAAAAATTATGCTATATTATGTGAACAAATGAGCAGCTACAAGATGCACTGACACTTCCACTAGTCATGTTCAGATGTCTAGCAGTGGTCCTTGAGGCATCCAAAAGATGTCTTTACAACACAATAAAACTTCATGGGAGTCGCTGAGAAGCCTAGTAGAAGTCTCTGATGCATATCTTTTAAGGTGTCTTGTAGATTGAAATGGTACTCCATGATGTGAACAAATATACAGCTACAAGATGTACTGAGACATTCGACAGATATTTAGCAGTGGTCTTTGAGGTTTTTGCAACACATCTTTCAACACAACGCAGCCTCATAGCAGTCACTGAGATGTCTATAGGCATCTTTAAAGCATCTTTCTATAAACCAAAAATAGTGCTTCATTATCTAAACAAATGGACAGTTAAAAGATGCAGTGAGCTCCCAATAGATGTTTAGCAATGGCCTTTAAATCGTCTACAAGATAACCTTACAACACTATGCAACTTCATAGTGGTCACTGAGGTGCCTGATAGACATCTTAGATGCATCTTTCAAGGCACCTTGTAAACCAAAAAGGTTACCTCATCACCTGAACAAATAGAAAGCAACAAGGTACACTGAGACACTGAGATGTTCAATAACCATCTTTAGACATCTAACAGTGGTTTTTGAGACATCAACAAGAGATTTCACCAGGTGTCGTGTAGAGAAAAACATAGGGGTGCATTCGGTGAGCCAGAAGATGGCTACGTATTGGGCCATATAATACCTTGCCAAGATGTTTGTGCCAAGAGCAAGTCGTCTGCTTCTTCAGCAGGAGGTGCGGTGACGTCAGAACAACGCAAAGTTCTGATTGGCTTTGACTGAAAGGATAGCGGGTAGACCTCAACGCTAGATGCTTTGAGGTTTACCCACTATATTTTTAATCAGTCAATACGAGCTCAGCGTTCTTACATCATCACAACTCCTGTGCAGAAAGCAGACAAACTTGCACTCCACATAGATCATTCCAGAGAAGGGCTTCTGGCTGGTGCCATTTTCAACATTCTGGCGTATGGCATGCTTTGATCTGGAATGGTATATAGGCGGTATTCACTGGTGGCCATAGCCGAGTCCATGGTTCTTGAGTGGAAACCAACAGCGAGCGTCTAGAGTGCTTTTGCAACGTGCATTCCAAACCATCTAGATTGCCGACCTTACTAGAATGTAGGTGAGAAATAGAGATCTTCGTGTTCTGTGAATTCAATGCAGGTCATACAACACGCCATGCCATAACCCTCAGAAATGGCGCTCAAAGTGAAGGTTTGGAGCGACTCAACCAGACACACCAGATAACACGAAAGCAGATACTATCACAACCAGAATTCTAGTTATCCTATGGTGCTGATACCATGACAAATATGCAGAAATTTGTGTATCGTTTCAGTGGAACAGAATGCTCTAATGACCACGAGAGCAGTGGCACGACGCGAAAACGAAACGAGTTGGTGCCGTCTGCTTCCGTCGTCATTGGAGAGTCATTGGCGCTGTCATTGGACGGTCATTGGTGCTGTCATTGGACTGCCATTGAACAGTCATTCGACGGTCGTTGGACAGTCATTGGTGATATCAATTTTGACAAAAGCGCCGCATTTCTTTTTTTTTTTTTTTTATAAATTTGAGGCAGGATTACGAAACACATCAATTTCCTTCTTTCTATCATTCCTCCCTTTGAAAGAGAACGCCAGGAGAGCCGACAGATTGACTCGCTTATCGACGGTGATAGCTTAAAAGCTAGATACCGGGCTAAGCCCCCGCTGCCCGTAAAAATAAATAAGAACAAAAATCGCAGATTACGGAGGTTTCCTTTTCTTATTTTTATCTGCCAGTCCCGGATTGCTGTAGCAGCCCTATCAGGCGCCGAATAAAACCACAATCGCTCACCGTACGGCGGCTCGAACATCTGCATCTCCGGCGCCGCGTGCTTAATAAATGACCGGACAATTGGATGGCGGGGTCAACATAGAGGTTTTTGCTAATATCTGAGCCGCTGTTTCAACAGGTAGGTTATGGTAACGAGTCCAATTCAAGCGCTAATATGATTGAGCTAGCATTCCATAGTCTAGCGGCTATTTGGAGCTAGTGACGATGTGCGGTCCAGTGGCCGCAATTTGGGGCACCAGTAGTAAAAGCAGGCCGGCAGCGTGAACACGCAGCACTGTTTCGTTCGTTCGTGGATCCGTTAACGAAGAAAAATCTTACCATTTTTCATTTTTCTTGCGTCAAACCTTGAATGCCTTCCTTGCCTTCAACAGCGCCATTTTTTGTTGCTTGCCTCAGCCGGCCATACTCGAACCGTAGTTTCGTAATTTAAAGGGCTACCGCTTTGCTTTTGATTTTGTTCTCGTTGCGCATTTTATTCGTTGCGTTCAATGGAGATGTGATTGATGTATTAAGACAGAGTATAAGTGATGAAACAGGCAAATTTGGGGAATTTCGGTGCAGATCGAACTGCTGCGCACTGATCTTAGATAATCGCGTTACGGATCACGCAGAGTCGCTGTGCTTCTGCGTCATTTCAAATGTGGCAGCTAAACGAAGAATATGCAGAATTATGTCGTTTATAAATAAATATTCCGTAAAAAAGAACACCTTAACAAGTTCAAGAGAAAGAGAAATATGTCTTATGCGCACCTGGTCGTGAATGCTCACTGAATGATAAAACCGCACATCGAAGAAAACAACAACATTACTCAAATTTAGCAGTTCCACTAGATATGCGTATAACTCGCTTTCATTGTATTTGTAGTATTTGATTTGGTTTCGAATAAATCGAATATTTATCGTAGCGATCAAGTAGCTCAAGACGTCTGCTACTTCAACTTCCGGGCTGAGCGGCTGAGCTGTATGGCTGTATTCCCCCTGACTATGGCCACTTCCGGAATCTCTAGATGTCTCCATACGCGGCACCGTGGCCTAGCAAAGTTACATGCGAGTTCACGGAAAGTTGTGTTTTACGCTGCGTAAAACGAGAACGATCGTCTTGTACATAACGGGCGTGCGGTAAGAAGCCATGGGGAAGGACCGAAAGGCAAAGAAAGACAAACTTGAGGAGTAAGTTGCGAATTTTGATCGTCTAAAGCCGACCGTGCTCGTGTTCCCTATGCCCGCAGTAAAGGGCCGTATGTCTCGTAACTATAAGCCTAACGTTTGAGTTTAAAAAAATAACACAAAAAACATACGAAGTGGTATCGTGCTTCGATGATTAGCAAAATGACAGTGGGAACGATGTTCACAGCGTCGTTGGTAATTTGACTCTAGCCGGTTTTCGGGCTCTTCGCAATTCATTTGGGCCCGGCCACAAACGTGACAGCTTGAGCTCGGGGGCTAGCTCACTACCAGATTAAATTCTGCACGCCGCTGAGTTTATTCGCAGTTTTCCTGCAGATTAAACCTTTTTTTTTTTTTTTTTTCGGAATAGCGGCGCAGGCAGCACCTTTAAGCCGTAGAACAACAAAACAGAAGCCACAGCTAAGAAAACGAGGAGTTGAAGAAAACAAAAACAACAAATTGCTCGGCGTGTCAAGCAAAACGTGTCGGTACTTGTGTAAATGGATTTTCATATCCAGTTGAAGCGCGATCACCATTTGTTAGCCTCCAAGTATCGATCTCGCCTAATATAAAGCAGGCGGGTTGGCGATCAAAACACCTTGTTGCAGTGCATATGTTACCATCTATGACGCGACGATGGTGACTCGGTGTTTCATCTTATGATAGTCCGTGTTTGAAACGAGGAGAGTTATGTGTGTGATCCTTCGGCAGCCACAACTGACAAGTTTGCAAGTGTGATGTTATAATGCATAAGCTACGTCGGTGGCATCAAAATGGAGGTGGTGACCCCCTCCCGACATTTCGGAGATTTCTGTGCTGAGCACAAGTTCGTCAGCTTCTTGCGCAGGGGTTGCGGCGACGTCAGAATGCCGAGCCAGGATTGGCTCCGATTGGAAGGATAGCGGGAAGACCTCAATGCTAGCTGCTTTGAGGTCTGCCCACCGTCCTTCCAATCGGAGCGAATTAGAGCTCGGCGTTATGACGTCGCCGCAACCCTTCCGCAAGGAGCAGACAAACTTCCGATCCACATAGTCACTATAAGAACTGCGGGGCGTCTCTTTCTGACGCCCGGTTGCCAGCACGTGATCCTTGCCTTCCGTCATGCTTTGGCTGCGCGTGCAAGCTGGAGGCTCGCGAGACGCTAAAGCATTGTCGAAGGCAGGAAGCTCACGCTGGGGGTGAGACAGCTGAAGGACCTCCATATCATCCTAATCCTATTGGTGACTGTAGTAAACAACATGGGGAGAGGCAAACCCTTCCCATCTCCCAAATACTTCCGATCCGACTAGGGAGCTTTCATGTGTTCTGCACACATGAAGGCTCCCTACTTCCGACAGTACTGCTACGATCTGCCTGGCTAAGGGCAGCTACAGTTGTTCGCTTTCAGTGCGTCTTCATGTGCAGAAAAAGGAGATGGCACGGAGGGAAATCATTAAAAAGTTGCTTACACGGTACGTTGGTTGCTTCCAGCGATGACACCCTCACGCAAGAGATGGAAACTCTTACCATCAATGACAAAGGTGGTCTGAAGAAGAAGGCCAAAGATGTGAGTGCCACATTTTCTTTCCATTGCTGCAGGCTGTGTATGGTCGTCGTGTTCTCGTAGAGCTGTCCATGCTAGCAGACTGACAGCCTTCACGATGTCGTAATGGTGCTGTGTTCATAATCTCCACAGTGGAGGAGAGAAAATTCCAGAGGCCAAAGATGCTCGAGCTTTAGAAATGGAAATGGTGCGAGTAACCAGGTCGGATAGGACCAAGGTGGAAGAGTGTCTCTGTTGAGAAGAATGAAATCTGCGAGTGCTTCCTTGTGTAATCACTACTGCCGACCCCAGGTTAATGGTCATACTGCATTGACCATATGCTCATTCACAGTGGGGGCACCAGGTGTCGCTCGTTCACCGACTACCTGCTGGCTAAATGTTCCAACAACGAAGTTTGACTTTTGGGTCTATCTACAAACTTAGAGTTACCCACAGATATTTTAAATGGTGGTGCTAATACTTGGGGATTTGCTAAATTGATCGCTTTTGGTGCTCAATGTTACTCAAATTGGCAGGAGAGTAGTTGCGACTGAAATTGTACAGTATGGATGATATTATTTTTAATTTGGTAAGCGTTATTGTAAACTTGTTGTACAGTGCATAACCTATTGGGAGGCTCCGGCATTTTCATATAAATCCAGTGAAGCCCAGACAATTTTGTCGGTAAGACTAGGAAGGATTCAGATTTATCCGAAAAGCTCTGGGTAAAGATCCTTGGAAAAGATAATCTTTTCCAAGGTCCTTAAACAACTTCTGCAATTTTGTTTTTAACAATTTCTTTTACGTAACAGAAAAATGTCTAAAGGTCAATCCTATATAAAAAAAAAAGTTAGTTTTGTTACGACAGTAGTGGTAAAGCATTACCTTTTTATTTCTATATTGAAGCATACATTTTCTTGTTAAATTTAAAAACCAGTGACAATAAAAAAAAAAATTAATTTCATGTACTATGAAATCAGAAGACACCCTCGGATGCTGCTCAAAAATAAGCTCTGAAATTGCACAATTTACCTACAGACAAAGTTGAAACTATGCACCTTGAGGTATACGCGAACGTGCCAGTTGTCTAAACCAGAAGAGTGGGAATTTATGACCAACTAGAAATTTTCAATGCTTCAGTAGTTGGACATTGAACCACTTGTGGCAAGAATCTCGAAATCTCTAGCAGGCAGCAGATTTTTTTTTAAAATTTTTATTTGTTTATTTATTTTAATACCTACATCGCCGAGTTCTGGGCATTATTGTAGGGGGTAAGGTTACACAAAACAATAGCAAACAATAAATATAGAGATACACAAGAACTTTTGTGATGGAGAAATAGTGGATATGACATTTTAGGAGAAAAATACAACACTTGGGTACAAAACGGGCATGTTGGTAACAGTAATTAAACATGAGGAAGATACATAGACAGGGGGGACGGACAACAAACATCTTTGTTGTCCGTCCCCCCTTTCTAAATAAAACATTTTGTACAATATATGAAAACAAAGTATAGTGACTGGCACTATTAGAAGAGCGGAGTGAAAAAGTATTCCAACAGTAAGTTTTTTTAGGGCAGTAGGAAGGGAGAAACGTGCCGTAGAGATGACATCAGTTGGTAAATTGTTCCATTCGTGTATCGTTCGTGAAAAAAAAGAGTGCTTAAATCTGTACGCGACGACACATAACTGGGTTCCTTAAGATAATGTACTTTCTCGATGCCGGTTCTACTGTTTAGTATGTTGAAAAATAAAGTGAGCCTAAGGTACGTTCTTCTGCCCTCCAACAGAGGCCATCCCAGGTTGCGGCGTATTTCAGATGATCTTTTAGAGAAATCATAATTGCTGAAAACAAACCGAGCTGCCCGTTTCTGAATACGTTCAAGTTGTTCAATGGTGTGAGGGGTATGCAAATACCTTGCGGCACATGCATAGTTCAAAATGGGACGTACATTTGATATGTACAATGTTTCTTTGAGGTTAGTTAGGTTAGTTTACAAAAATTGCGTTTGAGAAAGTTTAATGTGCGGCTGGGCCTTAGATGACAAATAATCAACATGAGCATTCCATGACAAGTTACTAGAAAATAAAACTCTCAGATAATTATATTCAGGTACAATAGTTAAACTTGTGACACTTAGGAAATATTCTGTGGTCAGAGGTTGTCTTTTGTTAAAAAATCTGACTACGTTACATTTGTTTAAATTTAAGGTCATATTCCATGTTTGACACCATGACATCACAGAATGGAGATCGTCTTGCTGTATTTGGGAGTCCGCCTCACACGTGATATCGTGGTATATACAACAGTCATCAGCGTACAGTCGGACATGGCTAGAAAGATGACCAGCATGATCATTTATCTACACTAAAAAAAAGAAGGGGGCCCAACACCGATCCTTGTGGAACACCTCATAAAACACAAACATTTGACAAGCTCACACCGTCTAAAACTATGGATTGCTTCCTTCCAACAAGATAAGCCTCAAGCCAGGGTAAAAGTGAATCCGAAATCTCAACAGCTGCCATCTTTTGTAATAACAAAGTATGAGATACCGAGTCAAAAGCCTTCCGAAAGTCCAAAAAGACACAATCGACTGGGAAATCATTTTTAATTAAAAAAGAGAGGTCATGGGTGAATTCTACTAATTGCGTATCGCAAGAAAATCCCGCTCTGAAACCATGTTGCATAGGTAGGGGAAAAGAATGCATTATTTTGTAGATCAGAGGTTCTCAACCGTTGATGTTTTTGCGGACCCCTTGTGGATTGACGCAGAGGATGGAGGACCCCGTTCGTGGTGAGGGGAAGGGAAAGGTGTAGGTTAATTATGATAATGATTTAACATTTGGATGTAACTAAGGGCAAGAGTGAAGTAGACTTCTCTCATTGACATACACACGAGAAACCTTACCGAAAATTGGAACGTTTCCTCTCAATCTGAAAAAAAAAAAAAAAAAAAAAAGGCAACTTTTATTGCCGGGCTTGACTGATGAGGCAGGGCTTTGCGAACCCCTAAAATGCCTTCGTGGACCCCAAAGAGTCCGCGGACCCCCATTCGAGAACCACTGTTGTAGATGATTGATTAAATTCGAGTAAATGATCTGCTTTAGCATTTTACAAGAAACACTTGTTAAAGAGATAGGCCTATAGTTGCATGTGTTGGTTTTATCTCCACTTTTATGTACTGGGACCATGTTGGCACTTTATTTAGTCAAAAGGAAGTTTGCTCTGTTCAAGAGACTTTTTAAACAACACGGTTAGGTAAGGGGAAATCGAAACAGTTTTTCAGAATGAAGTTGGAATTACAATCTGGGCCTGAGGCACTGTTACTTTGATCTTTTGCAATAACAACACAATGCGACTCTCCGAGGAGTTTATGTTATCCATTTGTGTAACTACGTTTGAGGACGGTAATCTATCTACCGGGTTGACCGGCTTAGGGAAAACTGATTGGAAATAAAGAATAAAGTTTTCAGCCTTGCTCTTTAGGTTAGTTCCGTAATTGACACCATCTGTGACATTGGGGATAGTGATGCTAGGAGGTTTCTTGTTTTTGACGTATTTCCAGACCTCTTTAGGATTTCTTTTTAGTTTGTCAGGTAGAGTGTCTAGATATTTATTTTGTGCCTTGTACATTTCTTTTGTTATGAACTAGTCAGGCTCTGAAGAAGTCCTGAATTCCTTGTAACCCGGGAAATACTGAGCATGATTTTATTCCTTCTTTATTTCTAGAGGTTAGGGGGACATAACCAGATCTTCCCAATTTTGTGGACTAGTCATGTCTCGTTAGTATGGGTGCCTTGCTATATAAACTAAATTTTCTAGGACGAACTTATCCTTTTATTGTGGACAATCTTTTGGGGAATGGAAAGTTCATATTAACGGAAAATGACTGTACCGCTATTTTTGTCAGGGTCGCCAAACTTGAACGCAGGAAACCGTTCTATTTCCCCCTCAGGCCGATGCCGGCGACGGCACCAACGAAGACGCTCCGAACCGGAAAGCCAAGGCGAAAAAGGGCGCCAAGAACGCGGACAGCGATGACGAAGATGCCCGGCCCGTCACCAAGGGGAAGAAGGGCAAGAAGGGAAAGGGCGGAGGCGAGAGCGAGGAGGAGGAGGAAGCAGTGAAGCCCGCACGGAAAGGGAAGAAAGGAAAGAAGGGGGCGGAGTCTGACGAGGAGGAGGAGCCAGCCACGAAACCGACCAAGGGGAAGAAGGGAAAGAAGAAGGGGGCAGAGTCTGACGAGGAAGAGGAGGAGGCGCCCAAGCTGCCCAAAGGAAAGAAGGGAAGGAAGGGGGCGGAGTCTGACGAGGAGGAGGAGGAGGCGCCCAAGCCGGCCAAAGGGAAGAAGGGAAGGAAGGCGGCGGAATCTGATGAGGAGGAGGAGGAGCCAGCGGCGAAACCAGCCAAGGGGAAGAAGGGAAAGAAAAAGGGGGCGGAGTCGGACGAGGAAGAGGAGGTTCCCAAGCTCCCCAAGGGGAAGAAGGGCAAAAAGAAGGGGGCGGATTCTGACGAAGAGGAGGAGGCGTCGACGAAGAAAGCCGGCGGGTTCTCCCTGCTCGACCTGGGGGAGGAGGGGGATGAAGGGGAGGAGAGTGGGAAGGAGGAAGAGCCTGAAGAGGAGGAGGAGAAGGTGAGTTTTCCTTTTCTCGTTTCGGCGGGCAACCATGGGTTTCTGTGGTCACCGACAGCTCAAGAAACGCAGAGCTTATTATGTTTGTGATTAGTTTTATTGGCAGACAATGCAACCCGATTGTTCGCAGAGCGATATTGAAATGTTTGGGACGGCCATTTTTTCTAGCTACCCAAACAAATTTGCATTTTCTGAATACCCGGACTTTAGTCTTCATCATATGCTTTTTATTGTCTCGAAATTCAAAATATCAGTTGAGAAAACCGTAAATGAAGATGATGCCAAAAGCAACATTCAGATTTCCTTGTGCACTCCAGTGGTGTGACATCACAAATGGCAGAGACTTTCAGGTGGGCGGGTAGTCTCAAACTGAGCATGTCAGGCATTTTTTTTGTTCTTCTTCATGAACGAGCTTCCAAGCATTCTTTTCCCACCATCAGATGTCTTGTAATGAAAAGCACGATGAGAATGAAATTAAAAAATTCAATAACTTCGCAAATGTTTATTTACACAATATTTTGGGGGGTATTGATACAGCCGCATCTATCAGTGTGTTGAGCCAATTTTGAGGCAAATCAACGACCATAAAAAAATAGCCGGAGTATCCCTTAAAAAAACACTAAGACCCCCCCCCCCCCCCCCCCCCACAATATTTTTTTATTTTTTGCCATGCGATTCATTATGGAGTCGGAAGACTAGCCAATTAATATTTTGCTACAGCATCACGTACATTTCTAATAAAGTGAAGAAAAAAGTGCAACTACTCAAAACTGAAGCTGAAGTGGGGAGAAAGAAGAAATATAAAGGAGAAAGTTACCAGAAATCACGTGGCTGTGCAACTTTTTTTTTTTTTTCCAATCAATGCGTTTGCAACTTTTAGGAGCCACAACAAATGGGTATAATTTTTTTTTCATTTCTAGTATTGAGTGTGGGCCTTTGATGACTCAAAACTTTGATTATCTTTGGCGGTTGTGTCTAAACCATAGAAAATGGCACGTGACCACAAAGAAAAGAGTGAGCGCGACTCAAACCGGCCAGTTCTCAATCGACGGTTTTTGGGTGGAAAGAAGACGAATTTCGAGCTGCAAATTGTGTTCTGGGCAGTTGGGCTCTCCTATGTCACTGGCAAATAAAACCTTGGCGATCATAAATACCCTGTCAATGTCCCTTTAAGCTCCCAGGGGCTACAGAATGGCATTGGTTGTTCCCAGTTGGCTTTAGATGCTTGCAAGCAGCGACGCCTCAAGAGCCGATGTGGCCTACGTGGACAAAAAACGCCTTGTTCGGGGTGCCAGTCTGGCAGTTGTGGGCACGACTCGGCAACGCATCGGATGGTCTACGCATGCCAACAGCAAGATTGTGGCCCCCAGAGATCATGCTTGCAAGCGTGTATAGTCGACCGCCTAAGAAACGCGGGTGTGGCGAGTTGTAAGCATCTTATCACTCCGCAGCTAGTGAGATCACGCTATAAGCCGGCAAGGACACTGAAGAACAAATCACATGGCAGAAAGCGTGGAAGTCATAAGCGACGCCCCACGTTTGTTAAGTTGTTCGTGACCTCAGCGCTCAGATCTTTCTGCTCACGCTTCGCTTTGGGGACAGGTGGTCAGGGAGGAGAAGAAGGAAAAAAAGAAGAAGGAGAAAAAGAAGAAGAAAAAGCAGGACGACGACGAGGATGAGTTGGACAAGATGCTGGAGGAACTGGCCCTGGAGATCGAGGGCAAAAACCCGCCTCCCTCCAAGGACGCTCCCGCCGCCACTCCTGCGGGAGACGAGGTGAGGGTCACGCCTCTTCCTCTCTTTCTCTTTTTGCTCGTGGTCTTAGTGGAGTTGCCGTCTTGTTTGCCTGTGTTCTTGCTGGAACACGAGCAGACGGGGCCAGGGGTGCATGGCTCGTCATGATGCCGCATTGATGTAGTGCTTATTGCTTCGAGGAAGCTGCCTCGTGGCGCTGCCCGATCGGAAAGCGGCCGCAATGCTGGACTCGCAAAAATCTCACCCGATTTCACCAGACATTGAAATTGATATAAAAACACCTAAAAGCTTTTGGGCATTCATATTTTGAATACCATGTAATCCAATGTATGATTCATGATTTTTCAAAAAATTTCCGTCGATGCGTTTTACACAATGGTGCGCCGTATGCTCATTTTTTTGTGTTTGATGAACCTAAACTGCGGGAATTTCTCACAGGCGATTATATTTTTGGTTTGATTCATTGACGAGAATATTGAAACTTGCTCTCACTTGTGCATGTCATTCGTTCATAATAGACATATGCTGTCCTTTCAGTACAGTTCCGCTGTGCCGAATGTACAAATATACATACCGTAGAATACCGCGCATCCAACTATTCCACTTTAAGCGCCCATTCCCAAATCTGTTAAGATTTGAGAAAATACGGACAGTACATTTATATGTAAAATTGATGACCGGACAAGCGCTCACCCCCATTTTTTTGCGATTGTCTCCAAAGTTTGAGTGGGTGCTTGCCCGGTATTTTACGGCAGGTGGGACTTATCGACCAGTATCTACGGTACATATTTTAGAAAGGATGTAAATTAAGCACCATCAGTTTCAGGTACATAGGCATTCTATTGGTGTGCTCAAAGACACAAAACCAAGTAAAATGAAAGAGACCGGCGAAGCTCAAATATCACCTTGCTTTTTGCAATGTCATCTTGAGAGAAAAGAAAAAGATTTGTGTATAGTTCGTGCACTGCACGAAATAGCGTTGTATGTATGTTATGATGATATACTAAGGAAGGATCTTAAAAGCACAAACAAAAGCATTATCGCCATTTGGCCGTTTGTGTTATGTGCCCTCTTTGGTCGGTTGCTTTTACGTAAACAACAGGGCTGTGCGAATATTAGAGATTTCGGGATTGAATATTTTTCTTATTCTATTCGTATTCGATTCAAGAACTGAATATTAGAAAATTTCCGAATACTATTTGGTTATAGCCAAATATTCGGGCAATGTACGAATATTCAGGCAAATAGCGAAGAATCCGCGAATGCGACATGCCCTGAACATTCAGAGCTTCCTTAAAGTCCGTGTTTAGTTGCCTAAAATTGCGGGTATCGTAGAGATATTTCTATAAACCCTTGCTGTTTACATTATACGTAGAACTACCATGTTTGCACAATCTAGCACGCCCCCAAATCTAACGTGCAGGTAAATTTAACTCTCAGGTATTCAAAAAGTAAATTTATTCTACTGTGCAGGTAAAATAATCAAGGTTGAATACATACCTGATGGAACGGATTTTATGAAACGCATGCCAACACAAAAATAAATACCGTGCACTAGTCGCCGTTGTCGAAGTTTGACGATGGTTCTTCGCTGTCCACAGAGGTACTGTGCAACCCACTTATAACGGTGACACATATAACGATCAGTTTCTACAGTTTCTAGACGGGAAATGATCAGTTTCTAGTCCAGATACAACGATAATCGGTTATAGCGATAGAAATTTCGGGTTTTCTCATTATTGTTATAAGTGGGTTGTACTGTAATCCTTGCTTTCTTCTAAAGCGTTTTAGGTGCTGTGCTTCTCGCGCTTATACGGGTGTGCGACCATCGCCTGTGGGGGGGGGGTCGTCTTCCAAAACAACACCTTGCGAGCTTGTCAGGTTGCTGGGATTGCGAGGCCACGCAGTGCTACTCCGTTGTTATCTATTCCCGCTTGCTTGATGGCCTTCCGTTTAAGGGGGAACACTGGTCTTAAAGCTTTCTTTTTCGTTTTATCACCAAACCCAATGAAACTGCACAAGTTTGTTCAGCTTTTTGTACCGATTTCGTATATCTGGTCATTTTTCCAGTCAGTAGAATTGTCCTCGAAATAATTAAAACTTGCCTGCCTTTGGAAAAACGATAGAAAAAAAACTGCTCAACAAAATATTCTTTTTAACACATGGCTAGATACTACAATCTGTAGAGAATACAATGTTGGGAGCACTTTTAAGATATACTTATTATTAGTGATTTTACCACACATTGAAGTTCAGTGCTCAATGCACGGCTAACAAGTAATATAAAAAAAAAATCAAATAGAAACTTTACTAGACCTACATTAAAAAATCTGCTCTCAACATTGTATGCTTCACGCATTCAGCTACACATTTCAAGAATGTTTATATTTCTATCTGCTCTAGATGCTGAGATATCCCTCTTGCAAATTTTCAACGAGTCCAAAAATTGTGTTTTGTGGAAACAATGTTTTGAGAGTCAACTTCAATGCACATTCAGTCCACATGGATGTTATAAATTGATTTATAGCTCAAATATTCATTCACAAAATTGTAAGCCTGGTAGATTCAGAAGAACAGTCATTGCCATTTTCAAAAGAATGCAGTTTTAGGAAGTTTTTGACTCCAAAGACCCATGTCCCCCCTTAGATAAAACCTCCTAGAGGAATTTTTGTTTTGTTTTTCTATCTTAACGGCAGACACAAGTCCGTAGACGTAAGAGAATTTGCGTGACACGGTTACCAAAACAGCGAATGTAAACAAACGGTCACGATGGGCGATGGGGCTAGTCGCCTTATAAACCAAGTATTGCACTTTTATTTTGAGTTTCGGTTTTTTGTTTTTATTCTAACGCGCATGTGATCTGGGGCACATTTTTGGCGAAAAAAAGTTGCGTTAATTGTGCAAACAGGTATGTATTTGCTCACGACAAAAGAGCAGTTTTGGTTTTGGTTTTGCCAGGCCTGCATTGTGAGTCGCTTTTCTAGCGACCTTATCATTTCTGCTGCAGGAGCAAGGTAATTTTTCTGCTGCAGTTGTCACTGCGAAAAGGGAGCGCTTCTGTACTGAACGCAGCTAAGCTTGGCCCAACTAGCTTGTTTGAGACGTCCATTGATCACGAGTTGAGGGTCAGGAACCAGTTTGTCTCGCACGCAGGCAGCTGAAGCCAAAGAGGCAGCGGTGGCCAAGAAAAAGAAAAAGAGAGAAAAGAAGGCGGCTGCCAAGGAAGACGGGGCAGAGGATGGAGAGGAACCCAAGGAGGAAGGTGCTGCCCCTGCCGCCGACACCAAAAAGTCCAAGAAGGTGCATCCCAAGTTTTTTTTTTTTTTTTTTCTCTTCTAAAAAAAGCAACTTGTGTTTAAATAAAAAAAAAATGTTTTTGAGTGTTGCACATAAGAACTTGAGCTAAGGAGTTTGAGGTTATTGAACAGTGTATTTAGTTTCGTAATCAATACTATTCCATTCAAGCATACTTTGCAGGGGAATACTATTTTGTTTGGCTTTGATTTTCATGCCTCAAATAACCGTTTACAGGCGCTCATGTGTTTCAAGAGTGATTGCCGTGAGGGGCCTTTTTAAACAAAAAGAATGGCTCTTTTCACAGCATCCTTTTTAATATGTTGAATGCTATTAAGCATACTTAAATAGGTGCTTAAGTGTATGAAGGAATCAAACTTGCTTTGCAATGGATGCTACCAAGTAGGTTGCACTGGTGTGGGAGAGTAAACAAGACATTGCCTTTTGGTTGAAGGGGCAAACTTATAGATCTTAACAGTATATGCAGTGGAATGAACAAGAATGAACCCCAAAAGTTGTACAACATACTTCTGGCTGCTTCAAAAGGTGCTCCAAAGTGACTGGGCCAGTTACATCACAGTGCAATTTGTTTTTCTTTCTCTAGGGGTGTAAGCCAGTAATAATAAAGTTTTTTTTTGCATCGAAAAGAAAAAATGCCAGAGGGCTTCAGGAAAAAGCTATCACAATGACAGGTTCACAAAGCCACAGGCCCCCACACTGGCAGATTCAGAGCATGGATGACTCGCATAATAAATAAAATAAGCAAAGATAGTCAGGGTATTGATAAGAAAAACTAATTCCTAATCAGGGTGTCGAACCGGAACCGAACCGAACCAAAAACCGGAACCGAACCGGTATTTTTTCCGGAACTGAACCCGAACCCGAACCGTTATATTGTTATCGCGATGAACCCGAACCGGAACTGAACCGGAAAAAAAATAACGGTTACCGGCTCACGTCAAAACGGTTCGGCCACGCGCTGTTGACATTGTGCTATCAATGCCATTTGTTTTTTAAGTGCCGTCAACTGACACACACCTCGCTTACATATTTTTCTTCTCCACTCAGTCTTAGGAATATAAACACTGCATTCATGAATCTTGACAAATGCTGCATCCATGAATCTTGACATAGGAACCAGTATTGCGCTGGTCGCGGCTTGCACGGAAAAAAGAAAATTGAAAAGCTGTGCAAAAAAAAAAAAAATCGCGTCACAGGGTTTTATTTTCCTACAATCTCGTAAATCCTAAATGCTGCTGTGTGCTCATTTCATAACACGTTTCTAGAACGCGCGAGTTCTTGAAGCTTGCTTCCATCGGAATGAGAAAAGAAAAGGCTGTAGAGTTTGGTAATAATGCATCCGGTTTCGTATAGGCACTTAGAAGCTAACATATTTGTGAGACAGCGAACTCTTCTATTTTGATATTTATCCTATTACGTCCTTCTGGCGTTGCGTTCGGTGAAGTGTTTTTCATATTTCGTATCTTGTTTAATGAAAACTTCTTTAAGGGTCTAATTTGAGTTACCGAAGGCTAGTTCAAATAAAGAAAGCTGTATTTTCTCCCCACTGTTCCTTCAACTGCTTACACGCCGAGGTGGCGGGACAGTTAGCGAGTTCTACTTGTAAGTGGGTTTGTAAGGAGGTCGCGGATTTTACAGCTACTGCGTCGGACCCAATTAGATGAAGTCCGAATGCGTAAACGTCGGTGAGGTAACCTTTGAGCGCACATAAAGAAACCATTCCTGGTAGAAATCCCTCAGCCTTACACTACGATGTATCCCGTTTTGTATCTGCTGATTTCAGATGTTTTATTTGTAATTTATTTGATGTTGCAATTTGTCATTTATAATTTCCGAACCGGTTTGCGAACTTGTTCAGCGCCCCGAACCGGTTCGGGAACCGGTTTGCGGATCGAATTAATCGAACCGGAACTGAACCGGAACAAAATTAATTCACCTGAACCTGAACTGTAACCGAACCCATATTTTTTTCGGTTCGACACACTGTTCCTAATAAACAAAAAGTCCATGATGACTAAGAAGACTATAGCTTTCTCGGGAAGCTGTGGGCATTATTGATGATGGTGCTCATACTGCTTTTTAGATCAAATGAGTGTGCCCTTTTTTTTATTAATGGTTTTTATTGTTCGTATGCAGAAGAAAAAAGATGCTGCCAAGAAAGAAGCAGAGGCTCCTGCTCCACCCAGCAAAGAGGCAACGCCGACACCCGCCGCCGATTCCGAAGAACCCGCCGCGGCCGATGTTGCCGAAGGTTAGCATTCCTTGTAGAGAAAGTTTTTTAATGCGCACGGTGGTGTCCAGTTCCCCTCTTTTTGTCCTCGTCTTCGAGCGCTGCCATGCATTCTCAAATTAAGCACCAACTTTCACAACAATCAGCACTGTTCTGTTTCTAAAGAAATGCTGGCTTGCTTTACTGCACTAGGAAAAGCGTCACGGCAGATGGGTGCAGGTTATTTAAGGATGGTACGTTCTAATCGCACTACAAGGCAGGGTTTTTGGGTTAATTACATTTGGTGCGTCTCCTTTTTTCGAGTTGTGGATAAGTAAGTTTGTAGTACTAATCAACATAAACGAAGGAGCATTAGAGGCAATGGCAATTGAGAAAGTGTCACTTTCTTTGGATGCCTTCTCTTTTCACATAACCCCAGACCGGCGAATATTTTTTGTGTGTCACCAGGCTTGAGTGAGTGTGCTTACTGTTTGATTTCAGGTTTTGATACTCTGCTACTGTTTGCCATCAAGGCCAATTACTCTAGCATTGTCTAGCATTTTGAAAGGCGTGGCTCGAGCATGTTGCTTTACAAAGTGCTCCTCGTGTACACTGCGCGACACTGTTGGAGCAAATGCGGCACTTTTGCGATTTTTCGCATTTTACTTTGAAAAGACACTGGCAGGCACCAAATTTTACCCCATGGGTTACTTCCCTAAATGAGTACTTTCTGGAAGTTTAGTAACTTTAGTGACAACCTATAAGTCAGTGGTTCTCAAATGCGGTTCCGCGAACCCACTAAGGTCCGCGAAGCTCCTACCTCATCCTCCCCCGCCCCTCTTTTCTTGAAAATAAAAAAATTACTATTTTTGTTCACCTTGGCTAGGTGGCACAAGCTCCCGCCCGTTATTAGCGGCTAGATGTTTCGGTGGCGCCCTCGTTGGGTTCCCTCTCGTGACGTCATTACGTTGTAAACAAGTTCGATGGTGTTAGTAATGGGCGTGGTGGTGGAAGCCTGAAATCATAGTTTTCTCATAGCAACACTGCCAACACTGTCAAAATTGGAGTTCTTACATTCCTCTTATTTCCGTCGATGAGACATCCTTTGCTGTTGTCATTGTCAGCATTCGGCCAATTGTGGTGGGCCGACCACAGCGACGCTTTCGATCGCTCACGTTGTCAATGGGGGGCACAGACGTTACCATCTATCCATCCAGTCATCCTTTTAGTTGATGCTTCTCACTTCTGTCTACAACTGTAAAAGATTCCCTTTTCACACTGCAATTAGTGGTCTTATTTTATACCCCCTCCTAGAGCACTGCACGGGCCGGAATTTCTAGGCCCGACCCGGCCCAGTAGAGGCACTGCCTGGGCCCGGCCTGAGCCCGACAAAATTTTTAATTTCTAGGCCCGGCCCGACCCGGCCCGGAAGAGACACGGCCCGTGCCCGGCCCGAGCCTGACAGAATTTTTCATTTCTAGGCCCCGCCCGACCCGGCCCGATGGCTGTAGCCCGAAACAACCCATTCCCATTTGAACCGGTCCCGTTTCGACCCGTTCCCGAAACGAGCTCCCCATTTGAACCCGTCCTGTTTCGACCCATTCTTTAAACGCCCTTCCCATATGAACCCGTCCCGTTTCGACCAGTTCCCTAAACGCCCTTCTCGTTTGAATTTGTCCTGTTTCGACCCATTCCCTAAATGCCCTTCTTATTTGAACCAGTTTCCGAAACACCTTTTGCGTTTGAACGCGTCCCGTTTCAACCCACCTTTATAAGTGGGTTGAAACGGGACACCGCAACCTCGCACACCGCAACCTGCACACCGCAACCTCGCAAAAAGTCTCCATTGTTCTAAGCCTGGTCTGCGCACCTTTTCTGTTTAAGAATATGTTCTGAAGTAGCTTTACATGTCAACGCATTCTTAAAATATACAACCCTTTCAGGCAAGCTTAAGTTTGATATACAGTTGAACCTTGATGTAACGAAGTCGGTAAAATTCGCAATTTACTTCGTTACATTGAAATTTCGCTAAATCAAAATTTGGCTTTAGCATGCGAAAAAAAAAAAATTCCGAAACATTTTACGGGTATGAAAACTCACCGAAAATGACATTTATTTAGGGGCAAAGTAGTCCGCGAGTTTTGCTTGCGCCTTGTCCGACAGTAGCAGCGGCGTCGGCGGCGTCATACGGCGTTCGAGCGCCGAGAGCGCTTGCACGGCATCTTGCTGCCCATGCGACGCCGTGTACCACTGTGCCGTGTACCTCCTCAGTACGTCCATTGCGTCGAACACTTCCGGAGTGCTCGTGATCTCGGCAGTTTCTTCAGGATGGCGTCCAAAACGTTTGCTTTCTCATCCAAAGAAAGAACTTTACGTTTCCTTATGGCAGCAAGCACGTGAGTGAACCGCCCGGTTAAAAAATAAAGCTGTTTAGTTTAGGCGGTGCCAATGTTTAGTTTAGGCGGTGCCAACCTACACAGCACTCTTGACCGCACAGTTTACTTGCCCCCTTGCGCCCACAGTGTGCTTGCGCCTTTGCTTTACATCACGCTCGCAAGACGATAATCGGTCTTTTCGGTCTTCTCCTAGATGGCACTGCCCGTGCGGTCGCGCGGTATCGCGCGGATCGCGCGGTCGCGCCATCACGTCGCTCCCCCGCTGAAGTTGGCTCCCGCGCTACCCGCGGTACAGTGGACCATGATGATCAGTGAATGTCAGTGGTGATGCTGTTATGCCGTGTTAACTTTTTGCTCGGCATTTTCTGGCCAGCCTCGCGGAATCCGCTTTGCCGCATGCCTCGCCGGCGCTACCGGCGCCGCATCCTCGGGCAGCCTAGGAACGTTGGAAGGCCTGTCCCCGTGAAGTAACCTATCAAGCGCTCGCGTTTGCGCATAATTTTTTTTTTTAACCACAATTTTTTTGCGAAGTTGTTTTTTAGAGTTGATTTATTTATTGCCTTCTATGGTAATGGCGCTTCGTTATATTGAAATAGCAGCAAAATAGACTTCGTTATATAGGGACTAAAAATACATGGGGTCTATGGGCAAGAAATTATGAAAAATAAAATACTTCGTTAAATCGAGGATTTCGTTACATTGAAGTTCGTTATATCGAGGTTCGACTGTATTCCTACTTAACGTTTTAAAACATTTTTTCAAGATGGTTCCCAAAACGTGCAAGCGCGAAATGGACTGTACACTGCGCGACACTGATACCGCAAACACGACGTTGGCTCATTTTTCGAATTTTACTTCGAAATGGTGTTAGTAGGCACCAAAGTATACCGCTTAGGTCTGTGGCCGAGATGAGCACTTCTAAAGACACTAATAGTTTTGAAAACAGCCTTTTGATTCTATGAGATAAACATAAAAACACGATGATCGCTTGTTCGCGCTAATATAGTGTTGCGCTCTGTGCAAGAGTCTCAGAATAACGTACTCAAGCACTTTGGGCAAGCTAAAATTAGCATCGCCATAGGTTTTACATCGCAACGCTATTTTTACGGTACCCAAAGCGCTTGCATACGTTTTTCTAAATCTTCGTAATAGTGAACTAGATATTTTTGAGAGCGATGAATCAGACAGGTTGACAAGCATATGACTGGGACTTTATTTTGTTTACAATTTATAACACTGAACCCTCGCTCACACGGAAAAAGTTCTTGTGCCGCGCCGGTCCGGGCCGGCCCGGGCCGGCGCGGCCTGAGAACTTTTTTGTTCTAGCCCGAGCCCGGCCCGGGCCCGAGAAAATACGTACTACCCTGCCCGACCCCGGCCTGCGGGCCAAGCCGGGCTCGGGCTTTCGGGCTGGCTCGGGCCCGTGCAGTGCTCTACCCCCTCCTTCCCCTTCCCCCACTGGCAGGGGTACTCCGTCACCTTGGTGGGTCTCCAAGTGATCCCCGACACATCGGTGGTCGAGAATCACTGCTCTAGGTTCTAAGAGGAAAAGAAACAACAAAACTGGCGATTGCTTGTTTGCATTAACAGTGTCGCATCGTGCACAGGTGCTCGTGTATCTAAAACATTTCACGGAGTCGTGCTCTTGCACCTATGCCTTTGGTGGAGCTGCACACGAGTTGCGCGTTAGAGACGGAGTAACCAAACCTGAACTAAGCTGGCCATTCTCCTCGTGCCGACGTTTAAGCCGAGTTGTTTTCTTGAATCCACATTGTTTCTTTATCCAGGTTCGGATGAAGAGGGAGGCGATGGCAAGAAAAAGAAAAAGAAGAAGAAAGACAAGGAGGAGGAGGACAAAAAGAAACTCAAAAGGCCGGGCTCTAAACAGGTGGGTTTTCCGTCGACAAAAGCATTTTTTACAAAACTCGACTCGCGCATATTTGTGAAATAGTACAACTGTGTTGTTGATTGTCTCTCGGAAGAGTTGCTTAGCCTATTCGTGTTGCCAAGCAACTCCCCTGTAAAGCGTAACGTTTGTTTCGCTTTTAAGGTTGTGGGCGGTAGACATACTGCTCCGTGCTGTGTTTTCTTTAGCGAAAGTTGCAAGAGTATGAAGTTGTTGTCGTCGTGCGCTGTTGCAGATTGCGGCCATTCAGGAGCACCTGAAGAAATTGAAGGAGGAGGAGGAGAAGAGGAAGCAAGAAGAGGAGGAGAGGATAAAGGCCGAGGAAGAGGCGGAGAGGCAGCGTGAGGAGAAGGTGAGTGCACACGGCCTTTTTTTCGACGCTAGGTGCAGTGGCGGTTTGTCCCAAGACCGGTTACTCCAGAGTTGGCGAGAAGTGGGGCTTGCATTTACGCGTGGGTGTACACGGCTTGCACATGGCATTCTCCTGCCTTGCCGGTGGTTCCTGTTTGTTCTTGCCGAGAAGAACCGACTCGATCGTGAAAAATCTAGGCTGCCTAAAGTATAAGCTTGGTGGTGAGGAAACCACCACCTTGGCAACTGATGTGAAGTTGGTGAGAGCTATGAACAGTCTGGAAGCTAAACCTTTATTTGGTACCGGTCGTAGGCACAGCAGAAATTAGTTGCACTATTTTTTATTTTATTGGTTTTGACAGCTTAAAGACTCCCTGTGTATACTACTATCAACCTGCGAAACATGGAATTGTCTGGTTATTTCAATGCATATGGAAGAGCGAAAAAAACTGAGGGAAAGCATCGGAAAATGGTAAAGTCGAGGAAAATGGCCAGGTGTGCAGCGCTGTGATGCGCAATGAAGCAGGAGGGCGTGTTGTGCAGTGGCGTGGATGGCGTCTGCGCCGACTAAAAGTTGCTCAACTCCGAGACACAAATGGGCAGAATAAGCCACCGCTCTACTTTCCGTATTGAGGAGGTACAGCCCAAAAAGCTGCTGCAACCTCGTCCTTCGCATGTCATCTTTTTGTAGTAATCGGGGAATTTAATCGAAATATGATGGGAAAAATGGGAAAAGTCGGGGCTTTTGAGAGAAGAATTTTGGCAGAAGCCCTGCTTTAGAGACAGGTTAAAAAGGGTAACGGGCGGACGAAAGAGGCACGTCCGAAAATTACACTCGCAGTATTGAGGGGTGCTGTTACGCTCAAAGTCGAATGTGCAAGGACTAATGTGGAAGGCATCGATGTCAGAAGGGCCTTGTGTAGAAGTAACTGGCGTACAATTTTGAACACAGCAGTTACAAATGGGTGGACGGAGAAAAATCTAAGGGTACACCTTGGAAACAATCAATCGAATACTGCCACTGCGCATATTAACGAGTAGATACCTGCCCGAATTTCTTTTATGCGCACGACTCGGCTGTTTCTTCTCACATTCAGTTGAAGCAAGAGCAAGAACGGAAGGAGCGCAAGAAGCAGAAGGAGAAGGAGAGGAGGGAAAGAGCGAAGGCGGAAGGCCGTCTGCTGACCAAGGCGCAGAAGACTGCCCGGGCGAGGATGGAGGCCACCCTCAAGGCTCTCAAGGAGCAGGGTGATTGGCCGCGTCTTCTTCTCTGTCTCGGGGGCGGAAGCGTCGCTCTGGAAGTGGGGCAACCGAAGGGCCTTCTCGTTGTTCTCGTCCCGTCGAGGACTACGGCGAGCATTTTGTCGTAGTGCCCGGAAGACCGGAGCACCTCGGCGCCCGGTACTGGAGTTTCTGCGATAGACGACCATTTGCTAAATCCCCGAAGTGCCCCAGCCTGCACTCGAGGAATCATGGGAACGGTGTTCCTTCAGCTCCCTAGTGATCGGTGATTTCCACCAGTTCTATAGTTACACAGTTTTGAGTGCAATTTGGAGTTACCCTGAACAAGCGTTGTATAGAGCCCAAGGACCTGTCATATCACTTTTAAAATTTTTCGTCAGTGTCGGCGTTTTCAATAGTGTGCATGCTGCCCACCTTTCAACCTGGCTGAGCTCCAGTCGGCGACGGAGCAAAAAGATGCGTCCAAGCTTCCCCCGGCACCTCGCCCGAAGCTCGGAAAGCCGCATCTTCGAATCGAAACCATCGCCGACTGTGCCCATTCTGCACCAAGCGCCGAAGTGGCGGCGCTCACGAGAAAATCGGGAAATGCAGTGCGCCGTCGCCTACTCAAAAATTGAAAACCCGCCAGAGGCACCTCGGAAAACCGTCTAAAACCTCTGAATTTAAGGCGCGGTGCTGAGAATGGCTGTTTTAACGCCGTGCTTCGACGTTTGCCACAACAAGCTTGGTTTGCTCCCCAATACCTCAATGACAACGCAAGCGTTATTCTCACTGAACATTTCTGTTGAGAGTAAGCAAAAATAACAACCCCCTGACTAAGTTATTGCAGAAATTGGGCTATTTACGGTTGATAAGTGTGAACTGAAGGACATTGTAGACCGCCAGAAAATGCTCTTACACAACGTGAAAACGGTTGAATATCCCGCCAACTGCAAAACGCCAATTTCTCCCTCTAGGCAACTCGGAAAAATAGTGATGGGGCAAAACTTTTTCCAGAACAGGTTTGGACCCGAAACAGGGGTTCCGAAAAGTTTCGGATGGGCGGCCGAACCTCGGTGTGTTTCGTATAGGTTCGGATAGTTTTGAAGCGTTGCCAGAGTGGCCAGACCACATTATTGAGTGTTGCAACACTTTTAACAAAACAGTCTTGTAAACCACATTAAATAACTAAAATGTTAAATATAAATACTTAATGGAACAAAATAAACTTATCGGAGATATGAAGTAACAAACGACGTGACACAAAATGTTGCGATTTTGTGTTGTTGGTCAAAACTAGGGGTGTGCGAATACCGAATAGTAGTTTTCGAATCGAATACCGAATCGAATCAAGAAAAAAAAGCCAAATATCGAATCGAATATCGAATAGTGATTTTATTTGCGGGTATTTTTCAAAGTGTGCGGCGGATGAGATTTTTATATGCGCAGAGTATGCGCCTGTTGGAGAATAGGCATTTTGTACGAAACAAAAGTTAAAATGTAAAAAAATCTGGTGAAAATAAAATAAAAAAATAAATAAAAGCAGTTGCTGTTGGATGTTGGACACTAGAGATCCAATTTTATGGCACAAATATAATCTATCTACCCTAAACATTGCAAAAAAAAACTACCAAAGTTACAGCCACGCATGCCTTTTTTTTCTTGTTAAAAGCACAACCGAACATTGCGACTTTCTTTTTTTCTTTTTTATAAATATTTGTATATCCCAGAAAAGGGGCATTTCGCAATATTTGGTTTCCATTTTAAGGAAGAGAAAGGGCACCCAGGATTTTATTTCACATAAATAAACAGATAGGTGTTAAATCGGAGTAAACAGGCTTAAACAATATAATCTGAAGCAAGAAAAAAAAATGTGGTTAGGTGGCGCAAGACACCGTCCAACTGCCGCTATGCATCCATTTTTCCGTCTATCTATCCTGTTTTAGAGAGCCTTGATTTAAAAGAGGGAGCAAGCGAAACTGAAACTGAAACCACGGTGACGGCTCCAGCGCAGATTGGTCGTAAGTGCACGTGTGTTGTGTTGCCGCGTGGAAAAAGGCGAGCAAACAGAAGGGCAACGACGCCTGCCCTCCCTGCCCTGCCTGCCCGATCCCGATCGACGCTTTCGTCTTTTCGTCACCGTCTCGCAGTTTGTAATTCAAACGCGGCTATTGAACGGTTGGAAACCCTCTCAAATCTAGGCACACTATTTTTCCCTTCCGTTTCGTTCCGAATCAGAATTTGCGGCTTGCGGTTCGTAAAGGATGACGACGGTAACTCGGCTGATTTCATCGGCGTGGTTAACGTGGTTTTGTTTCTGTGATCGTGCAGTCGCCAATTTCTGTGGGTGCGGCCCAAGTGTGTTTTACATCGGTGCTTCGATTTGAAACAAGGGGCTTTACTCGTGAAAAGAATTAGGCATGGCGCGGGATTCCGGCCTCCCAACCATTCCTCTCTGGAAGCGGCGCAAACGGGATGTTTCGGTTGTGATTCAAGGGTAGATTGTGTCACGATCATGAGTAAATCTGCGTGCTATAAAGTTTGTGGCGTTCGTTACTTTTCTTTTTTCTAACTTGTGGGTTAGATTTTTGTGGAATGGTAGGACCAAGAGCTGTTTTTTGCATGATCTGTCGAACATCACGGCGCTTTCATTGGGAGAAAAAACGGCTTTTTTGTCAGCTCCGCGCCGACCGCGCGTCTTTGGCCGAATATATTGAATATTCGAGTGACCGAATACTAGGAGTTCGATTTGCGAATCGAATTATTCGGGAACTTTCTATTCGATTCAAATTCATATATTCGAGTATTCGCACACCCCTAGTCAAAACGCTTTTGATTTCAGAACTTCCATAGTCACATTGTCACGCGACCAAAACAAAGCAGGCAGGTAGCTGAAATCGATTAGCACAAATTGCAATGCTCGTTTTCATCACTTCAAAAGCTTGACGACGTGTGTGGTGTTCGTTCCAAGTGCCAAGTAAGTTGTGGCTTACGTTGCTACAACACAGGTGACACGTTGAAGTGACTGTGTCGGAAGATCTCTGACATCTGTGTTATGCAGTCGAGAATATATGCGGACGTGCTGCCCAAAACCTCTTGTACTGTGTACGTGTATCATGTTTATAAGAAGGGAACATTGTAGGTTTACGTACAGTTCATTCCAACAAACTTGTTAAGTGTATCATAAACACGGGTACTGTTTCAAAGAGGACGTACCGAGCGACTATATTTCGCAGAAGCACAGGCTGCAAACAAACAGTAGTGACAGGCCTTTACAAAGCTAAGGCTATTTGCACAGTACAGATTAACGAGGTTTGCTTCATTTTCCATCACTAACTGCTGCAGTGGCTATGTACCGTATTTGCACGAATATAACGCGAGTTTTTTTCCGAAATTACGTGCTCCAAAACGCACCTCGCGTTATATTCGGAATCGAGTTCAGCCACGAGGCGCGCGAGTCTGGAGAAAGCCAGAGGAGAAAGCCATCCCTTCAGCTCAATGCAAAATATCCGGTGGGAAAAGAAGTGGGAGTGTGGAAGGGAATTTATTAGCTATTGGGCCACGTGATGGGGAGAATAGAAAACATAAAAAAAGCATTTTTATCGCTTTTGTGTTTGTACAACGCGCGCACGCCGCAGAAACTCGGCGCGCGCGCGCGTCATGCGGGAATGCGGGCACTGGACAATTCGAGTCAAGGCCAGCAGGGCGAAGTCAAGTCAACACAAGCCAAGCCAGGGCCACTAACCGCGTTAACGCCAAGGTTTACGCAATCGTGCAACACGAGGCATCTGTTTATGCAGAGGGACCAGAACAAGAAGTATGATCGCGTATCGGATTCAGCAGCCTTTTTTTCTGCTGCGCATTGTTTAGTTTCTGCTCCAGAGTGATCCGGTGTTTGTGTGTTGGTGCTTCTGCTTCCTGCCTTGTTTGGATTGTGGGCTGCCGAGGAGCTCGCATGGAAGAAAAAGGAACTACCAGACAAGCAGGTGCCGTGCTGCTGCTTATCTGCGTAGTCGCCAAGTGGATTGTAAACGGAAGGACCTGAGCTGTGAGGATGAGTGCAGTCAAAACATAAACTGATATTTCTTCTATGTCCATTTACTTTTCACATCTGCTATGCCCCCGAGTGCGAGAAATTGACGCGGCCTCGGTTCGCGTTATAATAGTAATAATTTTTTTTTTCTTTTTGAGGGCATCAAAACCTGCCCTCGCGTTATATTCGTGGTCGCGTTATATTCGTGCAAATACGGTAACTCATTCCTAGTTCTTCAGAAAGATGCTAATTCATTGCTTACCCGAAGACGTTTATTGCTCGTGCATCGCAGTTGGGCGCCTTTCACGCAGAACATTCCGCTGAAGACAACTGACAGCGTGTTTCCAGGGTGGAAAGGAAATCCCCGATCAGTCGACCATGATTCGTGACCAAAATGTTTGGGAGGCCTACACCCAGAGCTCTTGACGCTTGGATACGCACAAGCTACCATAGAACTTTAATTGAGCTTTGCTTGTTGAGCTACTGCCTCCAGTTTGGCCGTCACTTCAAGCACAGATCAAGAAAGCACTGAATGTGTCAACGCGCCCGCAAGCCTCATCATGGGATTGTAGGATCGGCCAAGATCCCCCCACACATCGCGGGCAGTCTGGTAACCTAAAACTAGGGGTGTGCTAATACTCGAATATACGAATTCGAATCGAATAGAAACTTCCGGAATAATTCTATTCGCGAATCGAATTCCTAGTATTCGGTCATTCGAATATTCAACATATTCGGCCAAAGAAGCGCGGTTGGTGTGTAGCTGACAAAAGAGTTGTTTTTCGTACCGATGTTAGTGCCGTGATGTTAGACAGACCATGCGAGAAACACCTAATGGCCCTACCATTCCACAAAATTCAAATGCACAGGTTAAAAAAATGAAAAGTAACGAACGCCACAAACTTTATAGCACGCAGACTTACTCATGATCGTGACACAATCTAATCTTGAATCACAACCCAAACATCCCGCTTGCGCCGCTGAATTCCGCGCCATGCCTAATTCTTTTCCCGAGTAAAGCCGCTCGTTCCAAATTGAAGCGCCCATGTAGAAGAGACTTGCCCACACTCACAGAAATCGGCGACTGCAAGATCACAAAAAGGAAACCACGTTAACCACGCTGATAAAACCATGCAGCCAAGTTGTCGTCGTTGTTCTTTTGGTACCGCAAGCCGCAAGTTCCGAATTGGAACGAAACAAAATGGGAAAATAGTGTGCCTAGATCTGAGAGGGTTTCCAACCGTTCGATAGCCGCGTTTGAATTACGAACTGCGAGAAGGTGACGAAAAGGCTAGAGCGTCGATCGGATAGGCGTCGTCGCTCCTCTGTTTGCTCGCCTTCTTTCCACGCGACAACACAACACACGCACACTTACGACCAATCTGCGCAGGAGCCATCTCCGTGGTTTCAGTTTGGCTTGCTTCCTCATTTAAATCTAGGCTCTCTAAAACAGGATAGATGGACGGAGGAATGGATGCATAGCGGCAGTTGGATGGTGACTTGTGCCACCTAACCACGTGTGTTTTTTTACTTAAAATTATATTGTTTAAGCCTGTTTACTCAGATTTAACAGCTATTTGTTTATATAAAATAAAGTCCCTTAAAATTGAGACCAAATATTGCAAATTGCCACTTCTGAGATATACAAATATGATAAAAAGGAAATGTCGCAATGTTAAGTCGTGCTTTTAACAAAAAAAACACACGCTTGGCTTTAACTTTCTTTTTTGTTGTGACGCTTAGGGTAGATAGATATGTTTGCGCCGTAAAATTGGATCTTTAGTGCCCAACGTCCATCAACAGCTGCTTTTATTTTCTTTTTTTTCCACCGGAACTTTTTTACATTTTAGCTTTTGTTCCGTACAAGATGCATATTCTGCACCAGGCGCATACTTTGCACAGATAATAATCTCAATATCAGCACACTTTGAAAAATTCATACAAATGAAATCACCATTTGATATTCAATTCGATATTCGACTTTTTTTTCTTAATTTGATTTGGTATTCGATTCAATAACTACTATTCGGTATTCGCACACCCCTACCTAGAACTGATAGAATTTCGGTCTGTATTAAGGTGCAGAGTCTTTAAACGCTCACAACGCCTACAAAACCTACGAGGAACAACGCCACGTTGGCTAGATATCGACGAAACTGCTGAACCTTCGAAACAATAAAAATTTCGTCGAAAAAGTATAGGAATCTTTTAAAACAGTCCGACACCGAACCTCCCGGAGTTTTGCCCTGTCACTACGAAAAACTGCTAAATTTAGGGGGATGGAGCGCTGACACGCTAAGTATTGGGCAGGAGATCGAACTATAGGGGGCGCTCTGACCCGTTTGTTTTCCCCACGCTCGGTGTTTACTCAACACAAGGCCTGTGCACATGCCGACAGGCCTTATGGGCATGGCCATGTCATCTTCTACAATAGAGCGCGGGGCACAGTTTAATCTAAAAAATACTAACAATCGACAAAGCGACGTTAAGTGCCGGCTCTATCCGCAGAGAATGCGAGCTTGACCCACTTCGGCTTTTGTGCTGAGCTGGGATCGTGCATGCTGCATTGTTCATGCAGGCCGTAGCGGAAACAAAGAGCCCCTCCTCCCCCTCGCCGGAGAACACGAACCCCAGCCGAACGCTGACGCCGCGTTCGGTTGTGTGGGCCGAGCGCTGCGTCATTGTATTTGTTGTCCCCATCCGTGTAGTTGTTAAGTTAACCGCTTGGGGCGTCATGGTCTGTCCTCCTCCCCAATAGCTCACTCAGTGACTCAAGGTTACTCGCGCAGCAGCATAGACGTGATTCTTTCAAGTTGAGCTTGCAGATGGGGGTACCACTGGTGGCCTTCCTGGTGGCATGTTTCTGCTTCCCCATAGTTCGTACACACTCGCAGACTGAATCTCAGATTGGGGTTTCAGGTATCGAGGTTCCCCAAATTGGAGAGAAGAAAGAGAAACCGTCGAGGGCAATGGACAGGCGGAGGATGCAGAAGAAGAAGCCGGAGGACGGGGAGAAGACAGGTGAGGACTCGTTGCTCTCCACTGCCCAGCCAATTTAAGTATACCAACAAATTTGGTCTCAAATTGATTGCTGTTAACCTATTCCATCAGCGCTGATGGAACGAAGCAGTTTGTGGGTTTACAAATCGAGTGCAATGCCCCTAACCATGCTGCGGTGTGAAAGGGAGATTGCAAAAACAATTTGCTATGACGTAATTGGAGATTGAGGGAATTTGGGGACTTTTACATCCCTTCGGGATGTTATGAGGAAGAAGGTAGGTGTCTAGGCACCAGTTTAGGAATTGATTGTTTGGGGGGATCGATGGATGTTATGAGGAATGAGGTAGGTGTCCTCACTGTATGACCCCGGGCTGGCGGCGGTATTGTGCTGGCCAAATTTTTCACCTACAGTGGGGATGCCAGATGCACATTAGGGCCGACTAACTTTGTGCTAGTATCATTGTAAGCGCAACATAATGTTTTACCGATTGTTTAATAATGCGTCGCAGAGGAAGTCCCCCAAGTCCAGCTGGAAATCCGGGGGCCCGAGGGAACGCCAAAGACGGACTCCGAGGATCCGGGGAAGGAGGGCTCGCCGACCGAGGTCGCGGCCCACGAAGAAGACGACGTGAAGGACGCCTGGGACGCAACTTCGTCGGAAGAAGAGGAGGAGGAGGTGTCTGAATCCCAGACGAAAGCCGAAGTCAAATCCGAAGTCAAGGCCGCCCCGGCCAAGAAGAGGGAGCCTGCAAAGAAGGCTCCCGCCAAGAAGGCGGAGTCGTCGTCGGAATCTTCGTCCTCCGAGGACTCCGACTCGGAGGAGGAGTCGAGCGAGGAGAGTAGCGACAGCGAGGACGACAAGTCGCACTCGAAAGAGAAGGTCCTGCAGAGGATACAGGTGAGACGTCTGTTCGTGCATTTGCGACTGCTCGCGGCTGTGTGCCTCGAAACGTCACGGGGGAGCACACTGGCGACATTTATCTGGTAACTGTGGGACAGTCGGCATTTCCGTGCATGTCTTATTTCCTTCGCCCATCATTCTTTCTTGGCTCGAAAAACTTTTGACATTGTTATAAAGGGCCATTTCTCATGGACGGTACATACACTTGATCTCTCAAATGCCATGAAACCTTGGCTCTAGCAAAGTGCAGTTCCAGGGTCACCTCACAGATGGCGCCAGCGTGCCAGTGCCTTCTCGAGTAGGAAATTGCAAGGTGATAGTCATAAGCAATTGCAAGTGTGTGAACAGGCCTTAATAGTTAGTGGTGCCGAAATAGTTAAAGGGTAGAGTGTAGTGCAACTTCATTGGAAGAGGCTCATGCGTCACAAAATGCCCTTGCAGCGAGTAGCATACTTTCCGGACTATAGATGTCTAAAAGTTTAAATTTTACTCGGTGCGGACTATCTACAGGTGCGGACAGTGCAACGATTTGTTTTTTTTCGAGATTGTTCCTCATGACGTGACGCGGCGGATTTCGCGAACGATAGTTTATGCTAATGATTGCTTTTGTACGACACCAGCTTCTCCGTGCGATAATGAAGTGGGCATCTGTTGTGAAATGTGCACCAGATGCAGATTATGCGCACGGTGTGCAACTATGCACAGGGGCACCGGAAAAGTACAATAAATAAATAAATAGTTTTCATGCGACATCACTTCCCCTATTCCCGCCCGCCGGCAGCCATTACCAGGTACTGAGAAGCACACGCAGTTGGCGCCGCTGCTTGTGTGCCACTCGATTACGACATTGCTACGGCATACACATCGTGCCTATGTTGCAGCATCCATGTGCATGATTACAACACAATGTTTGTCATCCGAAACAGGATCACTAAACTGAACATTTTAACTCGACAAAGATTCATGAAATGCACCATGCAAACCAGCAAGGCTCGTGAAGGGCGGAGGTCCTTCACCGCGTTCATAGCCCAGATGTCGGGTGGGCATCCAGTCAGGGTTCGTATCGTCCACGAGTTTCGAAGGTTCGCCCACTAAAGGACAGCCTGTACTTGAGTCATTCAAAGTCGCAGCAGCTGAGCTGTACAAACTTGTGCTGCCGCTGAAACAGCATCAATACGAGGGGCTACGAACACCACAGAGAGGAAGCTCGGCGACAAAGGCAAACGCAAAGAGAGCAGCGGTTGCTCAGTGTCCGTAATCTAGTAGGAGGTAGGTCAGTGCCTGCGGCGTGACGCTACCAGGTACTGTGAAGCTACCTTAACCGCAGTGGCAAGGCGTACAGAGTATGAACGTAAATCCGGGGTCACACTGCTTACACATCGTAAAAAAGACGGACTGCAAACAGGTTTGGACCCAAGCCCCCCCAGATCTGTGCTTTGAATGCCGCGTGGCAACCAGTTCAAGGGCAAACTTGGCACGCTGCATTCGCACTACGGATATCGTAATGACTGATGTCTTGAAGGAGGCTATGGCCAGACTGTCTCTTGTATGACATATAAGCAGTGTGGACCCGGCTTAAAGTTTTAGCAATTCATGTATTACAGACGATACATGTATTCCTTACCAACAATGAAACAATGATCAGAGACACGGTCATTGTCAAGGCTCTTCAAATCTTTCCTCTGTATGCGAGCAAGCGAGAAGCTCTGGTATTTCTTGGACAAGGGATTTGTGCGCTCAAACTGTCGGTTATCACTTTTGGCAAGAATGCAGCCTTATATTTGGCGTTTTACCAATCTTTGTGGAGACTTCTGCTGCGGCAACCGAACGTCGTCATTACTGCACCACTATGGCTGTGAGCTCATACAACACGAAAGAAAGAGACGCACACAAAAAACGATGCAGCGGCGACCAGCGTTGTTGGCAGCAGCCTGAAACCAAAAGTATGTAGGTGCCTGGCGACGGCGATGACATACCATAAGCCCCGGCAGTGACATCCGCGAAAACTACTTATAAAGGAGGTGCTCTCAAGCTTCTTGATCTCGGGTAATCCCTAGCTGCTCCGAGCGACAGACGAAGACCTCCCGCCCCGGAGCTCTTCCGCCAAAGCGATTTGGAAGTTTACGAGCTTCACGAAGAATGATGCACACACAGTTTGGATCTATAGTCACTCGTTGGCTTAGAACGGCAAGGAGGTCCTTCGGTTGTCCCAGCCTTTATGCGGTCGTCCTGCCTTCGATCTGCGGAGGTAGGAAAACTGTCACTTTGGCATGTCGCAAGCCTCGGGTGTGCTTGTTCAGCCGTAGCGTGTTGGAAGGCAGCGAGCGCGCTGGCCATCGGAAGGAGACGTCCTGCCGTTCTTGTCCCATGAGAGACTACAGTGTTCAGTCCGGAACTCGTTGACGCACTAGAAGCGTAAAGGGGCCGTCCGATATGCTACGTGTTTCGAGTGCCCTTTTTTCCTGCTTTGCAGAAACAAAGAGAGGAAGCCGAGAAGAAACGGTCCGTGGACCACCTCCGTTCTCCGGTCATCTGCGTTCTCGGTCACGTCGACACCGGGAAGACCAAGATCCTCGACACGGTAACTGGAGCCGTTCCACGTTTCTGTTGTGTCATAGTGTCTGGAGTATGTCTCCAACCGGTGCGTGCACTGCATCCTCGAAAGTGGTCCCTCGACGTCCGCCCGACGGCACCGTAAAAGGCTCCGGCCGCTGGGATTGCGACGTCCGACGGCACAAATCGTCAACTCCCGCGATGCAGTTTGCGGCCACGTTGGAACCATTTTCAGTGCGTGGGCGAGATAGGACGGTGGACGCACCGGTCAAAGATGCATTCCAGGCAGAGGTCGGCATTTTTGGTCGACCCGATTCGCTCGTAGCTTGCTCAAATGAAAAAAGTTAAAAGCTCGCTCATTCTCACTCTCGCAGCCGCACTTACCTTCAAGTTCTCGCTCACTAACTCATACACTCATCAAACTCACTAAACTAACAAACTCGCCCCTCTCCGGGCTCGTAGACTCGCCGAACTCACAAACTCGCACCCCTCACCAAACTCATAAACTCACCAAACTCGAACTCCTTAACTCACTAAACTCGCACTCCTCACTCAACCTCAAACTCGCGAGTTTTCGAGGGTTAAGAACTCGCTCACCCTCACATCACGCCTGATGGATGAGGGTAGGCAAGTGCACCCCTGAGTCAGTTCTGTTGTGGCATGATGCCAGGCATTGTAATTGTGTGTTTGCCTGGCGTGCCTTTCTCTGAACCGAGACGTGTCTCCATCAGATCCGGCATACGCATGTTCAAGACAGCGAGGCCGGCGGCATTACGCAGCAGATTGGAGCGACCATGGTACCCCTGGATGCCATCAAGGAGCAGTGTAAAATGGTCAAAGAGGTGAGCTGATGCCACCCACCTTGCTGGCAGAAAGATTGTTTCTAAAATTGTGTGCGTGCCGTATACTACATAGCGAAGTAGCATATAACACTTTTATAAGCGTTTAAAATCTTTATTTGGAAGACTAATATGTTAGACATTTTCTAGAAAAACTTAACTATAAAAAGGTTCTACTGTACCGGATGATTGGGAGAAAAGAGAGCCATGCTTTTCTTACTGCAAAAATAAACTATGCATCGTCGAAAAGTTAATCTTTGCCCAAATGTGGTGCTAGTGGTTTGAACCAGATGCCAAATTTTTTATAACTTGCAGTTACTACCCTCTTTGAAATTTTTAAGCAATTTCCAGAAACTTTTAGCAATAAAATGGGGCCCGTTCTCAGTAGCAGGCGGCATTCATCTTCATGCACTCGCAGGTTTGGTTGGCCGCCATTTTCCTTAGAAAATTCCGGAAAATTGCTCTTAGCTTGGTAATTATGGAACAATAAGTTCTGAAACTTTGGCATGTGGTCTCAGCTGCTAGCACTACATTCGGCAGAGGTAGGACATGGCCTTTTTACAGTGCACAGTTTATTTTTGCAGTGAGAAAAACATTGCTCTCTTTTCTCCCAGACACCCAGTACTATAACCTACTTCGTAGAACTCTAGAAAACAGTAAAATTAAAGTGTTAGAGTACCGTAAAATACCGAGTAGTCATGTGCGAATACTGAGTTTTGAGTTTGAAGCGAATAGTGGTTTTGGCCAAATATTTTCTAATCTAATAGTTTTTCCAAGCCTTTAACTACTGAACCATGCTTAAATGAAAATCGAGCTGAACTTGTGAAGGTTGTTCCCGAGCTTCCCCTTGTACGCTTCTAAACTCGGTTAATTTTAATAAAACTATATTTATAAACTGTGGCATGTAAACAACAAATTTTTCACAGCTATTCAAATCGAAGGAATTTCTCAATCTGCTCGCTATATGCAAATATCCTTTTTTCCTTTTCAGAATTAACGAATAAAACAAATTAAGTACAAGTGAATACAGGTTATCAATACATCGCTGCCTATAGACCGACACGCGGAGCGGCTCTGTTTACCAACACGGCCGGAAGGCCGCGCATGCGCGGTAGCTATGTGGGCAAAAGCAGCCCGGCTCTCCGTGTTTTCGCCATTGCGCTCTATGGCGTGCGCTCGTTGTTGACGTTGTAGGGACGCTTGTATCTTTATTTGTGCGTCGTATTTCCTCATAACGTATGTCGTATGCTATGCACGACTATTTGAGGTCGTTGCCCGAGCCTGAACGGTAGCGGTATCGAAACAAACTGTGCGTGGACGGCGTTGCCTACGAGGATCCGTACGCCGTTAACAAGGCCTGCTGGACTTCCGACGTAAAGTTGCTGCCACGGAAGTCGACGGCTCAGGTCGTCGTTTATTTAGTTTATTCGCCAAGCCAGTTCACGGCCAACACGGTGCAGGCGTACAAGTCTCTCGAGGTTTACGATTACATCGAGTCGGTTTCCACACTGCCGGCGGGATCAGCAGACTGCGGGTCTGCGGAAGTGTGTGTATCCATTAATTGATTAAATACACAGAGCGTCTTCAAGTCAAGGTATGATATTTTTCATACCCTCATGACCACAAGGCATTAGAACCAGTAAAGATTTGTCCGTGCTGCAGTCTTGGCGATAACAGGTTACAAGTAACGGCGTTACCAGGAACGCGTTACTTTTTTCAGTAACGTAGTAACCAACTCGTTACGTTTTCGACACAGTAGCGGGTAGCGTACTTATGTTACTATTTCAAGTAACGTAGTTACGTTAGTCGTTACTACTTCCGCAAGTCTGAAAGAAATTATACTTCAATTGCTTCCGTTTTTTGGGCGTCAAGCCATGTTTTTCTTTGCGTTTTTTCTCGTAAGTATTTAGGTGAAACCGTAAAAAGAGATAAAGCAATTATGTTCAGTTTCTGCATGAACATAACGTTTCTTGATATATGACCTGTATCGTCAAAACCGTAAAATGTGTTAAATCATAATTTAAAAAAGTAACGCAGAAGTAACGTGCCTTACTTTTCATCGGTAGCGGTAACGCGTTCCTTTTATTTTTAGATCACGTAGCACAGTAACGCGTACCTTTTATATGCTAGTAACGAGTAACGTATTTCGTTACTTTTTTTTTTTTTTTTGTAACGCTTACAACACTGCCGTTCTGTCGCCGATATCCTTCTGCTCGGTAGCACGGGCGTAGCGAACCTCCGACGAGCGCTTGGCCGATGCGTTGTGCGCGAGCACCGTCGGAACAAAATCTGGGCGGTCTCGATCAGACAGCGGTTTCCCTGCACATAAGCAAGCCTCAGGACGGAGGTTGAAATGGAAGCCCCACTTGCCTCTAAGAAAGTGATTGCCGCACAAACGGTCGTTCGCGCGAGGCGACCATTCTTTTCGATCCACGGATATTATCCACCTTCTATGCCTTTCAAAGTCTGCCGGGAACTTGTGGAAACTCACTGCGCTGCTTTTCTTGTACATTTCGGTGCAATTAACGGCAACACAGCTTCGGGGCATGCTGAAATGCTATGACGCCCATGCGAAACGTGCGCGCTTTTGCCCACACCCCCCGGCTCCGGCGCGATCGCAGCGCCGCCGCAGCTCCGTGACGTCAAGCCCGCGTGTCGGTGTATATTTCACAGCCGACGCTAGAGCTGAAGGGACTAATGAGACAGCGTCAAAAGCGCACCATCATGGTGTTCCTGGTGTTTTTGGATGTGTTACATTTTCGTTGAACCAATCATAAACAGAGGGGGCCCAGTGACTTATGCTTTTAACACTGTTCGATTTGTTTCATTACCTCGTAGCGTTGGCTTCGTCCTCACTTCCGCTGAAACGAAGTATAGCATATACACATGCATAATCGCGGCCAGTTAGCCCCGTTAAGTTGGCTTCTCACCGAGCACCTGTGCGCCGCAGGGAAGCAATACTTGCGGAGCCTGCGAGCTCTGCGGATGTTGCTTCCCTGCAGTGCACAGGTGCTCGGTGAGAAGCGCACTCAACGGGGCTAACCTGCCGTGATCAACACTTCGAAATGTATGAATAAAGCAGCTCATCTCGAAGTGAATATTGAATAGCATATTATCTGAAACTACTATGAGAATATTTGCACGACCCTAATACCGAGGCTTCCCCCCCCCTTCCATGATAGGCGCTAACCCTTTAGTGTTGGAACATTTGGAAAATACAAAAAGGACATATCTTTACATATTGTTGACCTCAGTTTCACACGTTTGTCTTTAAATTTTGAGTGAGCACTTGCTTGTGATTTTACGGTAAATAAAAAACTCTTGCTCCTAGTATCAATGAATGTTGGCACAACTTAAATTTCCGACATTTCACGTTAGGTATTTGAAACCATCACTTCATCTGTCACAGTTCCCCGTTAATGCCGCTAGGTCTTGTGCTTGTTCTGTTTCCCAGTTTAGGCTGCAACAGCAAGGCAGGAATTAGCAGAACTGAAGTTTGAAAACTACAGAAATTGGGGAGAATTGCGACTTGGCCCAAGCACCCTGCTTCTTCACTATTGTCACCTTAAATTGGAAAGGCTTAGGAAGACTCTGCCTCTAGAACGAGTGCTGACTAGTGTCCTGGGAAGTTGAACGGTGATTCTCATTTATCGTGATCTCTCGCGCAGTTCACGTCCAAGCCGCTGAATATTCCTGGCCTGCTGATCATCGACACCCCTGGTCACGAATCTTTCAGGTGAGGGCCGAATGACTTCGGGCGGCGAATGTGTCTGTTATTTGTAATTGCATTATACGAGCCGCGAGTCTAAAGAAAATAAGAAAGGAAGGTTTATTTTTAGAAAGAAAAAGGCCGTCAAGGTGTCTCAATTATGAAAAGTTCTTTGTTGACACTGCATTGGATGAGGGTGTGCATTGGATCATGTTTTTTACTAAAATATATCAGCTCTCTACAGCCCCCAAGACAGTTTTTAGGAGGGCTCTGTCCCTCCAGTCATACCATTAAAGTGCATGGGAGTTGTAGGACACCTGTACCTTAAGGGGAGAAATAAGTGTGGTTTGTACGTGACGTCATCACGTCAGGCCGATGGTCATTCCTTCTTGTTCTTGTTGAGAAAAACAAATTCGGTAGTGCGAAATGTATGCTGCTGAGGGTGCGTGCTTAACAGCCGGCCACCACAATGGCTACTGATGTGACGTCGATGCAAGCCACGCATGTGCGAAAAGATTTAATGAGCGACAAGTTAAAAAATGACTGTCGTGGGATTTGAGGCTCTTGGAGGCCTGTTTGAATACAGGATAGAACATTAGACAGATGATTGAAAGCTGTTGAGATTGTTTATAACTGTTGACTTGGCACATATCTATCAGCTATCTTCAACTTCAAGTGTGATACACAAAGCTGAGCACTAGAGGCCAGATTCATGAAACGACCTTGCGACAAAAAAGGTGCGTACGACAAGAACTAAGAAACGAATTTGTGTCCTTGAAGCGAGATCGCTGCAAGTTTTGCACAGGTTACGACGGAATCCTGCGACAGCTTCAGAGGTTTTAACACACTTCTTAGATAAAATTTTCACGGAAAACGTTGCTTGCTTTGATTAACGGGCTTTTCCTTTTCTTTGTGCTCTCCGCGCACGTCCTGATTTCAAGCGGCGAGAGAAAAGATGTACTCAAAAATGAATGTCGCCAAGGGCTAGCTAGGATCTCTAGGACTAGCAAGGCACTCCGACGCAACATTGCTCTAACGCCCATGGCTAAGACCGTCTGCCCACGACCGGTTGGCTTTCCGAATGGAATATTCCTGCGCAGCCTTTGTGGACCCTTCCTGTATTAATAGTTTTAACCCTGACCTCTATTTTCAAGAGGGCCAGTCCCTTTCCCTCGTCGTCCCCTCGTTTTCAGAGGTGGCAAATCTCTCGTTGAAAGGGGACACTATCCTCGATTCTATCTCCTTTTTTGTGTTATAGAGCTCAAATAAATGCCGTATGGATTGCCTTCACAACGTGGGTACCTACCCTTTTTGTTTTAGTATTTCTCTTTTCTTTTGTTATTACAATACGCCAAAACATGTTGAGTTTGGGCAGCACTTTGGCATGAGCTGCGATTGTCTACCGGCTCAGCGGTTCATATAATCGGGTGTAAAAGATTGTTCTCGAACCGGTTACCAAGTCGCAGTCCAACAGCACGGTGTCAGCACAGTTCTGCTCCCAATGTAAACAGGCACTTACGTGGCTCTTGTTGACAGCCCTTTAGTTCAAGCATGTCTTCCTGGACGTCAGTTCTTTCTTGCCACGAAAAACGCTGCGGCGATTTTTTTTCACGTGCGTTGCTCTGCGGGCGGTCTCCTTATAGCAATGATGGTAATTGTGTTGACTTTGTAGCGATCGAGTTTGTAGCAGTCGGCCAAAACGGTTATCCTGTCCTCGGCGAAGCTGGGCATTCTGGCCTGTTTAAATCAACATTTTGTAGTATCGACACTACAATGCATAGACACGATCCCCAGACAAGCATTACTGGAAAGGCCGCCCACATTTGTAACGATCCAAAATCCGTGCGCAGCGATCATGCCGAGCTCTCCGACTGGCCGTTCGTGTTTCTGAAGGCAGTGTTGCCATAGCAACAGCCCTCTGTGACTGCGATCAGGAGCTTACGGGACACCGGAAGTTCTTATTTTCCTGTACGACAACCACAAGAACTTCGCTTTTTTACTCTCACTCAAGAAAGCATTTGCAAATACCAATTTCACCACTTCCTACGACGTCTGTAAGTTACGAACTTCCTAGCTAAGTTGTCGTAGCCTAAGAAGTTCTTGGCTAATCTGGCCTCTGTTACTTATAGTAGAGCCTCGATCGAGCTAACTCGGCGGCTGTCTCTTGTGAGCCAAAGTGGCCAAGCTCGGTGCGTGCACCGGTGCAAGGTGGGGAAGCTTGATGGGAGTACAAGGGGAATTAAACAGATGGAAGTGCTTGCTCTCACTGGAGAAAGAGATCGAAGGATGAACAAGCTATTGCGAAAACCTGACTCTTTTTCGAGCAAATGATAAGGTCATGCCCACCGGGGAAGAAGGCACGGCTCAGATAGACAAGGAGGCGATGAAGAAGGGGAGCAGAGCAAAGGAAAGAGGGCGGCAGATTTTGGATACAGCCGAGAAGGCAGATGCAACGAACGGGACACTGATGCTCAAATTCCTATGGGAGCTCAACAGGATCGGCATTTATAAACCTTTCGGCCGGAAAAATGTACCAGCCAAGAACATGGGCTCTGTTGGAACATCAAGCGCGTTAGTTAACGGGTTGTGTGTAAACAAAAGGAGTGTGCTGAAGCACAGCACAGATAACGCAGCTGCAATTTTTGGGGCCACATAGCCACATCGTTCGCAGTCGCCGAGGGGATTCAAGCGATTGCAGACAATTCGGCCTCGCTACGTGAGCAAGGTTGAAATAAGTTGCTCGGGACACATTGGCTCAAAAGTCTGCCCTCCGACCTCCAACTCGGCCCCCTCTCGCAGCAACCTGCGGTCGAGAGGCTCGTCCCTGTGTGACATGGCGATCCTGGTGGTGGACCTGATGCACGGCCTGGAGCCGCAGACCATTGAGTCGCTGAACATGCTGCGTTCCCGCAAAACACCCTTCGTGGTGGCCCTAAACAAGGTGGACCGGCTGTACGACTGGAAGGGCAACCGCAACAAGGACATCACGGACGTGCTCAAGTCGCAGTCGCGCAACACCAAGCTCGAGTTCGAGGAGCGCACCCGGGAGGTGGTGCTGCAGTTTGCCGAGCAGGTGGGGCACCTTGACCTGGCGGCTTGTCCTTTACGCTTTCGTGGCCCTCTCGTCATTACGCGCATTTCCGGTTGCACGCCCTTTCCGTCGTTGCATGTGCATCTGCCTGCATGTCCTTCCTGTCGTCGCGTGCACATTCGGTTGCCTGTCAAACGACGTGCAGCCAAGCCCAGTTGCACATGCTTTCTGTTGTAGTAGCATGTCCGGTTGTATGTCGCTTGACGGGCAACAAACCCCGTTACATGTCCTTTGCATGCCTGGCTGTTTGTCCTTTCTGATTGCGTGTCCTTCTCGTTGTGGCGTGCATGTCCGGTTGCATGTCCAGCGTCTTTTCTGTACTTCGTCTCGCCTTATGATGACTACAGCCGCAGCTAAAGGTATGTTTATACTCCAATGTAACGTTGACGGGCGTGGCGTAGCGCAGCTCCTACTGATACTGATTGGTCGAATATATCTAGTTCCTGGTCGCCGGCCAATGAAAGGTACGCGTCCTGCGCTTCGCTGCGTTCATTACGCTCAACGTTGTAGTATAAACAGCCCTTAAGGGTCACCAGGTCTAATTGTGAGCCGGTTATTAGCTGCATGGTATTTTGCTCCGACGGGCGTATAACACCGGCACACAGATGCACGCTTCTTGGCGATGCACCGTCTCTAACCGGCTCGTGATTGGACATCGTGGTCTGTTGCTTTGGCCGTAGTCTGCCATAGGGTGATTCGAAGTACAAGTTCTACCTGCGCATTGTGGTGATGCCTCGAAAGCTGGTTGTCACATCCGCTGCGGAGAAGAACGGAAACTACTCTCAACATTATCTTGGTATGACGTTATGTATCGTGAAAGTTGTGTGCAACAAATGTGAAATTTTCTGAGCTGACACGCTTGCAAACTATCCGCTTCCTAAAGGATTTATCCGAAAAACTTTGGCTTTTCATCCGGGTTACGCACTGCGGCATGTTGAGATGCTTGGCCACAGATCGTCTTTCTCCTGTTCAGGGGCTGAACGCAGCGCTCTTCCACGAGAACCAAGACCAGCGGACGTTCATCTCGCTGGTGCCCACGTCGGCACTGAGTGGGGACGGCATGGGCAACCTCATCAGCCTCATCGTGGACCTGACGCAGAACATGATGGCCAAGCGCATTGCCTTCTCTGAGGAGCTGCAGGCCACCGTCCTGGAGGTCTGTGCGGCACAGTGTTTATCGGCCGTCCTCACATTGTCGGTGACCGTAGCACTCATTCAGATCTTGAGACGGCGTTCCAACAAGGTCCAGGTGTGTTCTCGAACGGGGTTTTAGCGAGAAAATTACATGGTTGAAAGAAGTCGATCCAGTCCAGTTGGGAAGGAGGAATCGGGGCCATTATTGGCTCAGGCATTCTACCATCTTCGGTTGTTACGGTAGAGGCTTGTGATGCGCCACGTGTTCTGCAATCAAAGCAGGGAGGCTTACGAGAAAAAAAATAACTACCTTGGAAAAGTCATGCACATATTAGGTAATGTACATAGTGCTAGGGAGTGCTGAAGTAGCATTTGAACTGGAAAAAAACGCTTTGCTTAAGGGCAAAGTGGGTGTTTGAGCAGCCCGTGAGGGTACTGTGTGGGACCCCTGTGTTCCTACTCAAGTTGGCTCATCTTTTTGGGCCAAAGTTTAGTATTTGCCTGGCAATTTAGGGCCCTAAGAGGCAGAAAAAGCCGAGGTATGGCCAAACTTGATATTTTTTGGCCAGTCTGAGTATATTGGCCCTAAATTGCCAAACTAGTGCCAAAGTTAGGCTTCACTGCTGGTCGTTCGGTTGATTTGTGGCATCTTTGGCTCATGTCTGGCACTTCACGAATTTTATGTGGCAAACCAGGGAAAAGTCAAAGAAAGACCAAAGAGAAGTACTTAATTGGTGCCAAAGTATTTTTCTTTGGCAATAAGAGCTTGGGCAAAACATTATGAGGCCCACAGTAGGCCCTAGAATTGTAAAAATCATAAAAATTGAAAAGCGCAAAGGACAAAGAAGAGGGAGGTCGAGCGCTTACTATCAGCTGACGATTTAATTGGGGCTGGGCGATTGATTGATTAATCTTTCGGTTCATCAAGTAATGCTTTAATAGCTACAAAAGCTTTTAACTGGCTACTGTCGAGACCAATTATAACGAAGACTGTTATAACGAAATGGCGGCTACAGCGAAGCGATCACGATTTCCCATTCTCTTTTGCACTTCGTTATAACCGAAGTCGGTTATAACGAAATAGCGGATATAGTGAAGTGATTTCCGATTCCCGTTGGCTTCGTTATAACCGGTCTCGACAGTAATTGGTTGATATTGAAAGCGGGTAAGCCATACTAAAATAAAAGAAAAAAAACTCATTGTACGCTTTTTTTTTACTACTGCGTTTTTATTTTTTCGTATGCGAACACTATCCTTTTCTTAAAAGGAAACTTACAAAAGAGAACAAAATTGTTCATGGTTAAGGCAGGGCTGGTTCCAGCAAGATGGCCTTGTCTAATTTACGAAAGCCCGTCAGGTTTTCTCGTTGTCCGTGACTCCAGCTAGTCTAGCGCAGAGAGGGCGCTCCTCAAGGACGCCAGGTTGCCGGCAGGCAGAGATTCCCCAAAAGGGACAAAGCCTTTCAGCTTCACTCTGATACCTGTCGGGGTTGAGCACTTTTTCCCTCGCGTCTCTGGCCTCGACGGCCGGCACTCGGAGGCGCTCAAGTTGACAATCGGAAACACTTTGTTCATAATCCGTCGTTGAAGTCGGTCTGACGGCGCCGTCAACCCCCTCGAAGCAGCCGACATTCGCAATGGGCCAGCCGCGCATCATGCTGCTCAATGGCGACGGGCCACGGGGTACATTGACTAGCAGAAAAGCCTAGGTGTGTCTCTCTGTCCCTCCATTGCTGATGGGAGGAACAGCAAGGTGCAGTGGGGATGGCACACCTCTGGCAATTCTGAAGTAGTGCCGGTCGTTAAAAAAAAATGACGTACCTGTATGGCGGCAAGGATGATTGTGAAGGAGCTAGAAACTCGATTGCTCGTAGTAGTGTTGAACAATACCAGAAAACTCCCTCTGCTCTCATCACTTCTCCAGAGGAATAATAATGTGCGAGTATCTTTTTGGCCGTACGCAACTGCACATCTTTATCCCCAGATGAAACTTCACATTGCAGTGTCTATCACAAACAAAAAAAGAACAAAGGAAAAAAGTGCTTTTGCCTTTTTGGTGCTATTATGCTTGGCATTTACGCGGCCGATTAATCAATTAATTAATGCATTAAATGGTGCCATTTAATCGGGTTAAAAAATTTACTCTATGCCCAGCCCTCTCGTAGTATTCTGAGAGATGCTCCATCCCGGAAAGATAACCCGCCCCCTATTTTCAGCACAATTTCATTTTCGAAAACGCCGTAAGATGGCGGCCCTGGCCGGTGGTGACCTCGGCTGAAAAATGGCGTCACTTGGCCGCGGCGGGGGATAAGCGAACATTGCTGACTGGGAAGGACAGTCATCTTTGATTCATCAGTTAGAGTTACACGTCTTGCAGGTTACAAAATCTAAAACTAGCATTTTTTTGTGTTTCTTTTATTGCAAAAAGTTAACCCACTTCTTATTTTCGCCCAACTTTGCTTACATTGGGATGTTACGGATGTTTGAATGCATTAGTAGTGAAATACGAGGAGCAAGTGAGGGATGCGTCAATTAAATAGACAGAAAGAGGAAATGATCATTTAAATCTAACTGTGAAAGAGGATTGCCGAACTTAGGCCTAAGTTGGGCATTGCTCTGACGTGCTGCCCGGGAATGAACTCAGTTTGAGAGCTGCAGCTCACCAAGAGCAAACGAAACATTAGGCACACGGAAGAACTCCGTGAGCTCACGTCTGCCCGACCCCGACGCCCGCCGTGCAGGTGAAGGCCATTCCGGGACTGGGCACGACCATCGACGTGATCCTGGTGAACGGTTACCTCCGGGAAGGCGACACGATGGTGCTGGCGGGCCACGACGGGCCCTTCACCACCCCGATCCGGTCACTGCTCATGCCCCAGCCCATGAAGGAGCTCAGGGTCAAGAACCCCTACCAGGAGTATAAGGAGGTCAAGGGGGCGCAGGGGGTCAAGATCGCAGCCAGGGACCTGGACAGGGCCATCGCGGGGCTCCAGGTGCTCATCGCCCACCATCCGGATGAGGTCGAGGTGCTCAAGGTGGGTCCGTGGACTAGCTCTATTTTATTTTTACAGCGCAGCTGTTAAGGGCTGGTTTCCCCAGTATCGTGGTTTTACGTCTTCGAGGTTGGCCCTTTTGTTTGTATCGTCCATCGCAGCCCAAAAGGGCATTCGCGCTATTCCGAAATGTAACGCATTTCGTTTTTTGGCTGGGATTTTTTTAGAAAGTTTTTATCATCCCATATTTTCTATCAACTGGGATTGTATTATCGAGATTCTACTGTAACATATTCTTTACATCTAGTAAATGCGTGGACAAAAGCTTGTTTATTCTGGGCAGCACATTTACTGCACTGCTCAGCTTCAACGAATGTGGAGAAAAGCAACAAATATTGGCCACTTATACTAACGAGGTTTGCAAAGAGGGGTTTGTTGTATCAGAAGCTCTTTATAAGAGAACTAGCATTTGCACATGATAAGCCTTACTTGAAATTCGTTGTTTCCTTTATATGTTTGTTGTCTAACAGAAGTGTGTTATATAGAGTACAGTGATATCTCATTAATATGCAGACCTCCGTTCCCCCCCAAAATCATCCGTAATGTGAGTTGTCCATTATAACGTGGTAAAGATGCATGTATTCACCCAGTTCGTCCCCAAAACCTTGTCTATATAGCGAGATATTCATTTTATTATATTGTATTAACAATATAATAAAATATTGTTGTATTGGCTTGTAACTGGCTTAGCTTGTAATTGGCTTGGCGGGGGTTGGCTTGTATTAACAGGGCAAGACTGTATAAGCAAACTTTTCTTTGGACGCATAGATATAAAAAACATATAAAAAAGTCCCAATTTTTTTTTTTTTTTTTGCTGTCTGTTCTTTTTTGTGTTGGTTCTAAATCGAACCTCCATTTCTTCTGCGTCCAGGACGAAGTGTCTCGATCTCTGAAGGAAGTCATGAGCGGGTTCAAGCTGTCAGAGAGGGGCGTCTACGTTCAGGCGTCCACGCTAGGTTCTTTAGAGGCCCTCCTCGAGTTCTTGAGGGTCTCCAAGATTCCGGTGAGTGCATATCTATTACGTCGGTTCCTACGAGCTATGTGTACATGTTCTAGGTGCGCTGCATTTATATCTCTTGGCGCATTTGTGTCTGTCGGACGTAGCCTCGATGGTGATGTTGCGCTGAAGATGCAACACTGTTCACCTGACGTCGTCGTACGACTCCCTGATGTCGCGTGACAGTGACGTCCTAGTGCCACGTGATATGACGTGACGTCACATGACATCATGAATAGTGTGCGACACTCAAGTCACTGTGACATCGGGCGATACTGCGACATAACAGAAGACTATAAATTTGATGCATTTCGAATTCCTTTCGGAGATACAGTGGTCCCTCGTTATAAGGAAGTCATTGGGACGGGAAAAAAATTCTATATAAGCGGCAATTTGATAAAAGCAAAAGAGTAAAAAAAAAAACGACAGTAGCCTTGAAGCTGGACAAGAACAGTGTGGAATGCTCTGACCGTATGTTTACTCTAGCAAACCTCTGTTATGAACAACTCGCGGCAGCTTTACTGAAGAGTAAAGAAATAATTAAGGTGGAGTTTGCCAATAATTTTATCCGGGCATCAGTTCTCAACCTGTTTCAGGCATCGCAAAAGCACTGTCACCGACGCTAAACTCCACTTTATTCCGAAGCAGCTGTAGGATGTTTTGCATCTCTGCAGTCGTCGGGGTTTCCCGCGGTGCCTTTCCGACGACTCTTCGCATATACCTTGACTGCACGTAAGGTCTACGATGGCGGCATATGTCGCTGGAGCAACAAGGGAAATGTCCGCAACGACAAGCGTGAACGAATCGAAATCATCCTCGGTGGCTTCGCGAACGTGTTTGCACACACTCATGTGAAGATCGCTGCAGCTTTGGGAATCGCGCGCTAACTCGGCAAGCGTGTGCGCATGCAAGAAAATCGGACATGCACAAAGCAGTTGGCAATCTTTCATTTTCGAGTCGCTGGCACTCTTTCTCTTGCACGAGAAACTTTTCTCGAAGTTGTCAACTATGTCTTGCTTGTTCCGCAAAATGGTGAACATCGTTGAACACTCAATGCCAGAATGTCGAATTGCTTGGCGGTTTTCTGACTTGGGCCAGCCACTTTTATCAACCTAGCAGATTGAAGCGGCTTTTGGTGAACACTTCCACACTCCCATAAGATTATCAGCTCCGGGTTCCTTTACTTCCTTGCCCCGTTTCCAACGGGAGTCGGGCCGCGTGAGCTGCGGGCGTCGTGAATAGCTTTGGAACATGGATGCTGCTCCCTAATCGTGTAGCCACATCTGCATTGGAAGCAGCACTCTGCGCGCTCTGCCCTTTGTTACGCGTTTGCTCTATTTTTTTTGTTTGCCGTTTTCCTGGTTTATTGTTTGCTTCGGTGGAGGAGAAGGGGGGGGGGCACGCAAGGGTCTCCATGCGCCTCCACTTAGGCTCGCGTTTTCGCTACCTCGGCCTCCGTAACAAGCTTAGAATAATCCGGTTAAAATTGCACGCATTTTGATCAAGAAGCAATAATTTGAAAAAAAACAAAAAAAAACGTATGAATTCTTGCTTGTTTTCAAGCCATGCAAGCGTGTCTGCATGGCCTAAGCGGTACCGTGTCTGGCTTGCAACTGCAGGGTCAGGGGTTTGAATCCTGCCTCTGCCTAAAATTCTTCAAATTCTTGTTTTAAGGCAAATGAATTACTTTTTAAAGTGAAATCACTTGAGACATCTGGCGACCTTTAATTCGCGTGGCATGTTTTAATCACTTCTATTCCACGTCTGACGCCTCGTTTCACGTGAGCGTTGTGGGTTGTTTGAAATTCTCACGCGAGGTCATGTGGCTATGATGTCATAAGCCTATCGAGGAGTTTCCCGTCCCACCGATGCCGACTTTTCTCTGACACGAGCTGCTAAACACCATTGCGTTAAACACAATTTTTGTTTCGAGGGATTGGTGTACCGAAGAGAGGCAGCTTTTTTAGCATGTTCATGTTGCTATTTTTCTTTGCAGTACTCTGGCATCAGGATAGGTCCGGTGGTCAAGAAGGATGTCATGAAGGCCTCCATCATGTTGGAACATGATACCCAGTGAGTTGGTGGAACTGATACAGTGAGGGTTCTTTAGAAATTTGGATTAAAAGCTGAAGTAAGGAACCAAACTCTCAGAAGCACAGAAGTGTTCTGGAAATCCTTAGAAGGTGCGAGCTGCAGAAGCCAATGGAGGTCTCTGCGAGCCTATGGAACATTTTGCAGCTTAGCCGCGTGCGGTTTCGTAGGTTATGTTGAATCGGAGAAAAAATTCTTTAGACTTAATCTAATCTTGTGTTATGTTCCCTTAGCAAATCAGGTACAACATAGTTTTCTTTTTAGTATTTCATTACAAAAAAGTGGCGTATGGCTCCCAACCAACTTTTTGTACTCTAAGCGGATCACGCAAAAGTTCACACAATCGGTCAGTCCGAAAAAAACAATTTGAGACGAAGTACAGTGTAAACCGCATATAACGTATGTCGTGGGAGTCGCGAAAATCTGCACTTTAAGCGGTACCGCGCTATAACCAAAACATTAATTTTTCAGCCCAAAATACATGTTATGAGACAACTTACCTTCGTAAAAGAATTTATTTTATGTTAGATGAAAAATAAAGCTTAGTTTGAGGAAAGACTTTATTTCACCAGACTAGTACAGTTCTGTCTCATGTGTGTCACACATTTTGAAAGAAATTAGCGGCTTTTGCCTGGCGCAGCCTTTTAATGGCATCGCGGGTTGCGGACGGACGTTGCGAGCGGTCAGGATTGCTAACCCTAATCACTTTTCTCCGGAGATGAAAATGCGTGAAAATTCGCATCCTTCATACGGTACGCGCCAGTAATACCTCGAACTTGAGCACACGCATGAAATGCGCCAAATAAGAAATCTGGGCGATGTTCGAGGACACAAATGCTTATAGAAATCACCACTGTAGTCGAAGTAAACAAACACGACGACACGGGCGTTTCTGCCGTCTTGAGAGCGCCGCCACGACATCGCCGCACGAGTAGGTGGATCTTCCCTTCTAGTACGTGCTGGGTTATCATAGCGACACACAACGAAAATTCACAGTCAAGGATAGCGCTTTTACGCAGAACGATGAGATGAACGCCGTCTATGACGACGATCACAACCGACGCCATGTTTGCGGATAGAAGCAGTCGGCCCGCGACCGGCATGCAACGCGCGCGAACACTTCTCCGACTTCTCCTCGATCTGCGATTGGTCTGTCGGTGCAGTTGTTTGTTTCTTTGTTTCCACGCAGTAGAGGGGCAGAGGGACGCACGCACGTGAACGACACGTGCGTGCGTCCCTACTGAAGCCTCTCTCTTCGCTTCTCCCCACTTCTTCGAGCAACATCCTCACCCCGCGCCGTCAGCGCTGTTATCTAGTGTCGCACAGGGAAGCGTGCTCGCTGCTCCGGTCGTCTGCGCGGTCGGCGGGCTGTGCCAAAAAACGCACTATAACCGGTGTTTCCCTTCGCGCACCTGCATTTTAAGCGGTATATAAATACATGGAGTTCTATGGGAGGCGAACCGGTGGCTTAAAAAAACCGCGTTATACCCGGTCCTGCACTATAAGCGGTTACGTTGTAAGTGGTCTATACTGTATTACCGTAAAATACCGGGCAAGCGCCCACTCAAACTTTGGAGATAATCGTAAAAAAAAGGAGGAATGGGCGCTTGTCCGGTCATGAATTTTACATATAAATGTACGGTGCGAATATTCTCTGATCTTGCAAATTTGGTAATGGGCACTTAATGTGGAATGGGGAGACGCACGGTATTCTACGGTAGGTTCCCGCGCTATTCTGCTTAGTGTCGCCTACTTTCCACTTGATAGATGGAAAGTATTAAATTCCCGTCCGATTTCCGCTCGGTAATTTCGCCCACTTTCCGCGTTCGATGGGTTCTCGATGTGCTGCAGTGTTTTGTCAGTGTCTTTGAGGACAACAGTGTTCTTGGACAACTTTGAGGCAATGTTCAGTTGCACAGGATTGCTCTGCTGAACTATGCTTGTTCAGCCATAGTCACTAACAGGATGAAAACGGCAGAAAAATCTTTTAGTTGTTCCTCCTCCAGCACGAGCTTCCAGCATGCATGCTAAGCCAAAGCGCCATGCTGCCACAGCTGGAACAGACAATCCGACCATAGCCTCAGTTGAGCTTCTCTACCATGTATAGGACTTGGTATTGAGGCTACTAGTCAAAACCAAAATTGCAGCGACTCAATATAGGACTTGGTATTGAGGCTACAAGTCAAAACCAAAATTGCAGCGACTCAGTTTGCAGTTGTAGTCTAGCAGGTTGTTGTTAGAACATAGTCATTGACTGGAGGGGTTACTTCGCAGCCTCACGATAAATGGAATTGTTAGGTTGTGAACGGCCATAGCGTGCAGACTGGCTCGGAAAAGTTGAACGATGACATTTCAAATTTCGGTCCTGTTATGCACTACTTATATGGGTTGAGCAACAGTCCCGCGAAGGCATCCTCAGTACTGAGCACGTCCTAAATGTCTGTGTACGCAGAGTTGATTGGCAGCTGTATAGACATGTCACTAAAACGTTGACACATGCGCAGAGTCTCCACTTACCATAATGGGCGGTTTCAAATACGAGACAAAGTGCTCAGAATTTGACCAAAGCGCATTGCGGTGTACGCACTGTTTCACTAAGATTTCAGTTGCTGATTAAAGATTTTGAGTGATCTAAAGTAACCTTCGGTCCTTAGCTGAGGTGTGCCAGATGTCTCTGGTTGGTTCAGGAAGTAAGCCTCTGAAATTTCAGTTGTATTGAATGCTATAACATTTCTTTGAGCAGCCCCCCCCCCCCCCCCAGGAAACTTCTCGTCTGTATCCCGAAACAATTTGGAATTAGACGGTAAAATGAAAAATTGGGCTGGTGGGACTTGAACTCCGTTCTTCCACATTGGAGCTGTCTGAGCTGCCCACTCAGCTAAGCATGCGGCATTACTCCCACTGAAGAGCAGTTAAACAGAAGCGGCGATGTACTGAGTGTGACTGTGTCGTAGCAAAAGTTACGCTTCAACGGAGGATCGTATGAAGAAACAAGAAGCCAATAAAAGATTCTACTTAGTTATCCTCTGTAGGGTTTGATGCAGTTTAATCAATTGAACATAGCCTTCATAAAAGACCAGTAACGTGTTGCATTTCTACATAGTCTGCATCGAAGCCCCGCAGAAACACTGCCCCTTTTTTTCTTCGAGCAATCCAAGGAACGTCGCAGCTTTCGTCTGAGGACCATCTGCTTTGTATCAATGCAGGTACGCGGTGATCCTGGCCTTCGACGTAAAGGTTGAGCGGGACGCCCAGGAGCTGGCAGACTCCCTGGGGGTGAGGATCTTCCAGGCGGACATCATCTACCACCTGTTCGACAAGTTCATGGCCTACCGGGAGGAGCTGCGCCAGAAGAAGCGGGACGAGTTCAAGTCGGTGGCGGTGTTCCCCTGCAAGGTCCGCATCCTGCCCCAGTTTGTGTTCAACTCGAGGGACCCCATCGTGGTGGGGGTGTCCATCGAGGCCGGCGTGGTCAAGGAGGGCACCCCGCTCTGCGTACCCTCCAAGGATGTGAGTTCTGCGTCTTGTCTGACTGTCATACCCACTGGCAACATTGGAAAAGTTGCCTGCACTGGGACGCTGAGTGTGGCACTTGCATGCCTGCTGGGACACTAGTGTGATGCTCGCTTGCCTGTGCTGGAATACTGAGCATGACACTCTCACGTCTGTGTTGCAACTTCTGACTCTCATGTTTCTGCTCTGGGGCCACTGAGTGTGATGCCTGTGTGCCTGTGCTAAGACGGTAAGTGTGACATTTGTGTTCCTGTGCTGGGACTCAGTGTGACACTTGTAGGCCTGCACTGGGACACCGAATGACGCTCTTGTGTCAGCTGAGATACAGAGTGTGATGCCCATGTGCTAGGATTGTCGGTGACATGGAGTGTGACACTCATATGCCTGTGCTGCAACTTGAAGTATGAAAGTATGACATGCATGGAGTTTGGACATTGAGCATGATGCACTTGTGTCTGCTCGGACATTGAGTCTGACACTTATTCGCCTGCATGGGACACTATGTGATGCTGCGTGCCTGTGCTGGTATACTGAGTGATGCTTGCGTGCGTGTGCTGGGACACAAAGTTGGACACTTACATGCATCTGCTGGGGGACACCGAGCACGACACGCTCGTGCCTGTGCTGGGATACTGAGTGATGCTGGCATACCTGTGCTGGGACACAGTGTGACGCTCACATGCATGTGCTGGGGAGCACTGAGCATGACATGAGCCTGTGGTGGGATATTGAGCCTGGCATCATGTTCTTGTATTGGGACACAGTGACACTTATGCCTGCACTGGGGCACTGGTTGTGATGCTTGTGCCTGCTTTAGGACACTGATTATTGTACTTGCATATGTGGGGGTTCAAATAGAGATTGTATCTTGAATGGTATGGATCAGGGGTGGCCAGGCTGACCCGGCCTAAGAGCCGCAAACAAAACTACGAAACTTCCAAGAGCCACGGGGGGAAGGGGGGGGGAGGGGGTAAACTTTTGCCCTGAGCAATAAACGAAACTAGAACTACTTTCAATCTATCAGTCAAAAGCAGTTCAACTTTACGTAAGGTAGCAGTAGCAACAAGACTACCAAACTGCAACCTGCCTTTCGATTTACAACGCTTCCCATTTCTCTTTCTGGGGAAGTGCTCGTGTGACCGGGAAAGAGGCGGGGTGAGGGGGTGAGGGTGGGGTGGGGAGGGGAGGGGAGGGGAGGGGAGGGGAGGGGAGGGGAGGGGAGGAGAGGAGAGGAGAGGAGAGGAGAGGAGAGGAGAGGAGAGCTGCGAGCCGCACTTTAACACGTGAAGAGCCGCAGCTTGGCCACCCCTGGTATAGATGCAGCTGCATTTACTGCTCTCCTTACACAAGGGGCAATGATTTGCTTTTGCTATGCTCTGCAGAAAAGTTGATTCGCAGGGTTTGTTCATTAGAGGGAGACCTCCTGTAAAATCCTAAGCAATGAAGATAGAAACTGGGAAAAATATGGCATAAGTGATTTTTCGAGGTAAGACAACATAATGTTGCACAAAAATGAGTGATGAACACTACAATTTCGCAGAATATGGGAACCAAAATCGTAAATGCAGCAGACCCATGTTTCGTGGTGCTGCTTCCCGACTTGAATGTCATTGTATTTGATGTCATCGGGCCATTGACGAAGTAATTTTTCATATAAAGCATGTTCGTTAAGTACTGGGTAAAAACTAGTATTTTTAGTATACCATACATAGCACAATGCTCACTACTGACACTACGTCTGTGTCCCTCGCCAGTTCCTGGAGATCGGGACGGTGACGACGATAGAGGTGAACCACAAACCCATCGAGAGCGCCCGCAAGGGCCAGGAAGTGTGTCTCAAGATCGAGGCCCTGGGCGGCGACGCACCCAAGATGTACGGCAGGCATTTCGACCACACGGACTTCCTCGTCAGCAAGGTGACCCCTTCCCTTTCTTGCACTTCTGCAACTTTTAAAGTGATGGCTGTACAGGGTGTTTTAGAGCGCAGCTCTTAGGCGCCTGTTTCTGTGTTTCGCGGCGTCGGCATAACCGCGGTAAATTTAGCGAGAAGATTGATGTCACGTGACCTCAACACCAATTTAATTCCCCGTTAAATTTAGCGGGGAATTGAATTGGCGTTGAGGTCTCGCGACATAAATTTTCCCGCTAAATCTAGCGGAGAAACTGAATTGTTCATAGGTGACGTTTCACCAAGTCATGTGATGTCATTTTCCTTGCTAAATTTAACGGGGAAAGTGAATTGGTGTTGAGGAATTTTTCAGCTAAGTTTAGCGAGGAATCTGTGGGAGGAGGAGGAGGAAAGGCATACCCTCCCCTCCTCTTTCTCAAGAGCTGTGCTCTAATTTTGCATTACAAAGATTTGTAAAAGTATAATTTTTTTTTAGGCTTTACAGAAGATTGTGGTCCAAAAACACGGATGATAAGCGTGCTATGGTGTTATCATACGCGTTTTCGCACTACTATCCTTGCACCTATTGCAATCATGGTAAACATTAAAAACAAGCGTGTTGGTAAATATGCATAAACAACCAGAAAGAATAAACATGAAAACGGGACGAAAATTGACGCTTGTGTGCGTCCGTTTTCATCCAGTTTTCGTGTTTGTTCTTTCCGGTTGTTTAAGAATGGTAACTTCAGTGCACCATTGCACTTCTCTCACACTCCAAATGTTGCTGAAATGAGCGGTCTTCGATTACATTTGGCAAGTTTCTATTTGGAAGCGTATGTTTATTTCTACCATTTAAAGGGTTGATAAAGTTTTGTCAATTATCCGACTGACTAATCGCTACGACTAGCACCCTATATTATGTCCACCTGGCCATACAACTCACCTGCACAAACCGAATTAGTGTAGCTTTCGCGGATTTTTTAAAACAAATTTGTAAAGCCGTGTAGGGGAACCCTCCACGCACTATAGCAAGGTCATGAAAGAGAGCATCAGCAGCAGAGTGCAGCTGTAGGTTTGAGTTCGTAGCGCATGCGACCAACGGTGGTGAGCCACGCAGAGTGCGACATTTCTGTTCCTGCAGTGGGACACATAGCGACACTCAGAGGCCTGTGCTGGGACACAGAGCATGATGCCTGTGTGCCTATGCTAGGAGGGTCACCAACATTAGTGTTCCTGCACTGGGACAGTGCGAGGCACTCGTAGACCTGCACTGGGACACCGAGAACAACATCTGTGTGCCTGTGCTGGGACGTGGAGGGGGACACTGCATCTCCAGCAGTGCGCGAAAACTCCGTTCTCTCTTCCCCCCCCCTCTGCATAGTAGGTGGGGAATTGCGTATTAGTAGAACATTCCAGTAGGCATGGCGGCATTTCAGAAAAAATGGTCCAATGTCTCCAAAAAGGAGGTGTGTAGATTAAGAAGAAATTTCCTTTATATTGTGACGAATCAACTTGACGGTGCGTCCATTTCTTCACGTTGCATCAGCATCAGTGAGATGATTATGATGCAGACATGAAGTGGGAACAAAATTACGATAGCTTCTTTCAAGTGCCGGCCAGCATCGTGAAGTCAATCTCGTTAGAAAACTAGAATAACATTGTCCAACGCTTTTCTCTGCTACATACTAAACAGAACGTCTATAGGGAATGCAACTTTAAAAAGGAGTCCTTATGCTTACAATCGGTGGGCTTGTCAGACCTTAAACCAGGGTTCTCCGTTGCTTTCCATGCAGATCACGAGACAGTCCATCGACGCCTGCAAGGAGTATTTCCGCGACGACCTGATCAAGACGGACTGGCAACTTATGGTGGAACTCAAGAAGCTGTTCCAAATCCTATGATCTACCCACTTGATGCAAAGTGAACTTTTTTTTTTGTTTCCTCGTTGCATCGCATCGACGAAATTCCGCGGCAAGAGTGGAAGAGAGAGTCTGACTGGGGCGCCTGGTGAATGATGCAAGGAGTGTGTTGTGCAAGGACTCGACGGAGCGGCCAAAAGAACCGTCGACTATTCTCGAGAGGCCGGCTTTTGCTACCGATCGTACTATAATGAACTTTATTATTAAAAAGCGCCGCAAGGCAACGACACAACGCTTCGTTTGCCATACTGCGCTTCTGTTTTGAGAATTGTTTTTGTGGGTGTGCGAGTTTCAAGATGTGCGGCGACGCGGAGGCCAGCTTGTTGGCACAGAAGGAAACGAAGGATACTGTGCGCTCCATTTCATGGGCACTGTGCTACATTTTATGGTGTTACGGAGGTCAACCTGGTCGTACTGAAAAGAAGAAAAACATTTTTCTAGACTTTTTAAAGAGCTCTGTGCCGCAGTGTTGTAGGTGGAAGTGCTCGTCTGTGTGAGGCATGCTCGTATCTTCATAAGCACTGCATGTAACTCCTGAATTGGAGTAATTATCTCTTTCGCATTACTTTGTGCAGTAGCCTTTTGTTTTTTTAATGGTAACTTGCAGCACTGTTGGGTTTGGTTCAGCTTGTAAAAGGCAACCCAATCCGGACTGGTGAAGAAATAGGCTTGTTACACAAATGTGCTCGAGGACTAAGTTAAGAGTTCAGGGGAAGCTCTTCCCACCTCTCCACTATTGCAGAGCAAATGCTGGAGAGGTCACCCCCTCTTCAGCATTTGCACTGCGAAAGTGGTGGCAGAAGTCCCAGCAACCTCTCACCGACTCTAGAGTTTTAAATAGCTTTCTGCGCTTGCCTTCTCTTATTGCAGATCAGCTAATTATGATTCACAAGTACACTACAATCTGTGGCCGCAGGTAATTTAGTCGAACGCTTGTGCCCAACTAAGACTATTGTCAAATCTTTTACTGTCCATCTTTTTGTTCGCATCGTAAATTTTTGGTACAGCAAGAATAATGCATATGCTGGAGTACAGCCACGTCTATTCAAATGTGCTCACTTTTTTCTCACATGAAAGGCAATTGTAACGGCTCGATAATGAGGTTTCCTTAAAGTAATATGCCGGCGGCAAGCACAGTGCAACAGGCCCACTGTGACACACTTTTAAGACTTGCAAGATTCTGAAAAATTGCCACATATATACATAAAATATTTCCCCCCTTCTTTTTTTAGCGATGAGCGTCTGCGGGACGTTTTCAGATGCTGTTTCTTGAAATGCTCCCAAAAAAGGTTTGAAGAATGCGAAGCGGCAGGTTCAGCTGCTGAAAATGCCCTCTTGTATTGCAAGGTATTACGGGTGAGACAGGGAAGGTTTACAGTGTTGTGAAAACAAGGAAATAAATTTATCTCTCGTAAGCTATTTTTGTTGGTTTCGATCGACAGCACGGAGTGGCGTATTTGTGGGACGTGGGCGTAGTAAAAGGAAATCGATGCCTGCCTATATTTTCCAGACCAAGAGCCATCGAAGAAGCTCTCCTTTGGATCAACGACAAAACCATTGTTGCCAGTTTTCTGAAGCTGTATCTGAAATCACAAGAAACAGGTCTTCCGCTTTCCAGAAATGTCCAAACGGTCCGCGAGATGACACTATCTAAAGGTATCGAAGGGGAACTGTCCCCAAGTGCACCCGCCCCACACTGAGCGCGAACATGGCGACGCCCACGAGATGACCTGGGAGCGTAGTGTCGATACTCGTAAGGGGCTCTATCCAGACCAACAGCCCGGCTAATGGCCTTCACGACTAGTACAAGTCGTGGGGATCGTGGCCACGGGGGGGCTGGACATAGTACAGGGGAGGCCAAGGGAGATGAAGATGGGGACGGCACGGTATGGCGAAAGGTCGAGGTACCGCCTCCAGCTCGTCCAGCTGCGAGACGGTAAATCCTTCGTACCTTGCGTCGTGCAATATCCTTCAGGGCGGGGTCCGATCGGGCGCTGGCCAAAGGGGACGACCACGAACACAAGTACGAAATAAACGATTTGCTTCGCTCTTTATTGCACACACAGAACCAAACCACACAACAACTGGCAACGACGGCCATAAAACATGGCATATCGGAATCAACATCCAAACACACTTGCACCCAAAAGCAGCAAACTACAGCTGAAGTGTAAAGCATACAGCGTTTTTTTTTTTTTTATACATATATATTTACATATATTTTACAGACGTGCATGTACTGTCCAAGGCCTCTTATTTACACGATTCTGAATCGTCCCTTAAAAGCTGAGCGGTAGGAACATTCTAAAAAAATCGCCCCAAACAGAGCTGTCCATTTAGCTTTTGTAACCGCAATCGCCGCAAGTCGCTGCTTTGATGCGGCAGCGACGAGCACAAGATCAAGAAATGACAAGCAAGTGATTCCTCTGTTGCCTTTTCAAAGCTCAGCACTTGTGTGACTTAGTAAAATGGCGTTTGTAGATGGCGGCCGATAATTGAAGCACCCGACCAATGGCAGCAGAGGAATTTGTAAAACCTTTGAACCTGAGATGAATCGCACTAAAAAAAGCCTGTTGAGAAAAAAAGATACCAGAGAAGTTTGTATTGTCAAGGCTGGTTCACACAGATTCGTTCTACTGCCGTCAACTGCTTCATGTTCTCTTACAATGACTTGCAACAAGGGAACACTGGTATCATCTATCGAGTACCTCTGGAACACTTTCGATCTCCATACGTTTGTTTTCATTCATACCTCGTGCCCAAATAAAGGAAAATATTTTTACAGCGAAGGTGTTAAGCTGTAAAGGGCTAGTCTCCCCCGGATCGCGTCGACACAACACTCCGGACAGCTACTGCCATCTATGAGCGACGGCGGCAACCAGACAACCGGCTTAGAGAGAGATAGGTGGCTGAGTGGTCTAGCGCACACCAGAGCCCTATATGTAGAGTTTGGTCATTAATTCGTTGAGAATAGAGCAAAAATAGGGGCATGCCATTGGCCGAAATTGTTTTAATGACCTTGGGCGCAATGACTGACAGCTCCTGTGACCAACAACTAGCCACAAATATTACCCTAGCGGAAGCAATGGGCTTAACAAATAGCTCCGATCACAATTTCTAGGCAAGGAGGCATTCAAGTATTTCATTTCAGCACGCTAAAGTTGACATTTGCAACTCTTCCTAACTGAAAGGGCAACGCATGTGACGCTGGTTGTCGCACTGACTCTCAGAATGCACTCCATCTCTCTCTTGATTGCGGTCGCAGCCGCGGCAACAACCGAGTGGACGGTGAAAACCGTGAACACTGTTTTCGCCATCCAATCCCCGAATGCGCACACCACGTTTGCATTTTCACCTCATGTTTCAGAAAACGTTTCTCGTCAATGTCACCTTTCGTGCCTCAGTAAATGCGCTCGGCACTTTGGAACTTCCTATTTCCACCAATCTCTTACAAATATCCGTACAAGTACTTTCAGCATCATCCAGAAACAAAAAAATACCTGTGGCGCGGTGTGCGGCTCCTTCAAGGCCATCCCAGCGCATTCTTACTTTGCAGGATCATGACGGGGGGAATACTGTTAAACCTGGATGTAACGAACCTGCATACAACGAAATCCTCTATTTAACTAACATTTTCAATTTCCCGACGCGATCTTCATAGAAGCGCTTGTATTTGTGAACTCCATGTAACGAAGCGCTCGCGATGGGTAACCTTGATTTAACAAACTCGCTCCGCCGCAATCTCCATTTTTTTTTTTTTTTTTTTATAAGTGCCTATATTGAGTTACCTACAATGCAGATATATTCTTGTCCAATTGCCACCAAAGGCGTGCAGCCGACCAAAAGACGTCGGTAATGTCAGCGAGCAGGCACGGCGGAAACACGCCGTCGCGCTTTCCGGGCGCCGCCAGACCCACAGCCTTTCGACGTTGCTACACAAAAGCCACCACGAATAAAAGCCCGACTTTACTTGCTACAATTTTGCGACGCGACACTACTTCAGGGACACGAAGAGCAGCTGACAACGTCCGATTTGATCGTTGTTTCACGAGCACACATCGCCAGAGACATGTCCGCTAAAATGTCTCGCCGTCCCACAGAAAGACCCGCGAAAAAATGTGACTCACGAGACGTAGCAAACGGCGAGCAGAGACGAACGCAAAACAAACAGCTGCAAGCGAATCCAGCAGTCCCGAAAGTTGATGCCGACACCGACAGTCGTGTTGCTCGCCAGTGTCGCAGTTTGACACCAGGCGACGGTACGATCGATCTAGAGAATCTAGGGATCTTTTGAATATTTTTTTCCCGGGGACAAGTGAAGTCAGCCAGTGAGTTAGTATACAAGCACAGCATCGTTCCATCAACGTTCCACCTGAAGCATGAGCTCCACTACTAAGAAACGGAAAGTTCTGCCTCTTGAAGACAAAGCCGCTATCCTGGATGCGGTGTGCGAGGGTGAAAGAAAAAAGGACGTTGCAGCCCGTTTTGGCATCCCAGCGAGCTCCCTGTCAACAATTTTGGGCTCAAAAGATGCAATCTGGAATGCAATGGAAGCCGGCACAAGCTCCAAGAAAAGGCTGAAGTCGTCAACCTATGCAGACGTGGACAAAGCGGTATTCACGTGGTTCCTAGACATGCGTGTGCAAAACATTCCTATTAGTGGAGCAGTACTGCAGCAAAAAGCAAGGGATTATGCATGCATTTTAGGCTACAATGATTTCAGGGCAAGTAACGGCTGGTTACAACGATTTAAAAGTCGACAGGGAGTTGTCGGGAAAGTTATCAGCGGAGAATCCGCATCCATGGACCGAGATAGTGCTTTTTCCTGGGTGAATAATGAGCTACCGAAGATCTTGGATCGTTACGAAGCGGCTGGTCTGTAAAACGCCAACGAGATGGCCCTCTTTTTCCAGATGCTTCCGAGCCGCACGCTCACGTTAAAAGGAGACTGCTGTCATGGAGGCAAACAAAGCAAACTCCGGGTGACGGTTTTGCTTTGCACCAACAGTGACGGATCGGAAAAGCGCGTGCCGCTCGTTATTGGAAGTTCCTGGCCCAGGTGCTTTAAAGGAACATAAGGAATGATTCTAAAGTATTTGGCAAACTCGAAAGCGTGGATGATGCGGGACATTTTCTGTGAGTGGCTAAACGAGTTCAACGAAGCGGTGAGGAAGCAGGGCTGCCGGATGTGTTTATTTTTAGACAACTGTTGAGCACACCGTGTGGAAGGCCTCGTGTGATCGAACATTGAGTTGCAGTATTTTCCGACCAACTGCACGTAAATTAAGTCAAATTCGGGGGTTTTACGTGCCAAACCAACGACGGGCATCTGGCACGCCCCAGCGGAGGACTGAGGATTAATTTGGACCACCTGGGGATCTTTTCAACCGAAAGCTCGGTTACCACGGCGCCTCCTCCGCAATAAACCTCTGTTAGATCGAGGGCACCTCGGCCGGGATTCGAACCCGCCACATCAACCGCACGTCATTGATTCAGCCCCTCGACAAAGGCATCATCAACAGCGTAAAGTGCGCCTACCGATGTCGGCTGATTGCGCAACTGCTCCTGAACATTCGCCTCCACCGGGAGACTAAGGCTGACATCTTCTGAGCAATTGAGATGCTTGCGGCGTCTTGGCAAGAAATAAAAACGCAGACTATCGTCAATAGACCTTTTGCAAAATCCCCCATGCGCCCCGGCCCACGCGCGAGGATCAGTGGGAGAGACTGTCCCTTGGCTGGCCGCTCTGCCTTGATATTGCATTGCCTTGTCGCTTGCCTCCTCTTAATCCTCTGTCTTTCGATTCCATTACCTATTTTTATCTATATCAGTGTATTTTTTATTGCTTCTAAGTGTTTCTATTCTCTTCTGTGCACAATATTTCTCGTATATATATATAGTATTTGTGTCTTCATTTCGCCTTTTTTGACGGGAGTGCCGACGGACAACTTACCGCTTTGTGCGACATTCCCCGGGTGAGTGCTACCGTTGCTACCGATTCCTAAAGCACTGTTAGCTGTTCATTTTGGTTCATTTGACCCGCGTGCAGTCAAGAGGAGCCGTTTATAAACACCCACACACCTGTCATAGGGGTAGGCAGAGCTCTGAATCAACAATCGTGACGCGAGAGTTGAGTGCGCTGTAATTTGGCCGCCTGCGCTCGCTCCGTTGACTCGCACTCTAGCATATGCCTTCGAGTGCCCCTTACTTGACCAAGATACAGCATGCCGCTTTGTCACCGCGAACCATTTATCCGAATGTTTACGAAGCTGAGCCATATGCAACGCTGCGGCGCCTGACAACTGCGCGCTGCGGCGCGATCCCTTCACAAACGCCGTATGCACTTATGGCTTGTATGCACTTATGGTATGCCTTCTTAATCTATCTGCTAAAAGTTGTCAGTTGCAAACACCCTTTTTCAAGTGCAGAGATGTTCTGTCACCCAGGCAGTCACCTTGAAACTTGTAGTTCCTTGGATATTTTTATTTTTCGAGTCGAGATGTCAGCTGATGCTTGAGTCAAGATGGCAGCAACTGACAACCGCCGAGGAGACTGACCATGAGTGCATGCCAAAGGCGCATACAAGCCGCGACGTTGAACCGCCGGCGCTTGCTAAGGACTTGCGCCACTGCGTGCAGTTGTCAGGCGCCGCAGCATTGGATATGCCGAACGGTGTTACGGTTTCGCAGGCATTTAGACAAATGATTCGCGACGGTAAAGCGGCGTGCTGTATCTTGGTCAAGTTAAGCGGCACTTGAAGGCACACGCTACAGTGCGAGTCGACGGAGCGAGCACAAGCAGCCAAATCACAGCGCACTCGGCTCTTGCCTCGCGATTGTTGATTCAGAGCCCTGCCTACCCCTATGACATGTGCGCGGGCATTCATAAACGGCTCCTCTCGACTGCACGTGGGTCAAATAAACCAAAATGAACAGCTAACAGAGCGATAGGAATCGGTAGCCAAGGTAGTACTCACCTGGGGAACGACGCACGAAGCGACGTGTTGTCCGTCGGCACTCCCATCGAAAAAAGCAAAATAAAGACACAAATACTATGTATATACAAGAAATATCACGTGCAGAAGAGAATAGGAACACTTAGAAGCAATAGAAGATACAGTGGAATAGATAAAATAGGCAATGGAATCGAAAAACAGAGGATTAAGAGGAGAAAAGCGACAAGGCAGAGCGGCCAGGCGAGGGACAGTTTCTCCCACTATTCCTCGCGCGCGGGCCGGGGCGCTTGGGATAATTGCAAATCGCCTATCGCTTTAGGAAGGCCCAGATAGTCGAGGACATGCGTGTCACGACCAATGACAGTGAAGAGGAGCCGTCAAGCCTCCCCAATATCACTGAAGATTGGAGTGCGCTGTGCACGAACGGAGTGGTTCCTGACAGTGTCCAACTGAGTGACTTCTTATACGCGGACAACTGTGCCGTGTCTACCGAGGAAGCATCGGACCAAGCCGTGGTCGAGAGCATACGAGACGTCGACGACGATGGCGAATCATCGGAAACTACTGAACCGCCTGTGGTAGGTCTTGGACGCCATCGATGTATTACGCCGGGTCTCTGGCTCCCAGGACGACGACAGCACTCTGGTGTCCTTTGAGTGCTGCGTGCTGCCTTTGCTCATGCAAAGACACAATGCAAGCTTACAGACTACTTTTCCACTAAATAAATGACATGGGGAGTTTGCCCACGTGGACTTTTAATTTTCGCTTTCTTCCACGTGTCCTTTACGAGTTTTTCCGCGAAAACTGCATGTAACGAAATCTCCCATATAACGAATTATTGCAAACTTTTATCAATTTCGTTATATCCAGGTTTAACTGTATGCGGTGCTGGCAGTGGCGAAGCTTTCGCCGCTCCTCCCATTGACCGAACTCTCAATAAACTGTTCTGGTGCACACCAGCCACGCGGAGCAGAGCCATGTATGGAAAATGTTTGGTCAGTTTATGATCTCATCCGCCGTAACGTCCCTCTTTCGAGTGAGCCAATCAGCCTGCGGCACAGAGAGAGAGGCGTGAGTGCATGGGTGTGAAGTCTCGGCTGCTCCCAGCTGAGTGGAGAGGGCCGCCATTTTCATTCATTCAGCTGGCATGGGATTGACATTCAAGTTTCGGTTCTTTACTTTTATTTGGCAGGCTCTGGCAAGAAAATGATATAATGTTATTCTTCGGTGGCTTAGAAAGCAAACGAATTAAGTTTCTCCACGTTTGAACGCAAACTTTGAGTCAGGTGAAAATAAAATAAGCCCGTAGCAGATGACGCGTAGCCTCAACAGTGCTCCGCGCTGACAGTGTTGCATCAAAATGGCGCTCGTGTCCGCTTTGCTCCCTTCTTTCTCTCTCGCTCCTTCGGCGCTCTCCTCCCTTTCCTTCACTTGTCTCCTCGGTGCCTTCGTTGCCACACCCACTGGTCAAACTCTCCAAATATATCGCTCTGACGCGAAGCAAGAGCTCTTACTGCAGAACGCACGGCTTCTGGGTTCAATCCCCACCCCTGCCCGTTTCGATCTGGATGAGCACCGTACCGGCATGTGATTGAGTATCACTACTACGTGGTGCACGGTAAAGACCCCAGGCTGCTCGGCACAGCTGAGACACCAGACACCTATTGGGGCTGACTGACTTCTGGCTGTATAAACATACACACAACACAATCATTACTCGTAATAATTCTGACGTTATAAGCAACCACTTTTGTGGATAGTGCGTATGTTTGATATCGCAAATACTACCGCAAAACCTCAAACGAACGAAAGTATGTCTATGGGCAAAAAAAAGATGGATGCACTATGTCATGACCTGACAGAAGAAGAGAAATTGAAGCGTTTAACCGTGGCCCGCATTCTCCAGATCTCGGTCCTTGGACTCCCGCTACGGAATCGCCCGTAGACTTGGTCTGTTCATGTACATATTTCGGCTTGCCTCGGGAGTTTACAGTTGCGGGTGCTTTGTCCCTTTCTTTTCTGAACTGTTTAAAATCCAACAATATGTGGTCAATGTTGGGTGGCGTCCTTCCTTCGGTCTAGCGATACGCATTTCCAGGGCTACCCTCATGGACAGCTCCTGCGTGTTCACTTGCAAGCAGGTGCGAGGAAACTCGGCCAATGGCAGTCAAACGCAAATGTGCGAACCAGCCTTCATACCCGTGGTTGTGGATAAAGTCGACGTCGTCAGGCTCGCGAATTTTCGGCGCTTTTGTTTAGTTGAACGGGCGCCACAGAAACGGCGCCCTCCACGGCCGATTCTTGGCTCGGGAAAAGCGACCTTCCGTAGTACTTGGCGCTGGTCTTGGCGAGCGAGTCCACGATCGCTTTCCTGTAAGAAAGAAAACAGATGCAACAACTGCTAACGACTTAAAACGCGGGGCGTGGAGAGTTCCAAGCTTCTTGTTACCGCTCCATGGCCAACGAGGTTGTGGCATTGGCCGACAAGAATGCCGAAGACAAAGTGGGCACAAAGATATTAAGTGATGCCCCGAGTTTCTTCTGGCAAAAATTTTCATAGTTATTTGCTTCGAAATTGGTTTGATACATAAATATACACGCCCAAGCTAGTAGCCCAAATTACGAGTCACTATTTTTTTTTTTTTGCAAAGTTTTTGAATTTTTATTTTTGGTCCGATAGGCCTTACTGGCAGCACCAAAAATGCATGCCGAATGTTGCATATAATCGCGAGAAGTTTGTTGGTGTGGAACAAATGCTGGGGAAGCTTGTGCTGGCAAAACATACAAAAACGCGCAAAACACAGGGTCTTCTAGACTGCCTGCCCCACTCGCGAGTCATGCAAGATCCGACACCACCCCACTGGAGTGTGCAGGAAAATTCTAACGTTGGTTTTGGCTTAGCCTTTATTTGCCTTTTTCTCAATAACTTTTTAAAATTAGAGATGACGGATAGCGAAAAAAGTACTCCGCACAATGTGTTCGTCGGCAACCATTTGCGGCTCCGACTGTCCACATTTGGTGCCACTCGCTTTTCAAAATGGCGGATATAGTAATAGTGCGGGTCGAATATACATGCTGGTGTACCTGCTGCCGAGCCTGTTTTTTGTGCTGGCTTCGCTGAGGGACCAAAATTATTCCCGCATGTACGAGGAAGCTGGGGTGTCACGCATGCAGGTCACCTCTATCCAGAAAACAAAAAAGGATGTTTAGCGCAATATTTACGCCGGGCGACTCATTTTAAGTGAGGAACGAAACAAATTTCTATTTTGGAGTTAATGTCTCGATTTAAACATTAATTTCGGTTTCACTCCCAACTCAAGATGATGCATTTCACAATGTAATTACTGACTGAAAAAAAAATTGCCCGAGGCAAATATATTTTTTGGTGCACATGTCCAATCCAAAAACTTCAAAATGTTTTTTTTTAGAGTTCAATGTTTTTCTTTATTTTGTTTTTAAATAAGACAGGGTTTTTCATACACCTAGAAGTAACAGAAGATTGTTTTTGCTGGAAAAATCAGCCCCGATAATAATATTTTTTTTTAGTGTTCTTGGCTGCGTTTACTCACTAAAATCATTTTCTCGTAAAGTAATGAATTGCAAGCCCTTGGCGGGTTTTTGGTAGGGGTGCATGAATACTGCAATTTTCGAATATAAATCGAATACGAATATGGAAAAAAACTAACTTTGAATATTGAAGATGTGTGCAGCAATAAAAAATGGCGACAACCCTTGTTTATTGCAAAAAGGGTTGCTTACTGTGTTGAACCGTATCGTGTAGGTTGACTCACCGACGGCCTGCTTGCAGCGTCCTTTTCATATAATTCCGAATATTTGCACACCGCTCTTGAGCATTTAGATGGTTAATTGCTTTAGCATTATTCACAACACAAAAATAACAAAATGATCAAAATTTTACAAAATATTACCATGGGTGACGAGAATATGTTCACAAAACATAAATTAAGAAACACTGTTCTCACTACATTGACCCCCAAGACGGAATCCAAGACAGGCAACAAAAATGTTTTTTTTTTAAAGCAACGCTTCGTGCATGGAGCTGTTTATTACATCACGTGTTTTTGCCTATTTTGATAACAATGTTATTCATGTGCTAAAAAAAATTAGACCTTGCTGTAAAGACTACCGTAAATTTCAGAGAGAATGGCCACCCCCAATAGATCGCCCATCCAGTTTTACTGGCTAAATATCTAACATTAAAATTCCGAAACATTGTCCACCCCCCATTCCTGTCGGACATCATGCGATGCCTGAAAGGAATGCTTCAACTGCGCAATTTGCTGTACCGGCACGTCTGACAAGCGAGTTTATCGCGGGTTCCTGCATTTTTGTCTGAGATCTCCGCGCACGATATCAACGCCCATAACATGCGAGTTGTTCCCGCGTGTATGATGTGCCGTGAAATGCGAATCTGCTGTGTCCACAAACTGCGGTATTCGTATCCGTGACAAAGTTAGCAACGGAATCCTGTGTTTTCCCCCTGATCTGTGCGCGTGATCTCGATTCCACGCTAGTTGGTCCCGCGTGTATATTGCATCGGGATATGCGATTCTGCTGCGATATGCGGTGTTTGCTCCCTTAACATACGAGTTTGTAGCGGATTCCCGAGTTTTTTCCTGCGACCTGCGAGCACGATATCGGTTCCCGTGACAGGCAAGTTTGTAGTGGGTTCCCGCGTGTTTATTGCACCATAAAACTTGAATCTGCAGCGTCCGAGAATCGCGGTATTCATTCCCGTGAGATGCGAGTTCTCGGCGTGTTTCAGCGAGTCCTTCGCACGGTAAAACGTGAATCTGCTGTGTCTGCAACCTGCAGTATCCTTTCTTGTGACGCAGGAGTTTGTAGCGAATTCCCGTGTGTTTATCGCATCGTGAAACATGAATTTGTGGTGTTTGCGACCTGCGGTATCAGTTCCCGCGTCACAAGGTTTGTAGCCGGTGCCAGGGTGTTTATCAATAATTTCTGATAAAGTTTTGCTCTGGCATTCCATGTTTTTCACAATTTATCTCTTCAGTTTGGGGGGGGGGGGGGGGGGGGCGTTCTTTCGGAACTTTACGGTCTTATGGCTTTATTTAGTACTTTTGTGACTGTGGCGTTTATTGGGGGCCCACGCATTATCGCAATTTGTATTGATAATGATAAAATTAACAAATCTTAATACATAGTTTTTCATGCTCTATATTATAATTCCTGACTGATGATCTAATTTCAAATGTGCAAACAGCAATGGCAATTTATGCGAACAGCTATGGCAATCTAAAGGTGGCAAGTTATTTTCACGGGTGCCAATGTATAATTTTTAATTAACGAGTTATAAAGTAAAAAATAGTCTAAAATCAATGGAAACTCTCTAGCTAGAATTTCTGCAAAATGAAATCAACTGTGGGCAAAGCAGTGCTATCAAAGTCGCCACCCTTAAAAATCAACAAAACTTTGCCATCCTTTTGCCAATCTCGGCATTTCCCATTCAAAGGGACGCGCAGCTGCTTGCACGTATGTTGACTGTGGCATGTTTCGTTGGCATTGGAAAATGGTGAAACAATAAGGTTCAAACCCATACATGAGTCGCAGCAGTACATGAGAACAGCGAAGAGAGTTGTTTGCACTCAGAAATGGCTGTTCGTGAGCCACGATCGTGAGCAGTTTCGCCATGCCCTAGAACCGGGGGACCCTCGCTGGAGCACTTCCCGTTTCCACTGCGACGGGGCGAGCAACGAGCTGGAGGCGCGAATGGGGTCGTGCATTTTCCAAGTTTATCTTTGAACGAAATTGGAAGGTGTTTGTTGGAATTTACTTTTTACCACAAATTTGGAGTTCTGTGGAGCGTACTTTGTGGTACACAAAGTTCGGAGTTTTACGGGCTTAGCGTTTCGGAATTTCAAGTTTTACGAAAAAAATCGTCTTTGAATACGGAAATTAAAAGTTGCTTAAGTTTTTATCATGCAGTCGATATTTACAAAAATCGGCGGAAAAATTTTAAGTCATTTTTTGGGGGGGATGCTTACGAACAAAAATGAAAACAAAAGGAGAATCCTAAAAGTTGTCCGAGGATCCCACGAAAACACGCAAATCGGTCACATTCTTGCAACGAGCGTTCGGGACGTGAGCAGCAAAACGACTAAGGATTTCGACGGTGACAGACATATCCGCCTGACGCAATAAATTAGTTATCTCACAAATTGATTGCTTACACAAACTAATTGCTTACAAGCACTCCCTGGCAGTGTTCTCGGAGGGAAGGAAGCCTCTGGAATGAACCACACTATCACGTCGTCACATCCTTCTCCCAACCCACTAGATCTGACGCTCTCTTGGAAGAGTGCTCTAGAGCCCGCTAAAAGCACCACACGAATTCACCATCAAGGGACACATATCCTTGAGAGACAGTAGAGGAGCACCTCCCGGTCCTGCTGCAGTGCAGAAGCTTGTAAACAATGGTGCACATATGGAGGGGGGGTGTTTGTTACATACAGGTGTGGGACGGACCAAACTGGTTTTGGAGCAATTTTTGGAGCAGAACAATCTACATTTGAGAGCAATTCAGTGGCAGGAAAACCTGCATTTTGAAGCAACTTAGGAGCAGAAAAATCTATATTTTGGAGAACTAGGGATAACAAATAAGTTTTTTGGAGCACCTCAGGAGTGTGACATCATTTTAAGAAAGCATCTTAGCCAGTTATACCATGAGTTGCGATTCAAGCAAACTAGCTTTGTACTACAAGTGTTGGAAAGTACTGAGTAGACCTTTACCGTGAAATATCTGAAATTGCTCACAGAAAGGTACGAAGTGCGATGTATGATGCAATGCTATGATGGTTAGGATTTATGGATGCATCGATTGAATCAATTGCATGGACAGATGAATGGACAAATATTACTGAACCAAGGAATAGGGCAGCGGCTTACGCTACCTCGCAATGGAACACCCAAGGTTGTTGACCAAGAATTCACTTACTGCTAAATCTAGCGTCACCGTGGCCTTTAGCGCAGCGTGGTGCAATTTTGGTCGATTTCACGCTTTTGGAGCCACTGGGCGTAGGAAATCTTGAATGTATCAAATTGGTGCAATTGCCGCAGCTGCCTCACCCCTGCACATAGTTATGCATCAACGGATGACTCAGATCTTCCGAAACACTACTTTGATTGGGAAAACACTTCAATCAGAGGCAGGGACGGCCGAGAAACTTTGGGGGCTGGGGGGACCCCTCAAGGCTGCTGTGGGGAACCCCTGAGGGGTGCTTTGGGGAGCCCCTGAGGGGTGCTTTGGGGAGCCCCTGACGGGTACTGGGGGGGAACCCCTGAGGGGTGCTGTGAGGAGCCCCTGAGGGGTGCTGGGGGGAACGCCTAAAGGGTGCTGTGGGGAAAACCTAGGGGGTGCTGTGGCGAAACCTTGAAAGGTACGGTGGGGAGCCGGTAGCCCTGCGAGTTCCTGGGAACCCAGTTTTAAGGGGGGATACGGCCTCGAAATTCCAATTTTTTCCGAAAAAATGCATTTTCAAAAAATACTATATTTGGGTTCACTATGTTCTGAAGCATAGTTTCAGAAAGTTTTATTTATAAATGCGCAGTATTTATTTCGCAAAAAAATTATTTTCGGCAAGCTCGCCGCCGCGCGCAGCGACCCGCCGAGCGAGCAGACGGCGAAGTTCAGCATTTTCAAATTAGGCCTACTCCGCGCTCGTTTGACGCAGCCGAGATATCTTACCCTCGTTGGAAGCGCCGTTTCTTCTAGCTTCTGCCCATAGAAGCTTGCTACGTTTGAGACTATCTGTGTCCCGGGAGAACCCCGTACATACAAGCAGAAAAAACGTGGGAACTATGATACCAGCAATCCCATTGGTTGTGACCCGAAACAGGGCTCACGATTGGCCGCCTGCGTGCGCTATCGGCAGCTTCTTTCGCTTCTGATCGTATCGCTAGTTCGCCGCTGTTTAGATTCGTTTTCCCTCTTTGTTCCCGGTAGTTTTTCTGCCGAGAAATGCCTGCTTCCGAAGTTAGCACTCGCAGTAGGTTTGGCCGGCGTTCTCAACGGCGAAAACAAAAGGCCGGCGGAGACGGGGACCCGTCTCCGCCGGCACCATCGTCGCCGTCTCCGCCGCCGTCGTCACGATCTCCAAGCTCAACTGGTGCTTGGCGGACATCGGAGCCTACAGCTTCATCTCCGAATCGGATGTGCTGACCACGTTCGAGAGGAAGCTCAGCCTGCACGATTTCGACGCGGGGATTACGGACGACCCGGAGCTGACAGACGCTCCCGTTGAAAAGCCCCTGAACGGCTCCTCAATGTGTCCGCCATGCAGACTCTTGTTGCGATTTTACTCTGCCTCAAGTGCCACGGAAAACTACTGAGCTTGCAAGAAGAAATTGGCATCAACCTTCAGTTTGTTGTTAGCTGCTCGACTTGCGGAGACTTCGTCGCGACACCGCACTCACCATATCAATCGGCAAGTTTCGAGAGAACGAACTCGCGGTACGTCTAGGCGTCGTTGGAAAAGACTTTGGCATCAGTTTCACAAAGCTCACGAATCTCTTCAGGGGGCCTCAACGCACTGCCCTCCTCATGCTCATGTAGTTGAAGGTGCCACCAATGACTCGGGTAAATTTCGAGTTTCTGTCATCGTCCGAAAATAAAATAAAAAACAAGTTGAAACTTCAAACGCAGTTTTCTCAGTTTCACTTTTTGGCAGGAATTCTTGTTTTAGGAAAGCTATCGTTTGACATTCTGAATACAGAGGGACATCATTCAAGGTTTTCTGGGACTGAAATTTTCTGGGGAACAAGATAGACTACTTTACAGTTCAAAAAATCTACTCCTTCATAAAAAAAAAAAAAAAAAAAAAAATTTTAAACAACAATTTTACATTTTTTTTTAAATTTTGGGATGTTTTTATTTTTGTTATAATTGAATATTTTGCAATTTATTTTTTATCTAGGTTGCACTGTGGGTATTGTTCTTCACATTAAAGCAAAAAGTTTGCCACCAGCTAATTTTATTTTTCTACGATAGACTTCCTAATGAAGTGTCTTTTTTCTGAAGTGCGAGAACTGTAGCATACTGTAAAGTTGACCAATAATGTTATAACTTTGCAGATTATCCTTCCTCATAGTGCTGAAATAACCCTCAAAATTTGAACCAAACTGGGTGAAGGGTTCAAAAGTTGAGCCTCCCAGGCCATATCCCCCCTTAAAGGGGCCCTGCAAGGACTTTTTACTGTTTTTTAATTTGCACCGAACCTGAGCGCACTGAACGTAGTAACTTGGTGAAATTTTCCTTTCCGCGAAATTCGCTTTATTTTAAAAGTTATAGGCAATTTAGAATTACAAAAACAAGCAAAAAATAACCTCCTTCATGACGTCATAGGTCCTGGCTTGAGTGGCCGTGAACTAGAGGAGGAATAGTGAGCTCATCGAGCGCTCACGGCCGCCGCACTCCGTGTCGACGGTGCCAGAGGGCGCCACTAAAGCATGTTCTGGATAGGCTGTATGCAGCGGGCAGCCAAAGCGGCTTTCATTGCGTTTGCTAATTCGGCATGACACTTTATTGGCCACAAACGACAGCAAACACGGGGTAAAAATATGTTCAAAATGGGAGCCCACTTCGCGCTGCCATACCGCGAAACGGCCAAACCGCAAGACAAAGCCTCTCGCGGAAGGCCTTGGGAACGCTTGGAGCTGGTCGGATCCTCCTGTCCATACGACTGCAGCGCCACCGCGTACATCTGGGATTTTTCCGTGTCGGCGCCTTATCCCACTACTCTTTTCTAGCATGCGCCGCCTTTTCCGCCGCTTGGCGGCGGGTATGTTGACGGTTCATTTCTTGTTTCCGTACTTTATAAACTGCATTAATTTTTTTCACCTATAATATTGAACAAAAACTACTTTTATAAATAATTGAAACGGTTCGCACCACTTATATTTTGTATTTCGACCAAAAAGAAGTTTTTAGTGGCTCTGACCAGTAGTAAGCCCAGGACCAAAGACGTCACATTTTGCGCGCTTTCGGTACCGTGGGTCGCCCTCGTCGGTGGAGGAGGTTTTCGTGTCGTCCGGTTAAAATATGGCGCACTGATATTTAGCTACTCTTTCCATGCCTGCTGGCTTGCCCGAACCCCAAAAGACGTGGAAACCGCATAAAAGGTAGACGCTGAAATATGATTGCACACCCCCTAGGGGGCACACCCCCTAGGGGGTGTGCCCCCTTAAAACAGACCACGACGATCAAGAACGCAGGATCCACAAACACACGAGAAGAGCTACAACGGCCACGATTCTGCCGACCGAGCGAGCTCGGCAGAATATAGTAGGCCTAGCAGCAACATCGACTCGGCGCACCGTTGCTCCGGCGGTCCTTGGCCAAGACCGTCAGTCCATGACCGGCTGGCCTGCTGAATGGAATATGCCCGCGCGACCCTTGTGGACCCTTACCGGATGAGTAGTTTGATCCCTGAACTAAATTTCAGAGGTCAATATTTTCCTCTTGTCATCTCGATCTCCTTGTTTTCCGAGACAGCGGTGACGAACGCTGTCGTCGAAAAGGGACTCTCATTGATTCTATCTCCTTGTTTTGTGTGATATAGAGCTCAAATAAACGCCATTCGGATTACCTTCGCAATTCGGTGTGTACACTCTGTTATTACTATGCCATTTTTTTTACTCGACGCTACGTCACTGTCGAGCTATAGCAGTTCGTGGGAGCTACGCGATGTCGGTCTAACCTTTCTTTGCCGAGTGTCATGTCAGTATCGAGTTGCAATCGTAAAAGATCGGTCCAGAAGCGCTTACCGAAACGCGGTCTAACAGAGCGAATCCAGCACTTCGATCAAACGCGCGTGTCCGCTCCGAGTGTGAACAGGTATTTGCGTGGCTCTTGCTGACACCCTCGTAGTTCAAACATATCCTTTTTAACGTCGGCTCGCAGCTCGCGACTCGCAGCAACTAATACCGGCCGTGCCAGAAGCATGCTCGGGTCGTGTCGTGCAAAGAGCCGTAACGAGAACGAGCTCACTGTGGCCAACTACGCTTTGGCTTTCTCCGCCAAGGCTTTGCAAACGCGTTCAGGCCTAGGCGAATTCTGCCGGCACGCCGTATTGCCGCAGAACGGCGCTGCTATTATGCCGCAAGTGATGTCACGAGAACTTCCCCCCATCCACCAGATGAGAATTTGAAATTGTTTAATTATGTTTAAAATTAGTTCTCCTGTGTTTTACAGCGCAATATTTATATTTCCGAGGTGGTGCCTGTCCCTAGCCCATATTTATGCAACAAGATCGGCGCTAAAATTTCGTTTCACCACCCCTTTAAAACCGATGGTCTAAAGCAGGGTCTCAAACACATTTCAATGCAGAGGCCAGATAGCCCACCCCCTAAAGGCCGAAGGCCAACGAAAGCGGGGGGTGTTTAAAAGATTTTGAAGAGAAGGGAACTCGCAGCTTTGCCAGTGACCTCTTTAGCTTTGATTTGTTTATAGGACTTCTTTGGACCCTCACTTGCTGTGATAACAAAAATTAAATGACACTGCTCCGCCAACATGTTCACATTTTCAATAGGACAAGCGAGGAAGCACACTGTCTTTACCCTTGCTCAATTTACTCGGAAATTAAACAAGCTTATCAAGACTCTAAAAAACTGCTAATACGAGAGTTCTTGCTTTCCCAACGATTTTTACAACAGTCTGCGAAATTGCTTGTATTTTAATGGTGACATTTTTTTAAGGCAAGAATCTCAAGCTCATAGCTTTATTTGTGACAGCTGCTCCTGCCGACCAAGACTTCGCGAGCCGAGCTGCGTCTTTGCGTCTTTCAACAAAGAGCTCGCGCTTGCAGCAGCGGAATTGTTGTACAGCTGATTCCCATGACAAATAGCTAAGAAGTGCAGAAAATACTAAAGCAAAACCCAGGGCAAATAAACACAGCTTAGAAAAAACTATGTAATTATGTTTAAAAAAAAAAAAGAAAACAGAGCTACGTTTTGAGCGAAAAAAGGTAAGCAAAATGAGATGACTGTGGCGCACGCCATTTCTAGCGCTAGAGAAATGGGCCGCGTGTTTAAGACCCCTGGTCTAAAGAAATGTTGAAGACAGTTATTTACCTGAACACGTGCTGGCTGAAGAGGAAGGCGGCAACATGGCCGCAGTCGACGTAGCGCACCTCACAGCCGGGCCAGATCTCGGGCAGGGACTTGATCCCTTCCCGCGGCACGTAGGCGTCTTTGGTGGCCGCCACGCAGACCGCCAGGTCCGGGTCCACGGGCCGCGCAAAGTTTTCCAGGTGGGTGCACTCGTCCATGATGCCCCGCATGAAATTGAGCGCCTCCACGGGAGAACGGGCAGTCTCCGGCGCGGCGGAAGGAGACGATGACGGCGACGAGGATGGAGGCGATGAAGACTGCAGTTCCCTCGAGATCTTCCGGTAGCTCTCCATGGTGTGTGGGAAGTTGCGGGCAAACTGCTGACCGGCCTTGAACGCCGCATTCTGCGGAGAGATGACGCGTCACTTAGCTTGGGTAGGTTGTTTAAACAGAGAGCTCCGGCAGTTTTTTGAAAGCTACCCAAACTATAGACAGATTTTCGGAATACCCAGGCTCTCCTCCCCCTGGCACGCTATTTACTATCTCCGAATTCAGAATATTCGTAGAGAAAATAGAAAATAAAGGTCCTGCTAAAAAAACGGTATTCAAATTTTCACGAGTCTCCCATTGGGGCGACGTCACGTGTTGTATAACGTGCAAGTCAAGCGGGCAGCCTCAAAAAACACACTATTTCGTGCACATTTTGTTTTTGTTTTGCTGGCAAGAGCTTAACCAGCATTTATTCCACGCCATAACCTTTTTGCAACCCGTCCGGAACAAGCTGCGCTGCCCCCCTATTACCCCATACTACCAACATTCGATGGATGGATGGATGTTAATGGCTATAACCTTTGTAACGGGCGGTAGCTTGCGCCACCTAGTGCCTGACATCGCGTTTTTAGCATTGCCAGTAGAGCCTGCTACGGTTTCAATGCATATACGAGCTTTAATTCAATAGCATTTTCGCTTAATTCATACATATCTTCACTGCAGCGGGTCAGCCCGCTGCAATGCTTGGTCAGACCGCGATTATGCAAGCGGAATTGTGCTGACAACCTGCTTTCATTATTCGTGCTTGTCCTTTCTTAAATTTTTGTGAGGATGTTAAATTCCAGATTAATAAATATTTGCATATAGCAAGAAGATTTATAAACTCCCTCGATTAGGATAGCTTGATCTCTCTTTAGGATTAATTTTATGTTAAACTGTCATTTACATGCCACCCAACTGTAGGCATCAATCTTTCTGAGGCCACGGTTCATAGATATGGTTATATTAACTAACTGAGCTTGGAAGTGGACAAGCGGAAGGGTGTTAACAACCTTCACGAGTTCAGCTGAATTTTTTTATTTGAGCGTGGTACAACGGTAGTACAAGGCTCGGAAAAACTATTCGACTAGAAAACGTTAGACCAAAATCACTACTCGCTTCGAGCTTCATCAATGTTTTAAGTGCATGCCTGCTTATATACGTAGGCCTGCATAGAGGAAAGTGCAAAAAATCTGCTTGGTATGTGTAGCTAATCCTACAGCAAATCGCTACTTTGCCCGACATAATATTTAGATGAATTTCTGATAATTCAAAATTCTGATATTTCAAACAAAAGTACCGTATTTACTCGCGTAATGAACCCACCTTTTTTTCTAAAAAGTTAACATCAATTTGGGGGAAGAATTCATTACGCGAAAAAAAAAAAAAAAAGAAGTTGCGACAGATCTATAAGAATTGAAATTTCATATCACGATGTAGATAGGAAACGCGCTATTAATTGAAACCTTACTTTTTAAAAAAAGTAAAAGTGCATGCACAACATATATGTAACCTTTTTTTATTCATGTCACTAGCCGGCCATTTGTTGGTGCTCCTACTCGCAACTACTGTCACTCTCTTCACTGATGTCGCTTGCTGCTTCGTCGTCATCCTCGGCCCACAGTGTATCATCTTCTGTACCATCTAGGCTGTTTGAAATGCCAGTCTTTTTGAAGCTGCGGATGATCATGTCGCCGGGAATTTCGCTCCACACCTCCAGAATCCATCTGCAGAGCATGTCGACGGACGGCCTCCTTATTTTCCCTGCTGGAGTAAGGTTGTGGTTCCAGTCAGCCATCCATTCCGTGTACAGCCGCCGCACACTGTCCTTGAAAGGTTTGTTTATAGAGACATCAAGGGGCTGGAGCATAGACGTCAAGCCACCCGGGATCACGGCGATGTCTGTGCTAATTTCTTCCATTCGGCGCCGGACACTTTTCTCCAGATGGCTGCGGAAACTGTCGACGACAAGCAGTGACGGCAAAAGAAGAGCCCCCGGACGCCGTCCCCAACTGTCTTTAACCAGTCCAACATCAGCTCCGCGGACATCCAGCCCTTCTCCTGAGCACGGACATGAATGCCAGCGGGAAGAGAGTTCTTGGGAAGCGTCTTCTTGCAAACGACGAACGGCAGCAGCTTCCTGCCATCAGCTGTTATCGCCAACATCACTGTGCACCGTTGTTTTTCGGTGCCCGTCGTCTTCACAAGCACACTTTTCGCACCTTTCACTTCCACCGTGCTGCTTTGCAGCATGTCAAAGTTGAGAGGAGCCTGATCGGTGTTCCCAATCTGGGAGAGAAGGAACTCCTTTTCCTGCCGTATCCGAATGACAAACCGATGGAAACCTTGTATTTTGATTTCACAGTCCGCCGGCAGTCGTTGGCATAACGTCGTGCGCCTTCTAAGGCACAGCGCCCATTTCGGCGCATGAATCTCGTCGTCCAACCGCTGCTGGCTTTAAAATCGCAAGCAGGAATGCCGTGATTTCTGGCTGTGGCCCGCGCGTGGTTTTGAATCAACTCGTGGGACATTGCACAGCCTTCACTGCGGAGCCTCTTCACATAATCCAGAACTTCGTTCTCCACGAGAGGAAAGTTGCCTTGTTTTGGCCCTCGAAATGCGCGGCGATCCTTTTTTGTAGCGCGAAGCTCTTCCTCTTGTTTTCGCCAGTAACGTACACGCACTAGATCGACGCTGAAATGCCGTCCAGCCGCGCGGTTCCCATGCTCCAACGCATGCTCAATGACTTTTGTGCTTAAAACCAGCCGTATAGCTAGCGTACCGGCCCATCGTAGCTTTCGCAGAAGGTGTCCAAGTTCTCCGCAAAACAAAATCCACACGAAAACAGAAGCAGCGATGAAATGGCGGCAACTTTACGTTGTTTGTTACGGTACTTTCATTACATACCGCCGCGCTTGTATGGCGCTATAAGCAAGGAGCTTTCCGTTGCAATCGACAGATGGCGCTCCGCCACAAAGAGGCGCGATTTTTAAACTGTAACTTGCGTCGTTCGGGCTCGTGTCGCGGGAGACTGTTTAGCATGGTTCTTAGACGTTTTGGCATCGGTGCTTGATATATAACGATGTGACGTTACATTATTGCGATCGTCTACGGCACCGGCGATCGCACCATCATAAAGTGAACAAATATTACACACCAACTCTTGAATTGGGGTGCTCCCCCCCCACAAACACACACAAAAAAAAAAAAATATTTCCTCAAGGACAAAAGTAGGGGGTGGGTTCATTATGCGAGTGGGTTCACTACGCGAGTAAATACCGTATGCGGCTTCCTGGAGTGTCAATTAATGAGTCGACTGTATTGTGACTTGTGATCTGGTTTTAACTAGTTTAGATGTGCTTATCAATGTGTCAAACCAATTTTGAGGCAAATCAGCGAGTCAAAATTTTTTCGGAACTCCCCTTTGAGTCGAGGTGGTCAGACTTTTTAATGGAATGCGTTCAGGGCTAAAACTTCATAAAGAAGATCTCCCAAAAAAGGTGGTACACGATCATGCCGCTAAATTTGTCCCCTATAAGACTCCACGCTTGAGTATACCTCTATCTAAACATAGTGAAAACAGTGTTTACCATAAAATAGCAAGCCCATGCTGCAACGAGTGCCTACCCCTTTTTAAACATTTGAAATGTAAGCGGAGGACATATCAGGCACCCACCCCAGCAAAGTTCCGAGCCAACCTAAATGCTGCTCCATGTCAGACGCTCCTCCGAGCACGCCAGTGAAAAGCAGCTAACCTTTAAGCGCGCACACAGGTGCGAAGCAGTGAAGCTCTTGCGCACGCGCTGGAGCGAAGTGTGAAGGTAAGAAAGCCGGTGCAAAGTAGACGTGACGTAAACCTTAAAAATTAAAAACCACATTAAAAAAAAATTTTTTTTTCCTGTTTTTGAATTTAAGAAGCACCCATCCCCCATTTTTTTTGCGATTAGCTCAAACGTTTGAGCGAGCGCTCACTCTGTGTTTTACGGTAGTCCACCAGAACTATTGCCACCGGTCAACATACCTCTTCGGGTGAATGGATCATCTGTTCAATCTCTTCCCGAAACACGTGATCCGAGAAGTACTGGCTTTGCAGAAGCTCCCACGGGATGGCACCACTCATCACCCCCTGCAAAAGGACACCCCGACTTAGTATTTCCTCGTTCCAACTGCCCGCAGATACAGAAGTTGGAGCGAAAACCGAGCAGACCGCTACCGTTCGGTTCATCAACAAAAGGTGCACTCTTTCACTTGCCTGCGTGAAAACGCAAGATGCCGTCGTCCAACTGAGGCACGGGATGATGCCTAGAGGCTTGTGCCAGTTCGCACCGGCCAGCGACGCCATCTGTTGTTGGATACAAACCCTCTTGTGAAGTCGAAGAATGTGTATAGGGTAATGCAAACATTCTAGGATTATTTGCATTAAAAAAAATGGATCACAGCCATTGACAGGACGAAAATAGCGGGGCATCTCCTTCGAATGCGTGACCTCAGGCACACGTTCGTTGCCTTCTGCCGTGCTTCGGCAGCGCATGCACACTCAAGGCTCGCGACAAAATGAGGACGTCAAGACCTCCCTGCCGTTCTTCTCCTGTTAGCGACCACAGTAAATACCGCATCTACTCTCATAATGAATGTACAGTCCAACCTCGTTATAACGAAGTAGCATCGGGCCCGCAAATTCGTTCGTTATATTCAATATTTGTTATAAAAGTACTCAGAAAAATCGTCTGCCACAGGGTGTGGCAGATGATCTCGTGCCGGTTCTTAAAGCGCTGAAGCCAACCGCTACTTGCCCTGAAGTCATGATGCCCCAAGAGGCACGCTAAACTGACGGCTTTCGTTTGCAGAAGAGCACCAGACACCCGCAAGTTTCGCGCTCTCACGTCCTTGAACCAGGAGAACAAAGCCTCTTCCACACCGGGGTAATGAGAAGGCCTGTCACGCTTTCTGTCGCCTTTCAGAGTGCTGTTAAAGTAGGTCTCTTCAATCTTCTTCCTCGAACTTAAGAGAGTAGACAATGTGCTGGGTGGGATCTTGAAGTCCTCCGCAACATCTTTCTTCTTGCGGCCGCTGTCAACTGCTCTTAAAATTTTAACTTTCGTCTCGAGAGACAGAGCTTTGCGCTTCAACGTCGCCATTTTCTGCTCCCAGATTGACTGACTGCCGTCGCTGTCGCTTTGGCACTCTAAATTTTAGTGTTTGATGACGCTTATAGGTGGCGCCGCTGGTGCACCATCTTTTAGGGTTTATGCACCCGCTTCATAGGGCGCCAGTCACCTCCCAAAGTGCTCGTTCGAGCGTTGGCAACGTTCGGTATCTTGAAAATCGGCACTGAATTTAGGTACATTGCCTTTTTACATGGTAATTTATAGATTTTATTTCTTTTTGTTTTGGTATTGCACATATTTCGAGCCGTGCGCGGCCGAAAATAATTTCGCTATAACCGATACCGCGTAGGATTCCGTGGTTTCGGTTTCGTTTTAAAGGTCGAACTTCCATTGAAATAAAGCATAACCAACCAAAATTTATATTTACTTCGCTATATGCGATAATTCGGTATATCAGTGTTTGTAATAACGAGGTTGGACTGTACTCGCATAACGAACGCACCCCCCACAACGGGTACCAATATTTGGACTTTTCCCTCCCCTTGCGTAATGAACGCACCTCCAATCTTCGGCTCCGCGAGTCTCGAATTGCGCCCAACTTAGCTAGCCACCAAACCCACCAAGCCAATTTTCTTTTGCCGCCCAGCGGTCAGGCCAAGTCAAGCCAAGCCAAGCCGCCCTCGTAATGGCTGCAAGTGAGTTGTTGTGGAAGTGATCAACCGTGAAACCGGGCAGCACGCACACTTGACGAAGCTTGGGTCGAGGAATTGCCCAGCCCCAGACATTTTTCACCTATCAGATGCATTGATGTCAACAAACACACCGTCGTCTGAGGTCTGCTTTCAGACAGTGAAATTGTGAAAGATGTTAGGCCTAAGAACGGTTGCTTTGCTTTCCTTGCTGAGTGAGCTTCGTAGGGCGCTTTTCCTTCAGCAAAAAACACGCCAAAGCACCCTAAAAAGGTTCGGAATTTATAAAGCATGGTTACTGTGGCGTGCCCCCAACCAGCCGTGAGTGCGCCTTCGTCGGGAAAGACTCGCCGCAGTAGCTTGCTGTGTCATATTGGCACCTAATATGATATTTGCACGAAGTGTGTAAATGCAAAAATTTTACCCCGCATCATGAATGCACCCCCCAAATCAGTCAACTTTTCGGGAAAAAGAGTGTGTTCATCATGCGAGTAAATACGGTAAGCAGGAACAGCAAGAAAAAGTGAAAGGAACTTTTCCTAAAGTCAAATCAAACGGTACATTAATAACAGCGAAGCCTTACAAGTTGACATTGTCATAAAATGAAGCTAAAAAAATTCCAAGCACACCTAAGCACTTCTTATGAGCTGTGAATGCGAAAGCATTAATGTCCAACTGAATGCCGCCGAGTGCCGCAGCGCCGGCAGGGAGTGCGGCGTTGCACCGCACAGACTGCCCTGGCTCACTGGTGACTGCTGCGCTGCTGGGGGAGGCAGCGGTGGGAGTGCGAAGCCCGGTGCGGCGCATGCTGAAATCGCGTGTCCTCTCATCATCGTCCTAGCTGCGGGCACCAGTTGACAACGTTGGGCCTCAAAGCTTAACGCTATGCCTAATGCTAGGCTTAACATTAGGCCTACACGTCCCCCCTCCCGTTGCACCGCCAGCAGTTCAGCTGGCTCCTTAGCAACAATGACGCCATTGCTACGGAGGCACATGCACTCCGGCGGTGACATCACACTGCCTCACTGCGCAGGCGCGGCGAACCCCGCCGGCTCCACGGCTTCCGTGACGATGCATCTGCGTTGCTGTGCTTTTGGCCAATGGGAATTTAACTGCCGTTGCGCTGTTACAGACAACGCCGCCTTTGCTCCATGGGACAGTGAATGCTTTCAAATTAAAACACAACTGTTGCCGCCCAGAAAAGAACCAGCAGGAACAACTCACGTGACCACCCATGGAGATGCCCGTGATGCCCAGGGGTCCAAAACCCTCCCGCTCGCACCAGTGCAACAAGGCGAGCGATTCCAGCACCAAGCATCCACCCATCACAAAGATGTCCGAGACGCAGTGGAGATTGGAGCGCCTGCGGGCCGTCCGAAACGTTTCATTAAACAAGAGCTGCTCCGGTCGAAAACAAAAGTGTGCCTCCGTTCCAACACGCCAGAAAAGTTTCCATAATTTCAACGAACAGTTCAAAAATCCAGTGCATACTTACACCTGTTCCTTGGGCTTTCTTAGACCATTTTTTACCTGTCAAGGAGCCTAACCGGTGACACAGACACAAAGCTGTTTTTCCAGAAAATGCTCCATGCAATACACGTGAGGGATTTCTCACTCAGGTTGTACACACCTGAATTCTTCCCAGCACTTCTTGGACAACATACCGTCCGATCAAACTGCCCCTACTACAAGCAGATGAAATTCTGTGACTGATACGCCTGCCTTAAGTTAGTCGAAATGAAAAGACATCCAGCACATTTGTCTACGACCGAGACCATTCAATCGAGCAAAAGTTTGGTCAACATTGTGCCATTTTCTTAGTTATACCAGAGTCCTTCAATATGCTACTGGTCACAAAACTTCGGCCAAAATTTGGTACAGGGTCAAAAAACAAAAAAAGCACTAGGAGTGTCACTGTCCAACACTGCCTAGAGGACAAGGCTATAGTGCTGCCACTTTTGCATCACCAGCGAAGGCCAACGCTGGACTCATTGGAAACAAATGCTGCGTCAGTGCTCAGCTTCAAGTCAAGTACAGCTGAACGTTGACGCAATCGTCGTGTCCAATCTGTGCCCAGCGTTGGCCTTCGCTGATGACGCATCTCTATCGTTACTACAGCTTTGTTAGGTGTTACACTGTCTCGAAGAGGGCATTTTCATTTGGCCACTCCAAATTTGCAATTACAGCTAGTTTTTAGAAAACAATTTCTCGCACAACATTTTTTTTTTACGTCTGGAATTGAACACTGTATGCAAGCACCGGTCATTTTTTATTGATCTCTAATAACAGAACTTAGAAAAACGCTTATTTTGTTTGTTTCAAACAAAACTGTCTTTTTGCAAGGGAAAAAGAGCCAGACAATTGAGCATACAGGTTCACAGTGCCTCTACTTGATGGCGCCACTCGTGGCGCTGGAGTTTGATGGCGGTAGCGGTACCGTGGATTCATTATGAGACAAGAGGAGGAATGAAGAATGATTATTTTGGAGCATGTTGCAAAAAGGATGTCTGATCAGTTCACTGACTGTAGAACACTGAAGACACTTGCTTCAACAAGACGTCAGTGCGACGACGCATCACCAGATTCTATTGGTTGCTTGTTCAGAGTGGGTATGAAATTCCGATACCACTTTCTGGTTGCCAGACTTCCTCCAGCAGTGCTGGCTAGATTGGCAGCTCCTAGCCACCTCGTCGTCGCTAGCACCGCACTTGCTCGCGCACCAAACTCTTCCATAGCGTTAAGGAGAAGTTTCAAGAACAGTAGCATAATGAAAGCCTTTGTTTATACTCTGGTAAGATGCAGAAACAATTACTAAAATCTCACACATTCCACACAAGGGCATAAAAGGATATAAAATGGGTTCTCGAGGATTATCGATGCAATGCCGTGCTCCTTCAACAATGGCCTACATATTAGGGTCCGTCTTCTCCAGAAATGCTGCAAAACGTTAAAAAAGAGTCACACGGATCAAGCGTGATGCTCAATGCAATGCGGCACCTTTAGGACAACTAAGCGGAAGTTACTTTTAGAGCTGCAAAGCCCTCGACCCTCCTTTATTGTGCGCGACAACATGCACAATGCTTATACTCTGTAGCAGGTTATAGTAAATTTTTCAATGAGGTTAAGAGGGTGAGAGCAACTTCTATCAAACGAATAAATCGAAGCATTGAGCCCGAACCGTGACTTAGTTTTAAGCTCCTGCTTTATAGATAAAACCTTGCTCTTTTGGGTGCTCAACTTCAATGAAGGAAGACATCAAAGCTTCACGGCTCTGCGTATTTCCTGCGGTCTGGCAGTTTTCTACCCAATCCGCTAAGGCTACCTAATGATTCTGATAAACCATAGACAAGCAACTGTGGAGGTCTAGTCTGAGAAACCCAACTTCTGACACGTGCAACTCTTGGCATGCCTGTGCAACTTTAGATGAACCTTCCAGGCAGCACGCCAGAGAAACACATAACTTGGCACGAGTTTGGCAGTCCTAGGGGCCCTACTTGGAAATAAGGTTTTGCTCCGAGGTGTTAGTGGTAAAGCACTTTTCTCTGGTGTGCCACATAGTAATTGCCAAAGAGCCAGACATGAGCTAGACGCCACATATGAACCAAACAACCAGCAGCTAAGCAGAATTTTGGTGCTTCAATTTAGGCTCAAAATTGCTAGATGAAAACCAAATAATTAGAAGTGAAGCCTAATCCTGGTATTTCCTCGAGAACAAAGGCCAAAGGAAGCCGGGTGATAATCGAACAGCTGGGCAGTGAAGTCTTAATTCTGGCATTTGTTTGCCAATTTAGGGCCAAAATACACAAACTCTGCCCAAAAAACATCGAGCTTGGTTACACCTTGGCCTTCTGTGCTTTCAGGCCCCCTAAATTACCAAACACAAACAAAATTTTGGTCCCAAATAATTGTGCTACTAGGGCGGACGTAGAACTTCACAGGTGCAACTTTAGGAAAGTGCGACTGAACTCGTACGACTCACATGATCCCCGGTTCCCGCCAAGTGAATGCAGACGGGTCGTAAGGGCTCTGTGACCCACCGCCTGGGCAACAACACTTGAAACCTGGACCCGAGGGAACAAAGAAAAACGGGTTCAGCAACTCCACTCGTTTATCAAAACTGCCACCAAGTTGCGACGAGCCAAATACTCACAAACAAACAAGCGTGACGGGCTATTTCAACTTCTCATTGTCCTCCAAACTTGAGCGCACATTATTTGTGCGTTAAAGTTTGGAGCGATGGAAGCGGCATTTGACCTTCTGTAGCGGGTTTTGTAGCAGGCAGCCACTGACACTTTTGGGTCAGATGGCAACATATGTTAGCACGTCACTTGAAAATAGAAATGTGATTGCATCGCTAAATGAGTTCTATCTGGTAATGATTGAGGCTTCTTTGACACCGAAGCATATTAGTTATTATCTTTTGTGGGAAGAATAGATAGGACGCAAAGAGAACACACGGACTGGACAGGTTGCCGTCCGTTTTAATCATTGCGCCTTACCGACATGTCCAAGCTTCCATTTTGAAGAGACACCAAGCCTTCTTTTTTAAAAAAAAAACTCAGGTCAGAGCAGGTTCGGTTACAATGGGTATTAAAATTTGCTTAAAAATAAAGCATAGCGCAACGCGTCTGTTGAGATAAAGCCCCTCTTTCTCCCTCCCTCTTTTAAACTTTACAGTTAATTTAGCCCGTAGATATAATTCACGCAAAATTCCGGCACGAATTGGAACATCCACTAAAACATACATCAATAAAGATACGCCCCCCCCCCCCCCCCCCCCTTAACTTTATGAGCACCGAAATCGAGATTCTAATATCATAAACTTCAAGAACAACCACCCACAGATATTATAAAAACCTGCAGTCGTTTTGTCACCAGGCTTGATCTCCATAATCACTGCAATATTTCATTTTTGTTTATTTTCTTTTTTTTCTTCCGAAGGTTGGTCGTTACAAGTTGTGCTCACCATGCCTTGTGAGACTCCTTTGGCACGACTTCGGGGAGGTACTGCACTAAAGGACTTATCAGGTGACCTTCGAGGATACGGTAGCTGGTGTGCTCTTCCACCTGCGCCGTCAAAAAAGCAACAAGAACATTCGTACGAGAAAAAGGAAATAATGAGCTCCACGCTCGGCACCAAGCTGCCTCAAATTTCAACCGATACGGCGACCGACGAAACTACAAAGGCGCTCCCACGTAGGGTAACTCGGTGCTTATGGGTTAGTTTCATATTGCGAGACTGGACTTCAAATAGAATTTTAACATGTAAGGGACAGATTTGACTACAGATGTTGCAAATTTTGTTCAACCCAAGGTTACTCGGAGGTTCAACTGATTTGGAGAACCTTCAAAGTTGTAGCAAAGTTTGATGAAGTTTGATTTATGAACCGCATTGCCCGACTTTTACACAAGAAGTTCAAGTTTTAGGAAACAAAAAGAGCATGCCGTAAGCTCTCGTAAGGGCGTTCTCCCCCGAGAAGTTGCCCAACCAGTTTTTCTGGCCAAATATCTACAACACAAAAATTCCGAAATATCGCCAACTGCCTATTTTCGTCGGACGTCACGCAGCGTTTGACGGGAATCACATTAACCGCAGGATCTGCGGTGCTGGTATGTGTCACAAGAGTTTGTGCGGGTTCACGCGTTTTAGTCCGATATATTCGTTCGTGTGACACGCGGGTTGATCCAGCGTGTTTATTGCATCGTAAAATGCAATGGTCATTGAAGCACCCATACAATATTAAAACTATAAAATAAATATGACACCCATTTTTTGTGGCTTCTAAAAGGTTGCGAATATGCCGTTTGGAAGAAAAAAAAGTTGCACAGCAACATGACTTCGCCAACTCTCTCCCCCTCTGTACCTCCCCACTCCAGTTTCAATTTCGGCTTCGAGCAGTTGCATTATTTTTTTACTTTATTAAAAATATATGTGATGCTATACACTCCGTGCGACGCGACTGGCGCGCCGCCGCGCGGCCGGTACCGAAGGTAGGCAGTGAGAACCCCAGAGAAAACGAAACCGAAACCACGCTGCGTATGTTGGTACGCATTGAAGTCGGAGTGGTGCGGTTGCGCTGGGTTCACAGCATGAAGTGCTGCCTGTGCTGCGTCATTAAGTGCTTCAATAGTTATGCGTCGTATCTCGTGGAGACAAAGTTTCACAGTTTTTCACCTCGCCGATGTTTTTTGGGACAGCGACAACGATGGAGCCGTGCCGTACGACGCGAGAAATTTAATCTCCTGATCATGTCTGCCACTGTGTCGGCGCGGCTGACATATTCTACACTGCCGCTTGGCGCTCTGCGTTTGTTTTCGTACCAGTAACGCCTACATGTGTAAGCGCCGATGGGACGAACTGAAATGCCATCCCACACTTGCGGGTATGAAGTGCCAATTTCATTGGAGAAATGCCCTCCAAAGAAGTTTCGTCCCCATCGTACGTGTCGATGATATTTCCGGAGAAGTATGGCACGCAATCTGTACTTCATGAAGAAAGATTCGAACGGTAAAAAAAGTGACAAATATAAATCTAAAGAAAACAACAATGAAACTCGGAATCACTGGAGAATCAACGTTTGAGTATGGAAGTTTATGTGGTGCGCTTTCTTTCTGGATCAGCCTCCTTTTGGATGTGGAGACGCTGACGCCCCGAGTTCTGTAGACAACATTTTTTTTTCTTGGCTTTAGGGCCACCTATCGCAAAGTGGTTCGAACTGGAAGTACCGTCCACTGGTCCCTTCCTACCTGTAAAGTGTGCACCTCCCACGATCAGTGGTATTATCTTGACAGCCTTTGACGGTCAAAACTGGTTCCCATTTAGTTACGCCACCCAAACTAAATTTCAACCTGGTTTCGCTATGCCAACTCTTTTTGTTATAATAAGTGTTGTGCCAAGTGACGGTCATGCCAAAGTACCTGTACGCCGAAAATCAGCACCTCGCACAACAGGTTATTACACAACAGCTGACCGCAAAAGCCCTTGGCGGCCAAACCGTGTGTTGGCCGACAGCTTTGTTTTCTCGGCTTTGGAACCACCTTTCGTAAAGTTGTTTCACTTGGAAGTACAGTCCACTAGTCCCTTCCTACCTGTAAAGTCTCCACCTCCCACAACCAGTGGTATTCTGTTGACAGCCTTTTCATGGTCAAAGCCGGTTCCCATTGAGTTACGCCGCCCAAACCAAATTTTCACCTGGTTTCCCTTTGCCCCTTTTTTTTATGATAAGTGCTGTGTCATGTTACTGTCAAGTCCAAGCACCTGTGTGCTCAAATCTGCACTTTTCACAGCCCACTATAACGCAACATTTTGGGTCCAATATTGGATATCTCGTACAGCTTTATTTCTTTATTCGTTAGAAACATAACTTTCACACCTGCTGTCTTAAGAAACTTGGCACTCTTCGTGCACAAACTTAGTGAACATCTCACTCGCTTCTGAATATCATCGTTCCAGCAGTCCTAAGTTTACAGCGACGAGCGAAATAAATTTCCCACTCAGAGCAATTATGGTGGCGGCCGTCTTGTTTTACGGAAAATTGCTCCAACTCCTTTTTCGGCCGCAGCTAGAGAAATTACCCCTAATAACGACTCAAATTTAATATATAAGAAGTGGAGAACAGCTAAATGCCCTTCTGCCCCAGCACTCATGCAACGTCACCCTCAACTTATCGGCTTAAAAAGCAAAAGTTTCGTCCGTGCGCGCTTTCGCCGCCACAGCTTGGCATGCGAAAAGGCACCGCAGGCTGCTGAACGCGCCTCACAGTCGAACGCCAGCTCCTCCGCTAGTGGCGCTGCGCGCGTTTTTCAAAGCGCCCCCTATAGTTCCCGCACGGAGTGTATAGCAAAATATTGATTGCATAGCCCTCCGACACCATAATAAATTGCCTGGCCAAAAATAAATTTTGGGGGGAGTCAGTGTCTCTTTAAAAAATGCAGGGAGTTCCATTATCCCTTTAGAGCTAATCAGATTACAGCCTGGCCGACAAGAATTCCCAAGAATGATTCACGAAACAAGCCACTCCCTACATTTCTTAGTCTGTCAACGACTACAATTGAAAACTGTTTACAGAGGAATACGGACCTTGTCAATCACAATGGGGTAGTCGGAGGGAACCAGCTGACTGCAAGTGTCCCTAGCCTTCATCAGCTTCTTGAAATCAAAAATCCTGTTCAGACAAGAGCCAGTCAAAAGGTTTTTGTTATCAGCGTTATTATGATTATCACTACTGAAAATGTTTCTCACAATGGTCGGCAAGTGGTTCTTACCGTTTGATGTTGTCCGGCTTTCCCCAGCCCTTGATGAAGTATTTCGACAGGAGAGCCGACCTATAGACAGCATCGAAACGACTCGCGCTGGTCATCTCAGTTTTGCTGCGAAAACAGATTGCATGCAATGGTGAATTCAAACTAAAATCCATTAAAATATTAACTATGAGGCATGTTTAAACTGCGAGATGAAAACCTGCCCTCCCATATATTGCTGCAATGGTTTACAAGATAGTAAACACCGTAATGATAAACCAGAGACTGGAAACAAGAGACAGACAACTGCACATACTGGTTCAAAACACAGCTGCGTTTTGAGATTGTGTGTGTGGTTGTTCATACGTTTGTTCAACATCACGGGTTTATCATTACGGAATTAGTTCACCAGCTTGCCTGCATTTTTTTTTTTTTTCGCTTTAATAGTAAGACATTTTGATAAATCCGTCAACATAATACAAGACAGACAAAAACAAGATGGAGGGTCAGGAACAGTAGAAGAACATATCTAAAAATAGCCCATCCAAATGTTAAAACTTAAAAGCTCAATTCATATATGGCTTAAAGGGGCCCTGCAATCATATTTAAGCGTCTACCTTTTTTGCGGTTTCCACGTCTCTTGAAGTTCGGGCAAGCCAGCGGGCACGGAGAGAGTAACTAAATATCAGTGCGTCATATTTTAACCGGACGACGCGGAAACCTCCTCCACCGACGAGGGCGACCCGCTGTACTGAAAGCGCGCAAAATGTGACGTCTTTGGTCCTGGGCTTACTACTGGTCAGAGCCGCTAAAAGCTTCTTTTTAGTCGAAATGCAAAATATAAGTGTCGCGAACCGTTTCAATTACTTATAAAAGTAGTTTTTGTTCACTATTTTAGATGAGAAAAGAAACAAATGCAGTTTATAAAGTACGGAAACAAGAAATGACCCGTCGACATACCCGCCACCAAGCGGTGGAAAAGGCGGCGCATACTAGAAAGAAGTAGTGGGATCAGGCGCCGACACGGATAGGTCCCGGATGTACGCGGCAGCGCTGCGGTCGTATGGGCAGGAGGATCCGACCGGCTCTGAGCCTTTCGAAGGCCGTCGGCGAGATGCTTTGTCTTGCGGTTTGGCAACGCGAAGTGGCTCCCACTCTGAACTGATCTTTACCCTGTGTTTGCTGTCGTTTGTGGCCAATGAAGTGTCATGCCGAATTAGTGTTTAATCACGTAGCAAAGGCAATGAGAGCCGCTCTGGCTGCCCGCTGCATACAGCCTGTCCAGAACACGCTTTAGTGGCGCCCTCTCGCGCCGTCGACACGGAATGCGGCAGCTGTGAGCGCTCGCGATAAGCTCCCTACCCCCCTCTAGTTCACCGCCGCTCAAGCAACCAAGGACGTCATGAGGGAGGTTATTTTTTGCTTGTTTTCGTAATTTTGATTTGCCTATAACTTTTAAAATAAAGCGAACTTCAAGAAAATAAAAGTTACACTAAGTTACTACGTTCAGTGCGCTCAGGTTTGGTGCAAATTAAAAATTAGTAAAAAAGTGCTTGCAGGGCCCCTTTAATAATTCCGGGACCCGTCAACATAATACAAGTAAGACAAAAACAACATGGAGGGTCAGGAACAGTAGAAGAACGTATCTAAAAATAGCCCATCCAAATGTTAGAACTTAAAATTCATATATGGCTTAATAATTCCGGGACCCAACGTGAATGTAAAGCGTGCTCTATTGTTTACAAGACTTTTTTTTTTTTCTTAGCCGCGTGGAAATAAACACTATCAGCAAATGTCTGGATCCGCAAAACCAGAATCTACAATTGGTGCAGAAAGATAAAAAAATATCTTTCTTGAGTAGACCCTGGGTGAAAAAGATCCAAGTTTTCGTTTCCGATAGCGAAAAATCTGCTGCCGACTGCTTGGAGGCAACAAAGGAACATGCTATCGTGACAACTCCAAAAAGATCAACTATATATGTATTTATTATTATTTTTTTTTAACGTTATTTCAGGATTGTCACTACACGTCCAAATGGGAACGAATAGCTGGTTTGACCTTCGATCCATCGGTTTGTTATCGATAATAAGTACCTTCGATTTATCGGCTGATATCGATAATAAGTGACCCTAAATATTTAGAATATGAGCCCTATGAGATGTTGGAAGTTAGATAAGGCAACGAAATGTTTCACCGATTCGAAGCATCGTGGAAATTCCAGAAAAAACAAGCTCACGCCACAACTCACCGAGATACAGAAACGTGGAAGACTTTGGGAGCGTTTCGATTACGACTAGAAAGTTATATTACTGGCAAGACCTGTTACATTTGTCCAGATGTCCCGATGACGCCACGCCTTCACTTGCTGCGTTTGAGAGCGAAAAACTGAATAAATGAGGTAAACACCCGTAAACAACATTCGACATTCGATATGCAACAAAGAGAAAGGGTGTTTTTCTTTCTAACAAGCCACTCATTCTGAGTTCATACTTTTGTCAATTTCGGATAGTGCGCACCAAATATTTTTTATTTTCTACGCGCAAGATAAAAAAATAATGATATAAGTACAGCTATTTTTTTTATTTTTTAATTAAAATTTATAAATCTAACTCGTGAAGTTTTGGAATAAAATAAAAACGGATTTCGGAACCGCCTGGTCGCCTGCCGCCTGGTTGCTCGTCCGCTTACTTGTTTATTGTAGCGGGCCAGCAGGAACACATACACACACACACACACCACACTGTCACCGCGGTAGGTTGGTCGTTGGTGTCGAAGCTTTTGTATCAGATGCCCGCAAAACCAAGTGTCTTAATGAATTAAAAAGCGAGCAGAGTCCACGAAAACAGAACAATCTATGAATCCGAACAAGCTGCGGGACAGGGAGACTGGCCATGGCTCTGGGGCTCAGGAGACTTCGAAGTAAGTACTACCTTTAACGTTTAGGCCTAGGACACCGCGCAGATCATTTGCTCTTGAAAAACCTTTGCACCTGACATTGCAAAACGTCCGGTAGTTTTTGTTGTATGTTCGGTTGCACCGAGGCACTAAAGCAACGCTTCGGGATAGCAGCGCGGAAATGTTAAAAAAAGAAAAAAAAAAAAAAAAAAAAAAGGTGGTTGTGCTAAAGTTATCAGTGGAGGTCTTCGGTACTGAACATCCCCTCGGTATTTCGGCAGTGTCGTGAATCCCGGTAAACATTCGAGGTTTTCGCAGTTCATTTATTTTCTCGGCTTCGCCGAAGCGTGTGTAACTTCTAATTCCTAACCATTTTGGTGCCAGTACAAGCGCTTACGTACGCCCACATTTTTCTTTTTAACTACGCGAATTCCGAAATTTAAGTTTTCAAGACGCGTTCCAGTTCTCGTTTTCTTGTTCTATTTTTTTTTGTCACTTTTACTGCGAAGCAGTGTTTCGGTCGCCTAGTACAACATCTGCTCGTGGAGTCCTGTTGCTATTTCATTACAAGTCTGGCGTCCTTGTTGTAACATTTTTTTTTTTTTTTAACGCTGATAATCTTGGGGCAGCTTGAGTGAGTTAAATGTAACACGACCTTCTTCCAATTGAGAACGCTTAGGAAAATACGACCAGGGTTCGGCTCAAAAACCAGACTAGTTGCATTAAACGTCCTTCTGTTCAATTTGTCTTTGATTGAAAATGCTCAACTTAGTCTTCCCTTGATGAGGGCCAACAATCGCCTTAGCATTCTGCAACCATAAAAGTATATTATGTGTGTGCCGACCTCCTTCACAAATGTTTCCCACCAATTGACTTGACATCTTTCTGGGCGGGGGTTCCGCTAACCTAGTGGCGCAGTGATAACCACAAGTGACCCGGTCGCATCAAGATAGCTGCACACGAACATACGTGGCCCTGCTCATTGAGTTCCCCTCTTCATGCTTGCTAATGTGCCAATGTCTGGTTTTCTTGGTAGACTGTTTCCGTTACAGGCTGACAGTCTGGCTATTCAAAAAGAGTAAAGCTAAATGCACTACGTTGTGCACCTTGACCGGAAATGGCTATACGCACGACGCGGAGAGCTCGCGCCATTTGGGTTACCCTTTTCGGATGGCGTGTGTATCACTGGGGAGCGTGTTAAGGCAACCCCCTGCCTGCGTTCACGCCGCTTCGCGGCGACAGTGTGCGGCTGCTAATTACAAAACTAAAACTACTTGGCTCCCCTTACACGCTGCTTTGCACCGACCAGCCGGCAACCCAAACCCCGCTGGCACCTGGAAAGGGAGTCCCATACTATTTAGTTCAGCAAAGTTTTGTCAACAGCAATTTTTTTTTTTTTTTTTTTTTCAGTGTTAATTGTAAAGAGAAACGTTGTAAATATCGCCAAATGCTCAACAAATAAATGTTGTAGAAAAAAAAAAAAAAGAAAGAAAGAAGAAAGTAAGCCCACACTGTGGATTCAACCGGGGTCCGCTGCTTATGAAGCAGACGCCTTACCACTAAGCTACGCTACCGCTTCGGAAACTCGTAACCATTTGTTTTATACGAGCTTCGCGTAGTGCATAGCCATTTCCGGTCGAGGTGTACGACGTAGTGTGTACAGCTTTACTCATTCAAAAATTGAATTTTAGCAATATACTTTTCATTTTTTATTCGAGCAACAAAAGGTTTTTAAAAGCTTTGTCCCAGCACATACTTCTTGAACTTCTGTCACACTTTAACTGCACATGTTGGCAAGATGCCTAAGCATCATCGAAGGCAGAAAGTTTGCACTAAAATGGATCTTCTACCGCAGATTTTAATATTGCGAGAAACTATATAGTGAAGTCCAGTTACTATGGGAATTTCCGATCGTCTCGAAAATCGGTTGAAACGTGAGTCGTTCGTAAGAACCAGACAAAACTGCAAGTGTTTACCCAGTGCGTCCCCCAAAATTTTGCATATTGAGGACGAGATCTTTTGGTAGTGCAACCTGGCGGGCGCGCTCGTACGACGTAATGAATAGGATTCTAGCAGACGACGCAACAAGTAGTCGCACGGAGGGGGTTGCGTTTGCTCGCTTCTATGCCGATCGATATCGGTCTATTTATGTTTATAAAGGCGTATGAAGTTTCTGCAAGTTCTTACTGTAATACAGCTGAGTCACTTTGTTTGATTCAACCTTTAAAATGTTCAAAAACAAGCCTGGAGCTTGACATGACAGGTTAAGCCATGTGCATCAGGGCTGTTCTCGGCCTCTCCGATTCTTGTTTCGTTAGATCTTCGGAGGGTCGTGTAGAAAATTTTGTTTTTCCTTGCCAATGTGTAGGACGTGCTGTTGTATCGGCATGTGCGCATGCACACACAATGTTCTGTTGCATTGTGCTGCACACTTGTTTTGGCTAATGAAGCTTGCCAATACCGACGCTTATGTCCAAGTGTGATATGACATTTGCTGGCTAGCACTTGTATGGCAGCCTGCGGACCAAGTTTAAGTTTTTGTTGTTCTTTTGAGGTGGTCTGGTGTTTCCTTTCTCTTACATTGAATCTGCGGTAAAGCTATTTGCCAGATTGTGACTGCTCAAAGAAAAACTGAAATTCTCCAAACTTTATCAATTTCCAGGTTGGGCCTTACAAATTAAGGCAATTGGTTCATTTGTTTTCTCCAAATTTTCCTAGAAATTGATTATAAATTTAAACGCCCTTCACGAGGAGCGCACAAGAAGTTCTGTAGAATTATTTGGGTCTGCAAAAACAAACAAACTTTCGTAATCCACAGCAGGTGTCAAACTCGTGTTTGGGACGCTGAGGTGTAACCGACTTATTAGATATTACGGGCGTCGATTGCAGAAGTAGTTCAGCACGTCTCTCCTCGACCGGGTGATTAAACAGGAACTTGGTTGAAACAACCTCTGGAGCCAGCCACCGCCTCTTCCAGCCAGTTGTTTCGGAAAAGCATTTGTTCACTGGTTAACAAAATGCAAAAGGGAATCAACTTGAAATAATAAGAGACCAGCACTCACAGAAGGCAGTGGAACCAACAGGGCACACAAAGTTGCTTTCATTGAAGCGTTTACCAAACATGCGAGAGGTTCTCAAGTTTTCAGCCTGATTCACCATTCCTTTCTCATTTTTTTCTTCGTCGAGGTAATGAGAATTGTACCCTGTTTACCGTGGTATGTGTTTTAATGCGGTAAAATGCTGGATATGTTTTTCTTTGTTATCCAGTGCTTCCATACTGTCATAGCGAAAAGTATATGGAGCATTCACTGGCGGCCATAGCTGTGTGCGGGACTCCTGAGCGTGTGCTGGTGGCGAGCTTCCACAGTTCTTTTGCAGCATGCATTCCACACTTTCAGGAGTGCAGGTCTTAGCAACCTATTAATGTGAGCTCGTTCTGAGCATGCACTCTAAACAGCACCCACAAATATGGCATCCAGTGAATACTCTCTATACCACCATCCGTGAACTTTGACATTTAAACAGTAGCGGCAAAAATGCTTGCTTGGCTTGACTACTACTTGTGCCACGCCTTCGAGCAATAATAAAATGCCATACCACAAGTATCCTTTAATAAAAAAACACGGGAAATAGGTATCGTCAAATTACCCGAACACATGAAGTGAGCTGCGCCGTCTTCTGCTTTCCTACTTGCTACGTCAAACGATGATGGTGATAGCTAGAAAAGCAGCCCCTGTAGTTTGGGCACGCCGCCAATATAGTGTAGTATTCTTACATAAACTGGGTCCATATTAACGGGACATGACTGTACCTTTTTGATCTTTTTCAGCCATGCTTTAGTCTTCAAAGTAGCTGTGCATTTTTTCAATTGTTTATTCATGTGGGTGGGTAGGTGGGGGGAGGGCGCAATGCTAGTAGGTTTTGTCTGAGGAGATGTGGATGTGCACATAATTATTAGACCCGGAGCTTGAATCCTGGCTCTTCCGAATTTTTGTCTTTCAGTGGCTTTGTAACATTTATTCCATGTGATTTGTAGGTTTAGACTTCATCTCAAACATCTGTGCTGCAGACAAAGGCATGAGCATGTGGCTTTGGAAAGAGCCTCCTGTGCACAAGTTTTTGTACAAACAAAAGCATTCCGCTGGGCTAGAATCGCGCACCTGTGCCTTTGTCTCTACTGCAGACATTTGTGAGATGAAGCATAGTTCATCTGCCTCTTTCAACTATAATTATTTGGGAAAACATTGTACAAAACCGTGCCAGGACGGGGTAGGGATTGGCGTGCATTGCTTGGCGACACCCGTCGTAAATGTCTGTCGTCTGTCGCAGGAAGCTAGCTGTGAAGGAGCTGATAGAGCGCTACTACTACCAGCTGACGGACGGGTGCGGCCGCCAGAACTGCCCCAATCAGCACTGCGCGTCCAATGGCCGCCTGGGACCCCTGTCGCCCAATGATGCGGCGGCGCGCGCGCTGCAGCTCGTAGTTGCTAAGGCGGAGCTCTGCGTGGGAACAGCAAAGTTGTCGGCAGACCTGCACAACCGCCAGGCTCCCTGTGAGTGCATTCTCCACGTGGCTTTCTGGTGCCAGTACGTTGCCTGGGGTCCGATTTCGGTCAAGACGAGAGCGAGAGTGTTCTTGGTCTCTGATTGGACGTGATACCACAGCGTGCACGCAACCGACCAATGAAACATTTTCTCTCCGTTTGCGGGTTCAAAATTGTGCAAAATTTTGGCAAGGCTCACCAACTCCCAAGTACTAGTAAGAAAGATCTCGTGACCTCTCATGTGCTTTCAACTTTCAACTTTATTGTTTCCCTCCAGTGGAGAGGGGGAGGAAGAAAATAGGAGCAGACTGTTGTTGCTTGACTAAGTTCCTTCTCCCTAGCCGCAACAGGGTAAAAACTCTTATACGGAGTACTAAAATTTGAAAAAATGCTCGCACAGAAATTGAAAGCGTACTGACTAACATGACAAGGAGACCCCGACACAGAGCACTCGTCGTGGTAGCAGTTTGGCGAACATGACATAAAAAAACCGACACAGTTCACAGAAAATATCACTTTTCCTTGGTGCTCCTTCATCTACCGGTCACTGTCAGCTTGTATGTGGCAGCAGAAAAACTTTAGGCTTGCAAAAGGTGTGTGAGTTTTCAATGGCTTCCAACATGAAATAGCAGACAGTTACTATTTCTGCCCTCATCTGATCTCACTCTGCCACGGTGCTCATTTCGTAGCAGACGATCAACATTTTTTCGGTCCATTAGCAGATGACGTACAGTGTTTTCTGTTCTATTTGTCTGCGAATGGCGCTCAATTGCAGATGAACTGCATTCTTTGCTCATGTTAGCAGACAAATTGTCTACGAATGCTCTCTTTGCTCACTTCGCAAGAGGCAAATTAAATCTTGCTGTGACCAAAATCGGACCCCTGGAACTCGTCTTGGACTGGTGAATTTTGCCTCCTATACAGCCCATGCATCAAAAATATTCGCAAAGTGGCAGGAAATGATGTGGAGCCAGCATGTCATGTTGTCGGATGTTGCAGTCTCGGCAGAAGTTCCAACAAAAAAGACTCGCAAATGCAAGTGTCTCGATCGTCGTGGCGTCTAAGCTCGTTGCTGCCAAAGCTTTAGTGGTTTGTCGAGCTGAGAGTTAAACATAGAAGAATAGGCGTCTGCCGTATCTGTCGCCGTGCCACAGCCAGGATCACAGCAGGCAACACCATAACACCCCTGTGATATTGTGAGGCAGAAATCGAGGGGCCACGTTTGTGGACGCAGTACACCAGTTGGAGACGCGATTAGGCACCGTAGCAGCAGCACTGCTGGGCATGCGTAGAGCGTAAAAACTTCCATAATGACACCTGATGGAATGTGTTGGGCCAGCTGAATACAGATTGCACCACACTCAAAAAAATACACCATTCACACTGCAGGACTTGCAACTGTTTAATGCTCCACTTTTGCAAGTCCAGCAATGTAAATTTTTTTTTTTGTGTGGTGTAACCTTTGTTCATCTGGCCCATCGTAAGCAACAAACAAACTAGCTCAGCTTAAGCCCATGACCTGACAGCACCACAATTGAGCCGGGGTCAGAAACACTGTTTTCGACCTCACACGCGTTCTGCGTGCACTGTGGCACCAGTTTGTACGGAACAGCCGCCTTGATATTTTGACGGGATTGACCGAGTCTTCTATAGAAAAGCAAAGAAATGAAAGATGTGGTTGTGTTGTCCCTGTTTTAATTGTTTTATTCTTTCTTCATCCTTGAGAAAAGCATTGTGTGTGTCGCTGGAGAAAGCGTACGCTCCGAGGCCCGCCAAGCTAGAGAGTAATTTACACATTTGCATGTAAGTGCGATCGACTGCTTTGTAACTGCTCACGTTGAGAGAACACGCGCACACCGGTGCCAACTATTGGGCAACCCTGGTACCCTTTCGACCTGCATATATTTTCTGATTTTTAGTACAGGTAGTTTTTTTGGCTCAGAAATATGAAAAGAGGGGAGGGGGGGCTCATGTGTGGTTTAGTTTTCAGCCTAAATAGTGCAGGCTACTGCCTGTTAAAAAAAGGGTGCAGCAGTAAATATCCATTCGTCCATACATGCAGTCCGGTCCGGCACGTCGAGCACAGACGGCGCAACGAGTCGGGGCGGCAGCTTAGCCGTGCCGACGACAGCGGCGTCTTGCAACAGCACTCTTCCGGAGATGGATCTGGACGACGAGTGTACTTCACGTGCAAACGCCATACACATTAACTCAACAAAAGGTGAGGTACTGCGTTCATGCCAAAAAAAAGTGTCCTGGTCAGAACTATCCTGCTCCAAGCGTTGTAGCAACGTTGCTCGTTGGGAGTAGGAATGCCTTCGGTTCTTAGTGTCATGGTTACTCATATCGCGGCAAAACCAAAAACTGCATGTACACAACGCAAAGCTGTCCGTTTTTTTCTTTCGATTGCTATCGATCTACACACTCGGCCTCTCTACTGAAGGCCGAACAAACTTTCCGCCCATGAGCGCCAGGATAATTTTGACTTGGATGAAATTAGTTTTAGCTTGCTACGTGGTCATCACTTTAATAATATTCATAAGTGTGTTAGGTATGCAAACTACGACAATGCGACTAGAACAAAACACAACAAATTCACAATGCATCATCGCTTTAATGCAGACTCTTTTAGGAACTCTTTTTTTGTAAAATGTCGACAAAAAAAGGAGAGCGTAAACAAAAGCACAAACCAGAAAGCTGGTGGGATAAGGAGGTCGAGGCAGCCATAGCACGACGCCAAGAGGCATCTCGGGAGCACAGGGGGTCGTAGAAAAGGGAAGCCATTCCAGCAGAAGTTGCGTCCAGATGGGAGAACTTCTAGAAGAGAAAAAGGGAGGCATCATCTTTATTACAGGTCAAAATCGGGGGTGCAGGAGTACAGTAGTTGATGGAGATAAATAAGAAAGACAGGAATGCAGCGAGAATGTTCTGGAAGCAGATTAAAGCACAGGGGAGAAGATGGGTTATGGGGGAAGAGGCACGAGCATATATTAGGCGGTCAACCGAAGGGACTTTTTCACAGCTTGAGTAGAGGGAGTGTGGAGAGCTCGGAGCACTGACAGCAGCAGCGTGCAGAAAGAACAGAGTAGTGTAACATGGGAGGCAACCACAAGGGGAATGGGATAAGGCTGAAGGTGAGGTTCCACCAGGTACTGTGACAGGCCCAGATGACAGACCCACGAGACTCGTAAAGACCCTAGGTGGAACAAGCAAATCGAAGTTAGAGCATGTTATTGACCAAATAATTATTGGAGAAGGCATACCCAACGATCGAAAACTAGGCACAATGAGACATATATAAAGGCAAAGGAAACAAAGAAAACATCAAGTTATACTGCCCAATAGCAGTAACGTCAGTTGTATACAGATTGGCTATGCAGATAGCAAAGCAAAGGTTGGAGGAATGGGCGGAGGGAATGCCAATTCTGGGAGAGCTTCAAACAGGGTTCCAAAGAGACAGAAGGCGAGAAGATAACCTGTTCGTCATCACTCAATGTATAGAGATAGCAATGAAGAGCCAAAGCCCCTTTATGGTTATTCTTTCTGGACATCAGGGGAGCCTACAACAATATAAACCAGAAAGTCTCTGGGACCAGCTGAAGTGGTAGATGCAGATTTGGTTAGGTTTCTGCAACAGCTGTACACAGACAACGAGGTAGTTATAATGCGGGAAGCAGAAACTACATAACCAGCAGCAATATAAAGAGGGTTGAGACAGGGCTGCCCACTGTCACCCATGCTCCTCATGATATACCTAAGTGAAATGGAAAAGAAATTAAAGTGGAGCAATTTAGGTTTTGACGTACGTTACCTATATGGAAGGAGGGAGAAATGTATTACAAGTAATTCCGGGGCTAATGTACTCGGAAGATAAATTACTCAGGGCAAATGACCGTGATGCATTATAGGAACTAACTGGAATATCTGGAAAGGTAGGGGACAGCTTGGGCTTGAGTTTTAGTAGTGACAAGTCTGGAGTAATGACGTTCAACGACGAAAAGAGGGAACCCTTGAAAATACAAGAGAGCGAAATAGACCATGTAGAAAAATATGAATATCTGGGAGTCTGGCTCAGTGAGGAGAGAAAGTTTCTAGATGAACATGAGGAGAATAGAACTAGAAGTGGGAAAAGAAATTTGGGTATTATGAAACTCGAGGCATTATGGAACTATAATACATATGATGTGGTTAGGAGTAATGGTGCCAGGACTGTCTTTTGGCAATGGGGTACTATGCACGAGATCAGAGGTTCAATCAGGATTGCAAATTCGACAGAGAAGCGTAGGCAGGTTGGCACTGGGAGCACATGGAAAGACGCCAAATGAAAGCCTACAGGGGACATGGGCTGGTCGTCCTCTGGGAGCAGAGTGGCAGTTAGGAAATTTAAATTTGAAGATTTAAATATGAAGAAAGGTTAACTGAAATGGATGATACCCAGTGGGCACGAAAAGTGTTCAAGTATCTACTATACTCTAAACCAAACCTGTAAGCTGACAAATACCTGCACACTAGTGAGGGGGCTGAGCAGACTAGTTCTGTGAAAAAGGAAGCGAAAGAGAAAGAAAGGAATAAACGTTGAACAAAAATTTTCAATGTTATTTTGACGTTTGTGATGCCACTTCCTGATATTTTCAAAATCATTTTGATATCCCCCGTCAAAATATTTGTTTCTCCTTATTTTGACATCTCAAACTTAGAACTTTGGAGCTTGGGAGTTCGGACTGGAAAGTGATCGAAAGTGGTGTTCAAACAAATATCATCTTGCTTGCAGGCAGTGTCGCTGTTCAACATGCATTTTCTGGAAACAAATGGGGAGTCGACTGCAGTTTTTATGACCTTTTCAGTAGTGTGGAATGCAAAAAAACTGCTCAAAGTACATTATCAGCTATCAGGCCACACATAACATTCGCTTGGTTGTGCCCAACGTTGCAGAATGCGGCACCGTTGCTTTTCACGTTTTATTTAGCGTGTTTTATATATACAAAGGAGCTGAATGTCGTGTCATAAATTTTCAGTTGATTGGAAGATCTGCGTATCTCGTACAACCGCGCCGAAGGCTTCGTTCGTTTGCACCGGACAAGAAACATCAAGGAGGCAATGTTTGATTTCTCGCTGTAACGTAGAGTAGGCACTTACATTTGTTACGTATAGGCAGGAGAGACGGATATTCAGCTTGCCTTTGTTGTAGATTCAATATTTCAAGTTAGATGCGTGCTGAAATCGCATACGGGCGTGTCACGTCCAAAAGAGTAAACTGTCGAGCCAGCCCCTCACACATGCTGGATAAGACATTTCCACTGCCACGTATTTCTTTTTTTATGGGTCCGAAACTTGTTAGGCATGCAACACATGACTCCGTCAACATGTCAACACTACACTGACAACATTATCAGAAATTAAACAGAATAAAACCGCGAAACTTCTACCGTGGCTGCATTGTCGGGGGACGTTGAAATAATAAAGCCACTATTTTGATGTTCTACTGAAGTGACGTCGCGGACGTCGAAATGATTTTTAAGATGTTCTGATGTGATGTTGGACGTTGAAACAGTTTCTACCGTAGGAAAACGTAGGAGGAAAGAATGCAAGAAAAATCAGCTTTAACAATGCATAGGCCACAAAAGCATGACATGAGAAAGGAAAAGGTATTTTATAATTTACATGGAACTCTTTGGGCCGTTTGAGGTGAGAACGGAAGTTTTAAGAACATGGGGCTAAATTTCGAGAGATAGATACTTTATGTGCCGTGTGCCATAGTGAGACATTAGAACATTTGGTTTTGAAGTCTTTGCCCCACCCTTCCTGAAGGGATAATGGATCTGGCGGGGTTGCTGGGTTTTGCTGGTGAGGATGGAAGAATGGAGGAGAAAAGGATTTCAGTCGCAGAGAGGAGGTTCGAAAATTGATTGAAATTATCCAGGGAAAACTGAATCAAGTAAAACTAACTAGCATACCTGGGGACAGGTGGGACAGAAGAAAATTGGCAACTCCCTCGCCGGGGGCAGAACGTTTTGAGGTTTTTTTTTCTCTATCCTTTAAATGCCATCCTGGCGATATCCCACACTACCTGGCGATAGTTACAAAAGAGCAGAGAGGAGCCAATAAGAAGGGCGAGGAATAATATTTATGGCTTAATGGCTAGGTGGTGCAAGGTACCGCCTGTATAAAGGCTACAGCCATTAGCATCCATTTATAGTTACCAAACGAGGAAGGGTGGTTGTTTTATTTTTTTTTTGCCCGACCCCCAAAGATTGTTCATTATTTTTTGTACCACCTGTTAAAATTAAAAAGGGTGCAGAAAAAAATATCCATCCATCCGTCAGTCCGTCCATCCATCCATCCATCCAGGCCGATCCGGCACGTCGCGCGCAGACGGCGCAACGAGTAGAGGCACCAGCTTAACCGTGCCAACGACAGCGGCGACTTGCAACAGCGGTCTTCAGGAGATGGATCTGGACGACGAGTGCACTTCACGTGCAAGCCCCATACACGTTACCTCAACGAAAGGTAAGGTACTGCATTCGTACCAAAAAAAAGAAGCGCCCTAGTTAATACTGTTGTCATCCAAGCGTTGTAGCAACATTGCTCGTTTCGAATAGGAGTACCTTCGGTTTTCGGTGTCATGAATACTCTTATCGCGGCAAAACATTTATGAAATTGAATGCATACAATGCAAAGCTGTTTACCGAAGGCCGAAGAAACCTTCTGCCCGTGAGTGCCAGGATAATGTCGCCTTGGATGAAATTAGTTTTAGCTTCCTACGTGGTCATCACTTTAAGGGTATTTACGAATGTGTTAGTTTCATGCAAACTATAAGAAAGCAACTAAAACAAAACTCTTCAAAATCATTAGGTCTGTTCGATTCGGCCGGAAAGCTCTGAACTAGTTTTGCCCGAGTTCAGAGGAGTGCAGGAGTCGTGCAGCGGCGGCGCAGAACCAGTGCAGCCGCCGCGCTAGGACTGGCGCTGTGATCGGCTTTCCGAGCAGAAGCGCAGGGTGTCGTCTGCATCTGTTGGCTCTTGTTTCTCAACGCCAAGTTGTATGCTGCATTTAATTAGTCGCGGTTTGATGAGTCCATTCGTGTTTCCTTAGTTTTAAAGTATAATAACAGAATCTTTTCTGTGAATATTATTTATTCGAGTGTACTAAAACGTTTTCTGCACGAAATGTGTTTCTGTCTGCATTTTTAATGGCCGTTCGGTTCCTATCGTTTCCATAAGCGTTTGTGTCCTTCACATTCATTTAGCCATAGTAGATTCATTCCATGTCTCTAGAGTTTCGCATTGCGACGATAGGTTCATGGCATCAGGATGATTTTGCGTCGGGAGTCACTGGTGGTCACTGGCGGCGGTAGCGCGCGGTCGGTAGCGGTCACCTCAAAGACGAAGGCCTGACGATAGCGTTTTGGCCAAGACAGTTATCGACCTTAAAGGGGCACTGACACCCCAAAGGTCGTATTTATTTTTATTGTCTAAAACGATGCAAGTTGCAGTTATAGACACGCAAAAAAAAACGCATCGCGAAAAAAAATTTTCCCACGCGCGCGCGCGCCTTTTTATTTTTGGCGTTTGATTTTCCCGCCTCTCGCCTCCTCGCTTCTTTTGATCGGTGACGTCAAAAATCAGGAAATTTAGAAGCTTTGTAGGCGACATCTCTATAACATTTAATTACGGCAATCGTAAAACATGTTTTTTAACGCAATTGCGAACGCACTACGGCCCTTCTTTTTGAAATACCAAAAATCGGGAGTTCGTTGTGGTGCCGTCTCCTGGATTTGTATCCTCCAACGGAAAACAGGCGACACCGCTCAAAACCGGTCCGCCGGTTTTGAGCGGCAATCGCTCCTTTCCTCCTCGCTTTGGGTCGCCATGGCAACAACAGGGAGTGGTGAAAAAAAGTCGACTCTCAGGTCTCCGCGATTTTTGACGTCAAGGCACCGGCGCCGATCGCGCGGGAACTTCGAATTCGGCATTTGGAAATTGTTTTTTTACTTCACAAATACTGAACTCCCAAATTTCAAATTTTGAGGGTAATGTCCCGGCATCGTTTTCAATCGTTTCGGATAATAAAAAAAAATATGATTTTGATGTGTCAGTGCCCCTTTAACTTTGGCGTCAAGCTGAACCGTTTATTCTGGTTCTCAAAAAAGACCTGCGTGGAACTACCAAGCCAATGCCAATTCTCGGCGTTTTTCCCAGGCCCGTTAGTGGGCGTCCACACATACCAGCGGACAAAGCATGCAGTATTATGCTCAGCTACGGGGCATGCGAGGGCCAATGTACTAAATCCCAGACTTCTGCAAGTACCGGAGTCGTCAGTATGCATCCAAGAGCAACTGAAGGCGGGGACTATCAAGAGTGCAATACCTTCCCGTGTCTGTAAGGAAGAATGTTAACACTGTGGATCCCCACATAGCATCAAAAAGAAACAATTTACGTGAGCCAATATTTTAACACTTACCACAGGGAGTTAACCTACGCGAGCAGGTGCCTAAAACGCTTTCAGAATATCATAATCAAGCAAATTCCTACCCTCTGTTATGATCTCAATTCCGCGTCCACAGTGGGTACGTTATTATCATAAATGAGAGGAAATGCAACCTCCGTATCGGCTTAATTGTTAAACATCGCAGACATCTGAGCAAGAGCTGCGAAAAATGGCACTGCGAGCAGAGACGGACGAGGAGTGTTGTCTGCTTCTGTACGGACTCTGAACGCTGAACTGACTCCGGAGCCGGTGCAAGATTTTGAGGAACTGGGTCTGAACTCGTTCAGAGCTGGGATGAATCGAAGGCACCGGTGCAGCGGCCGTGCAACTTCCGGTTGAATCGAATGCACCAGTTCCTGCACTGCTGAACTAGTTCAGCCAGTTCAGGTGAATCGAACAGACCTATTATGTGTCGTCGCTTTAGTGTACTCATTTAGGAACGTTTTTTGTTAAATGTATCGACAAATAGAGCTTTCTCTCAACAAATGCTGTAGATAGTGTAAATATAGATAGTGCAAGTGCACATGCTTTTTTCGATAATACGCATTATGTTTAAAATGAATAAAAATAAATGATTTTCTAGGGCGAATCCTCTCGTGAATGTTTGGGCCGGCAATGTTTCAGATTTTACGACGAATGCAAGATCTTTGTTTCAATATTTGCGCTAATTGAAACAATCTTTCTGGGGCTAATTGCCACACTGTGGCCGTAAGCCGTTCTGTAAGCCTAAGGTCGAGGTCGTCCTTTTGCATTGCAGCCAAGCAGTCTGCTGCAAATTGCGGGGGCGTCGGCGCATCGTCAGCGCCACAGCCCGGCCTAGCGAATTCGCAGGACATGGAGATAGACCTGTACTGCACCTTCGCGCCAGCAACTCCAATCATCTGCAACCAGCAGACGCCTCCGGAAAGCAAAGAGTCTCCTTCACTTCAGCAGGATCGAGGTACGAAACAAGGACTGCTTTCTCAAGATCGTGGGTGTGGCACGAAATTCACCTCGATTATACGCCATTTCTATACAGTATAGACCACTTACAACGTAACCGCTTATAGTGCAGGACCGGGTATAACGCGGTTTTTTTAAACCACCGGTTCGCCTCCCATAGAACTCCATGTATTTACATACCGCTTAAAATGCAGGCGCGCGAAGGGAAATACCGGTTATAGTGCGGTTTCTGGCACAGCCCGCCGGTCGCGCCGACGACCGGAGCAGCGAGCGCGCTTCCCTGTGCGACACTAGATAACGGCGCTGACGGCGCGAGCAGCAAGCGGCACTCGCGTGGCAGTTGCTCCAGAGCCGAGTTGCTCGAAGAAGCGGGAAGAAGCGAAAGGCTTCAGTTGCCATAGCGACGGAGGGACGCACGCACGTGTCGTTCACGTGCGTGCGTCCCTCCGCTGCGTTGGAAACAAACAACCGCAGCGACAGACCAATCGCAGGTCGAGGAGAAGTGTTGCGCGCATTACATGCCGGTCGCGGGTCGGCTGCTCCTATCCGCAAACACGGCGTCGGTTGTGATCGTCGTCGTAGACGGCGTTCATCTCATCGTTCCGCGTAAAAGCGCTATCCTTGACTGTGAATTTTCATTGTGTGTCGCTAGATAACCCAGCACGTACTAGAAGGGAAGATCCACCTACTCGTGCGGCGATGTCGTGGCGGCGCTCTCAAGACGGCAGAAACGCCCGTGTCGTCGTGTTTGTTTACTTCGACTACAGTGGTGATTTCTAAGCATTCGTGTCCTCGAACATCGCCCGGATTTCTTATTTGGCGCATTTCATGCGTGCGCTCAAGTTCAAGGTATTACTGGCGCGTACCGTGTGAAGGATGCGAATTTTCACGCGTTTTCATCTCCGGAGAAAAGTGATTAGGGTTAGCAATCCTGAACGCTCTCAACGTCCGTCCGCAACCCGCGACGCCGTTAAAAGGTTGCGCCAGGCAAAAGCTGCTCATTTCTTTCAAAATGTGTAACACACTTGAGACAGAACTGTACTAGTCAGGTGAAATAACGACTTTCCTCAAACTAAGCTTTATTTTTTATCTAACATAAAATAAATTCTTTTCACAAGTGTAAGTTGTCTCATGGCATGTATTTTGGCCTGAAAAATTGATGTTTTGGTTATAGTGCGGTACCGCTTATAGTGCGGATTTTCTCGACTCCCGCGACATACGTTATATGCGGTCTACACTGTATTTACAAGTCCTCGGCCAAGCGTGCAATAACCACAGCCCCGCACACACACTTTCGTCGCTCCTGGAAGCGAGCAAATCGCAAGTCGTACGCACAAACACTGGAAATGGAACCATCCAGGAGTCCTTTTTTGGAAAGGTCCGTAGTTTCGGCATGCACTCCGTGATTTCCGCCGTGCTTTGGTCATGTGCATGCGCACAAGGTGCACGAGATGCCAAAGCATCGTCGAAGGCACGGCCGAAGCATTGTCGAAGGCAGGAGGCTGGAGGCAGGACAGCTGAAGCTCCTTGCTGTTGTTCTCGTCACCTTATCGGCGACTATGGAATCGTGCCACTGTGCCACGCTCCTACATGGGGCAGTCGGAACGGGAGCCTAAAATGCACAAATGGTACATGGGGACAAACTCTTCTGCTCAGTCGTAGTTCTCGAATGGATTCCTCAAAACACCCCCTAGGGGTGCCAGGGAGTTTGCATGTTCCTCAGGTACCCGAATTTCCTTTGTTATTCCCCTCACCAAGTGGAGGGCATCTCCAGTTTGGGCACATTTTAAACATGCAACGTCAGAGCTACCGTAATATCTGAATCATTGTCCACCCCTCTGATGCCTGAAATTCATCAAAAAAGTGGGGTGGGCCATGTCTCGGTGGGTAAGCGCAAAAAAAGTTTAGAAAAAGCTAAAAAGAAACGGCCATTGTTCTGTACTTAATTAGCGCGGCTGCGCGAGAGATACATTAAACTCAAAATTCAAATTAGTTTCATTGTTTTGTGCAGGAAATGCTCATGAAAGAATGTTTTACTATCAAAAAGTCCCCTGCTTGCATACGTGCGATGAACACTGCCGATCGGCATACAGCCCTAATGATTGTTGCGTAAAAGCTGATTTCAAAAATCGCTAAGTTCTCATTATTAAAAAAAAAAAAAAATTCTACAAGGAAATAAGAAGGTTAATTAGGTGCAACAAGCGGGCAAAAGAAGCGACGAAGAGTGATTCTGGAGAAACAGGAAAGCCGGCGATTGCGTTGGCAAATACGTTGGCATCGGGCCAAGTCTGGTGACTTTTCATTCACAAGGAGCAGGCTGCTCTTGTGCAACTTTATTTTTTGGTGCATACATATTTGCATCCGTGCGTGGCTGCTGTGTGGCGTGGATGGCACCACGAACACGGAGCTCGAAATGGGATGCTTTACAAATGTTTGTGTGTGGCATTCTAGCAAATCTTTATTTACCCTTTGGCTTTGTCTTGGGTATTCACGGTGACCTTATTTCGGTGCAGACCGGCTTTGACCTTACACTCCGGGGTTACATTCCAGGATATGGGGCGTAAGTCTGTACATAAACTTCTTGAGCGTTTTATTGTAAGGGGCGTACAGGTGAGGACAGGTGGGGAAAGACGGTGTCTTTCTTGGCGGCTAAGGGGAGAGTTCTTCGAGACCAGTCTTTATGCTCTTCGTCAAGTTTTCTGCACACCGTTGGCATAGGTTTTGCAGTGCTGCACGTCGGAAACGGAAAAGGGTTCGAGGAGGGGCCTCCACCCTTTCCTTCTCACACTAGGTGATGCTGATACAAGCCATAGAGAAGTGAAATGGGAAGTGCCTCTTTGTCTCTCCTTTTTCTCCATTTTATATCTCTCACGTTTTCTCGGAGCATCTTGGAATCTGTGTCAGCCCCGCCAGCGTTGCGCAGAAGGGTCGACCCGGCGCTTAATTTCACACCTCGATTCACGTTGACAGTCTCGCAGAACTCGCGCATTAGAGTAGCAAAAGTAGGAAGAGGTCCGACCCAAGAGGAAACGATTTGCATGGGTCCATTTTGGTCGTCAGTCCGACCTTAAAGTATGGCGCACAAAGCGCGCGTTCGACTGACGTGTTTAGCGTCCCATTCCTTCCACACCTCAAAAGTGGTCCTGAAGCGGCAACAAATCGCATTGTTTCGGCCAGCGCGTCGCATCGTCGGACGTCGCAGTCTTGGCGGTCAGTCGTAAAAGTTGGGGCGAAAAGTAGGAGCGGTCGCGACTCGCCATCGTCGTGGTGTCCCGGCTGCCAAAGCGTCTGCGAAGCCGAAACGCGACCCACGTCAGAACGGGGCGTTGGCTGCATCCGGTTCCGCCAGTGTTTCGGCGGGCATCGACAAAACACTTCTACGACGTCGTCGGGTGGAAGTTGAGGTACCTCGTAGGAGGACGCAGTAAACACACCGGTCGGAGACGCGTTCCAGACGCCGTACCCCACAGGCAAACTCCGATTGTCCGAGCCAATGCCGCCCTGAAGACGAGGTCCGCGCACGCCGGTCGTCGTGCCCGAGGCGGCAAATGCGCCAGAGCTCGACAAGAGCACGACGCAAAGCGACGGACGTGCGCATTGGCGTCTCAATGGGCCAGCGTCGCGCTCGTCGTGAGATGCCGCGTGGATTTGTTAGCGACGGCGTTTGGGAGGCCTCGTCTTCCATGGTCACCGGCAGTTTTTCCGCCTCAAGCGTGACCTGCCTACCTTCGACGACGCTTTGGCGGAAAAGCGCGGCGGAAAGCGCAAGGCGTGCGGGGGAGGCCGGGCATTCGAAAGACGCGCCCCGCCGTTTGGCGCAACCAGCGACATTGTTGGAGCTCCCGCCTCGCTCTGTCCTCTGCAGGGCGGCCGAAGCGGACGACGTCACGTGGTGCGCCCCGCGTCTGCCACATGCTCACGTACGAGCTGCTGCTGGAGCTGATGGAGGAGTGCGAGGCCCTGGGCAACTACACTCCCCTGATCCACGCCCTGGGCCAGGTGTACTCGCGGGTGGGCTGGCTCAAGCGCAGCTTCCCCAGGAGGCCCCAGGGGGAGCCCTCCGGGGGCGGCCTCACCAAGGAGGAGCTCAGGGCCATGGAGACGGACATGGACAAGGACGAGGACTGCCAGGAGGCCACGGAGGCGGCGGGCACCGGGAGCCCCGGCACCGACGACTTTGTGTCGCGGTGAGCGCCGACACGGTCGTTTAGCTAGAAAAAAAAAAGGTTCACGCGGTTTCTTTTTTTTTTTGCAAAAATGGACTACGCATTGCCAAACGCTTGTTCTGCGGCCAAACGTAGCCCCGGCAGTTCAAGCCAGGGGCCAAAGTTTCGGAACTAACCGTTATCTTATTCGAAAGTTATAAAATGATTTTCTGAAAACTTCAATGGGAAAATGGTAGCCGACGGAGTGCTCGAATGCACAGAGCTGAATGGCACCGGTTACTAAGAATGGGCTCCATTTCCCCCCTGAAATTTTCAAACAAATTGCGTAACTCTTGATTAAGAAGATGGTTAGTTCTTTAATTTTAGCATCTTGTTCGAACTGCCAGCGCCATGTTTGGGCAGACTGTGAACGTTTGGCGATGCATCATTTATTTTGCGATGAAAAAAACTTCAGTATTTTTTCAGACGTTCCGTACTTACAACATTTTCTGGACTGTAGGATCCTTGCACATGATATCACTTCCTAACATGCTACCAAGCAGCGTGTTCGAAAACTGTAAAATACAACGTCAATAGACCATCTGCCCCCTTATAATGACACTTTCCGCTATTTTCCCTATCCGCAAGCACATAAGTGATTCTTCCTTAGCATCTGTTTTTATGTTGGTAAAATGCGGAAGCAAGTGGATGGCTCGGTCAACGACGGAACTCAAGTACAATAGAAGACATATTTGGGACGCTTGCACCAAAGCTTGCTTTCTTTTTTTTGCCTGTCGACGTGCGAACTCGTTGAGTGCTGGCTCGTCTGAAGCCCAAATAAGGACGAATAGGTATAAAACAATGAATACCAGCAGACATTCTTTTATGTCCTGACAAGCTTTGCCTGGCACAGTCGATCGTGACGCGAAACAACTCGAGTGATCTGGAAAACACCACTTTTGGATCGTTGAAGAACAGGGTGGACATAGGACGAAAGTAGACGGATCTCACCGACGTGTATTCCGGCTTAGATTTCGAGCCGGAAGCAGCTTTGCACTATGGTCTCGTGCAAGCGTGCCATAGTTCACACCTTGAGAAATGCCTACTTCATTAGATCACAAACAAGCTTGTATCATACAGAAATCATCGTCAATATAATTTGTCATTCACGAAATTCGTTACACCTCGTCATTACCTAAAGCATAATTTTTCTATGGCGCCCGTTTCGCTTAAATTGGTGCTCCATAAAACATTAATAAGACCTAAGCTAGAGTGTGCAGCCTCCATCTGCGATCCCGGTCACAATACCCTCATCACTGCTTCGGAATCCATTCAAAATAAATCAAACCGTTTCATTCTATCAAACTATCACCGCACCGCCAGAGTCGTCAATGAAAAACAGTTTATCTTTGCCATCTGTTTCTCTTAGTTGATCACCAACACAAAGTTGGAGTCCCAAACTCGTTAACCAATACATTTCATTCATCTTTTCTGCCATGCACAGTTGAAGAGTGGAACCACGTTCCCGACTTGATTGTTCTATAACTGACTCTAAACTTTTTCGAAATGCCATTATACTACCATTTTTGCACTGACTTCTGACCTGTTCGTTTCACTTATCATTATGTGTTTACTGTATTGCTGATTTGTTACATCTTCCTTTCCTTCTATACGCTCTCCCCCTCTGTAATGCTTTGGGCCCTGAGGGTGCAATGAATAAATCAATAATGAAAGATCCAGGATAAAAATCATTGTATAGCCCTCACCCGTAGATAGTGTGCACCGCTCAAGATTCCGACTTTGAAACGTGTATAGTTAGGAAAATCCGGTATTGGTCACGGAACTCTAATCCAGTGCTGGTCTGGAAACTTCGGCAGTTTCCAGACCACCACAAGGAGTCCTGATCCATGTAGAAGTAAAAAACGTTAAAAGAAAAGCGTAAAAAATATGATTACTAGGTATCCTATATAGATGGGGTTTCCAGTCGCCCATCTTTTCGACTATGGCATGTTGGTTGTCAGAATTAGCAGCACATTGCGAGGCAACCTTACGGGTGAGTGAATGTCCGACTGGTTCGCACTGCCGCAGATTGAATGGCCCCGTGAACCAGGAGATCACGGTGGACGTAGAGTCGGTGCGGCTGGCGTACGACGCGCTCTTCTCGATCCCGGACCAGCCCTTCTCCAGCGCCCTGGTGCACGCCATCATGATCCTCTGCGAGAACCTTGAGATTGGACTCAGGTGAGCCGGTCCTTGCCACGCCTCCAAAAGGCGCCGCCCTGTCGGAGTCCCCCCTTGCTCTCGCTCGCCGAGGTCCGAGACAGGGCAAAGGAGCAAAGAGTTTTCAGTTCGAAAATGGGACAGGCTCAAGTTGGTCGGCGCTCTGGGTTCCGAATTTTGTAGAACCTGCCGGGGTATCGAATAATGCGTCTCGGATTGGCTGTTCTCCGTCGTGGGCAATTGTAGCAATGTGTTAAGAAAGGTCTGATGGATGAGAATTGCCCGTCTCCCACTCCCCTAAAGTCGCACGTTGACACGTTTCGATTCGGGGATCGGCTACTCATGATCATAATAGAACTGCGCCGTAGCACAAGTACCATGGACAACAATTGCCGGTCTCTGGCTCTTGTAAAGTTGCTCCTCTCAAAATCTGTCGTCCAAAGTGGAACATCTAAGGTTCGGCTTCTAGGATCCGCCGCCCGCAATCGCGGCCGACCATAACGAGAGAACGCTGCGACCACAAATTCCACGAGCAAGGTTCACCCGTCCTGCGAGCCGATCGGCGCCGAGATTGGCTTTCGGCACAGTCTTCCCACCTGTCATCGCAGCTACCGCCGTGCCGCATTGTAATAGAAGTAGCGCAGGCGAGAGCTGCTCATCTCGTGGCATGGGCCCCGATCAGCGCCGTGATAGACTCTTTCCACGATCTCCTCGCAGGTACCACGGTGCCTACCAGCGGAATCCCTCTCTGCTTAACGTGTTTGCCATCCTGCTGGAGCTTCCCCTGCTGGAGGGCCCCTTCTGCTCGGGCACGGTGCAGGCCCTCTGCCGGGCGTGCGCCCTGCTTCCCCTTGAGGCCCACGAGAGGTTGGCGCGCCACTGCGGCTACAACTGCCCTCCCCACCGGCTGCGCAACGTGCTGAACGCGCTGCACCAGGTGCTCACGACGCGAGTCATCGAGGGACACTTCAGCCGGGAGTTCGGGCCCGGGGACGACGAGGTCATCGTCGTGGCCACCAAGGTACTGCGGGGAGCGACCTAAATTACGAACTGCAAAAACATATTTTCGTGAAATCTTTGAATTTTAGGATTTGGTCTAAAAGGCTCTGAGGCTCTACCGGCAATGCTGGAAATGTGACGTCAAATATTACCGTATTTGCACATATATAACGCGACCACGAATGTAACACAAAAGCAAATTTTGATGCCCTCAAAAAAAAAAAAAAAAAAAAAAAATATTACTACAGTTGAATCTCAATTTAACGAAACCCGATTTTACGAGTTTCCCGATTTAACGAACAAATCCGGATTCCCCGCGCAGCCTATCCCGAAGAATGTCTTTCTCGACTTTACGAAGTTCCCGATTTAACGAAATAATTAGGGGGTCCCGGTGACTTCGCTAAATCGAGGTTCAACTGTATTACAACGCGAGGCCGCGTAAATTTCCCACAATCGGGGGCATAGCAGAAGTGAAAATGCATTGGAAATAGAAAAAAAAACAGTTTGTTTTGACTGCACTGCTCAGGTCCTTCCGTTTACAATCCACTTGGCAACTACGCAGAGATGCACAGCACTGCACCTCTTGTCTGGTAGTTCCTTTTTCTTCGGTGTGAGCTCCCGGCAGCCCACAAGCAAAGCAAAGCAGAAGGACCAACACACAAACACCAGACCACTCTGGAGCACAAACAAAAAAATGCACAAACAGAAAAAAGACTGCGGAGTTTGATACACGATCACACTTATTCTTGTTCTAATCCCTCCGCATAAACAAACACCGTGTTGCACAATTGCTTAAACACAGTCTGTGGTCTTGGCTTGGCTTGTGTTGACTGGACTTGGCCTGGCTTGGCTTAGCTTGAATTGGCCAATACCCGCATTCCCGAATGGCGCGTTGCATTTCTGTGGCGTGCGTGCGTTTTACAAACACAAAAGCGATAAAAATGTTTGTCTCTATTTGCCCCTTCACATAGTCCAATAGCTAATAAATTCCCTCGCACACCCCCCACTTCTTTTCCCATCCAATCTCCTACATCGAGCCGGAGAGATGGCTTTCTTCTCTGGCTTTCTCCAGACTCGCGCGCCTCTTGGCTGAACTCGACTCCGAATATAACGTGAGGTGTGTTTTGAAGCACGTAATTCCGAAAAAAAAAAAAACTTGAGTTATGTTCGTGCAATTACTGTAATAGGGGGGCAGTACAGCTTGTTCCCAACAAGTTGTGAGGAGTTTGATGGTGCGAAATGAATGTGGGGGACGCCTTACAGCGAGAGAGAAACGTGCAAAATACCACAATTTTTAGATAGCCTGCTTCACATGCAGGTTGTATACCAAGTGACGTCACCTCCCTGAAGAGTGCGGGAAAATTTGAATCTTGGTTTTGGCAATACCTTAACTTGACGTTTTCTCAATTGCAATTTTGAATTTAGAAATAATAAATAGCGTACCGGGGAGGGTAAAGCCTGGGTTTTCCGAAACAAAGTTTAGTCTAGGAAGCTAACAAAAACTGCCGGAGCTCCATTTTAGTATTTATCACAGGATTCGTGCATGGTTTCTGCCATCGGACTTCCCCGTGACCTGTGGTTTTGGTCCCCACTTTACCACCTGCACAGACGATGAAGATCTTGTTCATGGCCAGCGTGCTGGGAGGCCAGTTGGAACAGTCTGCCGACACGGTGGACGAGGATTGTACAGACAAGGACGAGAACCCTCTGCTGGCGGCCGACAGAGATCCCACGCACCCCAAGGAGGATCCTCTCTGCGAGCTCCTCGGTGTCAAGGTATGTCATCCTGACACATCCCGACTAGGGTTTTTTTTGTTTTACAGCGAAGCTGTTATGCGCTAGGGTCTGGGAAAAAAGCTCGAGGTACATCTAAGCATTTCTTATGAGTGTTGAATGCGAAAGCATGCAAGCCGCTCGTCCGTTCCCTTTGTCGTCTGCTCGTCCGCTCCCTTTGTCGTCTGCTGCGTACCAGCGCACGTGCGCTTCGGGATCTCGGAGGCCCCAATGGGAGCGGCCAATGGGAGCCCCGTCGATGCGCGCCAGCCAATGGAACCGAAGGCGCGCGGAAACTAGGAGCCGTTTTCGCGCTTCCAACTAATGACGCCAGCTCGCTCCATGAGACAGCTAATGCTTTCGCATTAAAATGCGTCCTCACATGCCGACAGAAAACTCTCCATTGGTTGTGGCAAGTATAAATAAATAAAAACATAAAGGGGGATCAACCAGCGTGAGTCAGCCTTCCCTGGCATTATTAGATAGTGAGGTCCTGATCCCTTGTTATCACCTCTAGGCATCATCCTTGAGGTCGTCCGAGAGGTTGTCTTAGACATTGTCCTAAATGTCATCCTAGACGTCATCCTTGGGGTCGTCCTAGACGATGTCGGAGAGGTTGTTTGAGAGGTTGTCCTCTCGGCGTTATCCTCGGAAGTCTGTCCCTGAAGTCGCCATAGACATCGTCCTCGAGGTCGTCCTAGAAGTCGTCCTCGGGGTTGCCATAGACATCGTCCTCGAGGTCATCCTAGAAGTCGTCCTCGAGGTCGTCCTAGAAGTTGTCCGAGAGGTAGTCCTCTAGGCGTCGTCCTAGAAGTCATTCTTGAGGTCTTTCTCGAGGTCGTCCTAGTCGTCCTTGGGGTCGTCCTAGACATCGTCCTCAAGGTCGTCTTTGAAGTCATTGTCGAGGTTGTTTGAGGTCGTCCAAGGTGTCGTTCTTGAGCTCGTCCTAGAAGGAGTCCTTGAGACCGTCCTAGATGTCCTTGAGGCAGGGATGGGCAAAATACATGCAAATATGTATTGAAATACAAATACAAAATACTTCATTAAAAATGTATTTAATTACAAATCTATTTACATTTCCAAAAAAGCATTTAAGTACACGATACAAATACAACGGCGAGATTCTAAATTAGCTGAACTCTCCCAATATACGGCTCCGACTGGAACAAGGTCCGTTCTGCATAGACGGTTGGGTCATTAGATCGAAATACAGCTGCCAATTATTTGTGCAATCGTTTCTTTTATTTTTACGGGGATCTAATTTTAGCCAGAGACGGCCTGGGCTGTTCTGCATACGACGGTTTGGTCTTTAGATTGGAATACAGCTGCCAATTATGTGTGCGCCAATTTTTATATCTTTACAGGGTTTTTATTTGAGCCAGTAACTATCTGGGTTGTTCTGCCTATGGCAGTTTTGGTCGTCAGACCAAAACACAGATGCTAACTATTTGTGCGACCTTTGTTTTTACGGGGAATTAATTTTGTCCCGTTAACGAGCCCCGTGGTCCCCAGGTGACGGACTGCCGCAAGCCGCTGATCCCGTTTGAGGAGTTCTACAACGAGCCGCTGAGCGAGCAGCTGGAGTCCGACCGGGGCTTTGTGCACTCCCGGGGGGCCTCCAAGGACGGGCAGTTCTCCTTCCTGAACCACGCCTTTGTGCTGACGCCGGCCGTCAAGGCCCTGGGCCTGTACTACGACAACCGGATACGCATGTACAGCGAGCGCCACCTGTCGGTCATCCAGATGCTGGTGGGCGGGGCCCCCGCCAACCCCTACCTGCGCCTCAACGTCCGCAGGGACCACCTCATCGACGACGCCCTCCACAAGGTGAGCGTGCGCTCGTCGCCGTGGTCGAGCGTGCGCTCGAAGAGCGCTTTTTGGCGCAGCGGGAAATGGCCACGCCCGTCGCTCTGAACGACATTACTAGATCAAATTCGGTCAATGAGCTTCCTAGAACGCCTGCGCCTTTTCGTGGTGTGTCTGCCTGGTGGTGCTCTTTACGCCATTCACCCGCACTACGAACGGGAGTGGCGTTGTGGGCGTTACCGAAAAAAATAAACAAAATACTGTAAAATGGAGAGGAAGCACCCGCTCAAAATTCGAAGATAGACGCGAAAAAATAGGGGATAGCATGTGAGGTCATCAATTTTTCATATGTATGTACTGCACGTGTTTTTTCCGATGTTTCAAATTTTGGAAGTGGGCGCTTGGTGCGGAATGGGCGGATGCACAGCACTCTACGGTGTGCTACTCGCTACTTGCAAACAAAGGGAATGCTTTACCGACTGACGTTGCCTCAAAATAACAGAAATGAGTTACCGATAAAAAGTAACGTGCGCTACTTTTGTTTTACTGTTGACTTTACAGGTATGCAGAAGTGCCGTATATTTCGAGAAACATTATGTCCATGCAGAAATTTGACATAATTACCTTAGCTTTTTTTACGAAAACCGAAATCTCGCGAGAGAGAACTAAAATAAATACGAGAAAAACAAATTTATATGACCTGGCTCTTGAAAACATGAAAAAAAAAAAAAAAAAATTAGATTTTTTTAACTTGCATAACTTGGTTAGTCATTACTCGAAACAAGTAGTGCCCGTATGTTGCCCGTTAACGTTTTAAAAATGTTACAAGTATGTTACTACATTACCATGAAGAATAGCATAAGTCTGTTATTCGTAATGCATTACCATTAACGCCAGACAGAAGTTGGATGCATCTAAATGGTTTTGGTGCACACGTCGAGAGAAGATACATGATAGAGTGCGTTATCCTGTATCTTCTCTCTTTTCTATATGTGTGCGCTAATACTGTTTAGATGTTCAATTATCCAGCTTTTTACGTTGGATGCACATCACCTGCGATGGAAAGTGACTGTATTGCAGTTTTAATGGGGAAGATAAAGTTTTTTGAAAAAGGGCATCGTTTGAAAACTGTTGCTCGTGGGAGCGGCACCGCAGGCGGCAATAGGATCTCCATCTTCCCGTACCTGCTCGTCTGTGGGCAATAAAGAGGACCGCTTCCCAATGACGGTCATTCGTAGAGCTTGCCAACGGACAGGTCTAAGAACATTAGTTTTGAACGCGTTCACTCTGCTACAAAATGTCTGATGATTAACTACGGAGGCTATGGGAGCTGGGAAGGGGTCTCATTCCAAAAATCTTTTCGGGACAAATGAGTGTAAGACTCGGTATCCTAATTTATGCTAATGGTCAATGCTTGGCAAATTATAGAAGGCTGAAATGAAAAGTCGCTGGTTTCAGTGTGGGTTGCTACATATACCTCTTGCGAAAAAGACGAACAAGAGACTTTATAGCAGAAGGAGAGGTTAGCCGAGGACCCATTGAGTTTCACTGAGGTTATGTTTGTGGCAGAATGAGTGTTACCCAGAATAAACGAGCTGCAACAGTTCCAAAGGAAGAAGCATACCCTAGTTTGGAATCAACGGGAGCTTTACGCGAGGTCAATCCCTTGCCTCGTCTTGCGAGACAAAAGCGTTCTTGGGTAACCCCGGGTGTGGTTGGCATGATTGACCAGATATGTGTGCAGGGAGACATTTCGGGGAATGTGGACACTCAAACATGTATAAGAATCAGCAGAAGACTAAGAGTAATTTCTAGGACTAATCGAACGAGTGCTTGTTTCCATGTTGGTGGGTAATTAATTGTATTGTTTTTTTTTATTCCATTCTGGTACACTAAGAGTGGTCGTTCTCGCACAGCTAGAGCTGGTGGCCATGGAGAGCCCATCCAGCCTCAAGAAGCAGCTGGTGGTGGAGTTTGAGGGCGAGCAAGGGATCGACGAAGGGGGCGTGTCCAAGGAGTTCTTCCAGTTGGTCGTGGAGGAGATATTCAATCCCGACATTGGTAGGTTTTCAATGTTTATTTGTAAGAGAAAGCGATAGTAGTTATTGGTATTTCTTTTTTTTTTTTTTTTAAGATTAGTGTGTTTTGGTGATCTGCTTCGGACAGACGCTAAAAAGGGTGAATGTCGGTGGGAAAGAACTTGTGAAAGGCTGAGAATTTTTGGTTTGTGTTTTTCCGTTCTTGTTTTAACCTAGTCTCGGGTTTTCTTTTTTTTTTATTATATAAGAATTTTAGTTTAAGTTGAAAAGGTTTACCATAATATCCCGAGTCATCGCCCACCCCCCTACCGCCTGAAATTCGTTAAAAAAGTGGGGTGGGCCATGTCTCGGTGGGTGAGCACAAACACTTGAAAAAAAAGCAGTAAAAACCGCCTGTTTTTCTCTGCGTATCTAGCGCTGATGCACAAGAGATACGTCAAACTCAAAACTCGATTTAGTTTCATTGTTTTATAGAAAAAAAATGCTCACGAAAGAATATTTTACTATAGCGAAGTCCGTTGCTTGCATACGCGCTAGAAACACCGCCGATCTGCATATAGCGCGAACGTTTGTTCCGTGAAAGAATGTCACCACTATGTTCTCCTAGTTAGTAAAAAAAAAAGAAAGAAAAGTCTACAAGAAAATAGAAAAACCGACCAGGCGCAACGAGCGAGCGAGCGGACCAAAGAAGCGACCAAGAGCAATGCTCGGAAAGCGGGAAAGCCGGCGGTCGCGTTGGCAAATACTTTGGCGTCGGGCCAAGTCGGGCACCTTGTCAATTGCAAGCCCTTGCGCAACTTTCTTGTTTGGTGCGTACATACGTGCGTCCGTGCACGGCGGGCTATCAATGCACGGTTGGGGCGCTCTGCAAACGTCTGTGTAGGACGTTCCAGCAAAGCTTTATTTACGCTTTGGCTTTGCCTAAAATATTGCACAAACGCGGTCGCGACGGGCGGGAAGAAGGAGCGGGTTCGCGGTGACCTTACTTCGGCGGAGACAGGCTTTGACCTAACTCTCTGCGGTTACATTAACAAACTCTTATTTTGTTATCTCCATCGTTTTCTTTTCGCACGGATACACGACCACTTTGGGGTCGCTCACGGAGGAAATGCGTAAACAAAAAGAAGTGTCTTTCCCTCCATCGTTTTACTTTGTCACGGACGTCCTCCAACTGTGAGGTCCGCGGCCGCGTCATTCGGGTAGGATGAGTGTTCGCGGATCGCAGAGTCCGCGCTGGGGTATTTGAAGGGGTGGGCGATGACTCGGTGTTTTTTCGGAAATCGATATTGGCCCAAAAAATGGGGTGGGCGATGGCTCGGGGATGGACGATGACTCGGGATATTACGGTAGTACTTTTGGCAGGAATTGATGTTTATAGGTATTTTTTTTTGTTTGAACCGAGTTTGTATTTTTGACACCAACGGATGTTTCTTCTGTGAAAACCGGAAAGTCTGCGGCCTAGGTATGAGTGACCGTTTCTCATAAATAGCACATGAATTTGATCTTGCAAATAATGTTTGTTTATTTTGGGCCGAAGGGTCTGAAACCTTCAGCCTAGTTATACGGGCTTCCTGGGCTACTTGTTAAGATTGTCCCTGCATGTTGTCTCGTCCATGGCAGTTACGAGCAGTCATTGTGCGCTGGGTCACATTCAAATGCAAAGCAATGCTACAAAAGCAATGTCTATTTTAAGAGGCAGAGCGCAAGGTATGTGTCCGAGTGCCAAAAGCCGCATTATTACGGCTCGTCACGACGGATGTTTCTAGCCGGGGAACCGGTCACACTCGCGAAGTGACCAAGCGGGGAACATGCGAATCATTGGGTCTGTCTTTCTCTCTCTGTCTGGCGGCAGCCATGTTCACGCTCAATGCGGAGACCCAGACGTACTGGTTCAACCCGACGTCGTTTGAGAGCGACGCGCAGTTCAAGTTGATCGGGATCATCCTGGGCCTGGCCATCTACAACAACGTCATCCTGGACGTCCACTTCCCCATGGTCGTCTACCGCAAGCTCATGGGGAGGAAGGGCACCTTCTACGACCTCAAGGACTGGAACCCTGTACGTCTTCCATTTTATCCCTTCTTTTTTTTTCTTCTTTTTTTGCGATTGTGTTGGGAGTTTGGTGGCGTTGCATAAACGGAAGTTTGCAAGTAAAAGAGTGACTGTCGAGTAAGTTGTTCCGGAAACCTTGCGAGTGGCGCGGCACTATTTTGTTTGAATGATAAAATTACGAAATTTGTACGGAGATTGAAAGGGTTACAGGCTTTCTGATATATGGCACCAGTGTGCCAATCCTTGGATGCCCAAAACTTTACTCGAAATACTGGAGACTTACAAACCTGGCGTGGTTTTAGAACTCGCATAATAAAAGAAACCTGGTCTCAAGAAAAAAAAAAAAATCTTTTATTCTTAAACAGGTAATAGAACATTGCTCGTGAGCAGCATTGCGCATTTGTAGCCCTACTTCACGCGGAATGACTGAAAGCTGTTACGAGTTAAGGGGGGACACTGTCTAGAGATTAAACTTTTGAACTACTCAAGTGATCCGAATGAAATTCGCAGGGGAGATGTAACGTCTGATGTAGGTGTACTGTGCAAACTTTTGGCTCTCTAGGACAACTTTATGTACCTGCATAAGATGTCTCACTCTTCGTCAAGAAATCTATGACATGCAGTGAAGCTATTAAGCACCATCTTGACTGCTAAAATATAAAGTGGGGGATGTGGGACTGGGGCTATCTAGATTTTTTTAACTCGAATGTAATTATTTCAGGAAGAGTTATTTCCTCAAAATATGAGACGCATATCCGTCCTATGTCAAGGTTTGAAAACGCAGTGTTTCTTTCAATGAGGACTTCAATTTAAAACAAAATAAAGTAGATAGCGCAATTCCCCAGTAAATTTCAGTTCGGAAACATCATGATTGTGGTATCGGAATAATTTTACCTTCGAACAAAAGATTCCTTTGTATGAAATTTGCAGCAAAAAGTGTAACTGAGAAAAATGCATTCGAACATTGAACTCCTTTACTTTGTTACTGCCTCACAATGTGTGGAAAATATTTTATATCGACGTAACTTTTTGGCATATGGTAATCGAATTCAGTGTAAGGGTATATAACTAGTCTCTAAAACCGAAAACCTCATAACTCAAAAATGATTTTTTTCAAAAAAATTTGAAAGGTGGGAGAAAGGTGTAGCCGGATCGACCGTGTTTGCACCCGTTCTTCTTTTCGCTGTACCGAGGCATGCAGTGCACACCATCCTACCTCACGTCCACCGCCCATCTTGGTTTTAGTGGACGAGCGATCAGTTTCGGAAGATGCATTTTGATCCTATGCCGCCAAGTGCTGCCCTGCCCTCGCAACAGACAGCGCCAAGCGCACGGAGGCGCACGTGGTGTTGCTCCTGGGCAATGCTGGACATTAAAGGTTAAGAGAGCGCAACGCACTTGATCACAATGTAATGCAAATGTGCGAAGCAGCATCGAGAGCAGAGGTCCCTGTGGTGCAGGCACTGGCTTCGGGCCTCCAGCAGCTCCTAGACTACAGTGGGGAGGACATGGAGGAGACCTTTGTGCAGAGCTTCCGCATCAGCTACCAGGACGTCTTTGGCTCGGTGCTCAGCCACGACCTGAGGGAAAACGGCGACTCCCTCCTGGTGAACCAGGACAACAAGTGGGTGAGTGCGGCCCTTCGGCATCCGGCAGCTCCGGCTGTTCTCTTGGCTTTCGGAAGCTGGCAGACCGTCGGAGCAGTTGGTCGTTTTGAAGGTAAACTAACATTTTGGAGCTCCGCATATCAAGTGTCGCATGCTATGGTGGAAGTTGAGCAGCTGCCAAGAGTATTCGAGATGACGGAAAGAGAAAACGGAAGAGAGAGGGGAGAGGACGCCGAAGACGCTTTGAAAAGTCTTCGCCAGCTGCCAAAAGCTTTTGAAGCAGCGAGGAAAAAAGAAATACCGTAATTGATTTTACTTTTTGGGGCTCATTGTTTTGCGAATTTCGCTAAGTGTCGGTTTTGTTGATTTTTCGTGGGTGCTCAATTTTATGATTGGGGGTGATATGCTATCGATTAGTTACAATGAAATAATAGGGATGCCACAAACTTTTTTCGAACCGAAGGTTCACAAAAATCAAGCGGTTCGAAATGCTTCGAATTTTCTAACTTTCCATATCGAGGAATTCTACGGAAGTCGAATTTTCGAACTTGTTAAACTAAGAAGTTCGACGCTTTTCAAAATTTCAAACTTATTACGCTGCAAAATTTGATGCTTGTCGAACTTTCGAACTTGATAGACTAAAAAATTCGATGATTTTCGAACTTTCAAACTTCTTGCACTAAAAAGCTCTAAGCTTTTCTAACTTTCAAACTTCCTACGCTAAGAAATTCACAAATTTTCGAACTTTCGAAGTTAATAATTTAAAGAATTTGAAAATTGTCGAACTTTCGATTCCTGAAAAGTTAAAAGTTCAACGAATTTCAAACTTTTAGGGTAAAAGTTCGAAGTTCATCGAACTTCGAAAGTCCGGCGGGGCGGTTTCATTTGGATTCAAGCAGCTTCGATTTTTTTTTTTTTTTTTTTGCGCATTTTTACATGCGGTGTTGCATTCCTTGCAAAAGACAATACCGTTTCTTTCAATCATCTGGCATGCTTGAGTTTAGAAAAATAGATTCCCGAAGGAGTGAGAAGGACGACGGTTTTTGACAATTGGCGTTTGCGCCATATGTGAAGCGCGCTATAGCCGAAGATATTTATGGTAGAGATGTTAAACTTTTTAAGGTATCTATGTATACAGAAGGGGACGAACACAACACAACGTCGTCCCCTTCTGTGTTCCTCCTCGACCTCATGTTGTGTCGGCGTTGAGACGTTGTGTTGTGTTCGTCCCCTTCTGTGTTCCTGAGTCTCGGGTTTTATTACCATGAATCATCACCAGCTCGCTTGTTTTTTAAGTAGTATTATTTCAGTTATCTATGTATAGCCTAGGTAAGTGTCGTCTTAAGATATGATTATTGTTGTTCAAGATGAGTTTCGAAGAAATATCCAAACATGTATCTACGGGCAATTATACCCTAAACTTGGAAATTTTTTTCATCTAAATTGTTTGCAATATCGCATTTAAATTAACACCGCAGACAGTACATTACATATCATTATGATCTGCAGAATACAAAATAATGTATTTATTGTTTTGTTTTGTTTTTTTACGTTGAGGAATAAATTAACTCATGGGGGAAGATTTCCGAAATTGTTCCATTCAGCACGTCATAAAATAAAAATAAAAAAAAATCATTTTATGTTTTTGGGACGTGTTTTTTTTAGCCTGTACACATTTTGGTAAGAGAAACTTGTTTCGTAGTTCTGGGTTGCTCAATATGCAAGAATATAACACTTCCGGCAAGTTCTTGATAGTTTTTTTTAGCTTTTTATTTTTGCATTTATTGTTATGTTTATTTATTTATTATTTTTTACCAGTGGCACAGTTATTTAGGTCGAAAAGTCGTAGCTTTGAACTTCCGAACCACCGAGCATGTGACGAGTATTGCCTTCTGACAACGAGTTTCTAACAATAACCATTTACGCTATCTTTTATCAAGTGAAGAGCGACAGTAGGTATACATATGCATAAATAATTTCAGATTAAAATAAGCTCAACCATGCCCTCTTACCCCGTATTGTTTTCTTTGACAGTCCGAAATATCTGGGGAAGGGGGGGAAAACTGGAACCCCCCCCCCCGTTCTTTCTTTTCCGACGCCACTGGTATGGTAGAACGCTCCTCGACCTCATGTTGTGTCAGCTTCTGTGCTTTTTGCTCGGCGTTTCTTCTGTCCCGGACAATAAACCTTCAAAGCAATTACAAACTAAAAGATTGTCAAGGTGCAGGTTAGCTGGTGTATGTTGATCATGATGAAAAATCCTGAGACTGGGAATGAAATTCGAAAGAAATAGTATAAGAAGAAATAAAAAAGGGGTCAGGACAGCGTCTCAAACTCAGCTGAATTGAGTTTGAGACGTTATCCTGAGCTGAATTTTCAGCTGAGTTGAGTTCGAGACGTTGTCCTGTCCCCTTTTTTCTGTCTTCTTGCACTTTTTCTTTCAAATTTCATTCCCAGTCTCAGGATTTTGCATCATGTACAAACTAAACTTACTATATGCCAGTGTCACTTGGGCGGCGTTGGATCGGATCACTACCAGCGTGCAAGGGGGTAGGGAGGCAGTTTGGCAGATTGCTTTAAGGTTTTTCTGTGCTTCAACCACCTGCCTGCCCCTGGCCGTTTCGAACTGGATGAGTATCGTTAAACAGTGCGTTCGCGTGATCACTACTTCGTGATGCACATTAATGACCCCCCTGGGCTCGCATTCACAATTACAGATCTATTGTAACGCGTCACTCTGCACTGGCAAATATTTCAGCTCATCCGGGACACTCGTCGTCTCATTTAATTGCTTAACCAACTTCGCGCAGTCTAAATATTACACCCAAACTTTTTTAAACCTGATTTTGTAAAAACCAATGAGGCGTGAAAACGTTGTTTGAAACTGAAACTGTGGCAGAACATGAAAACCGGACTTCGACCTTTGCGCACTTGGACTTAAAAGAAATTCGAAACCTTCAAAGTTTTTTTTTTCCGAATTTATCCCTAAAAGAGAATCGAAACCTTCAAACTTTTCGAACTTTATGTAGAAAGAAATTTGAAATCTTTGAATTTATCGAACTTTATTTCTATAAGAATTTGAAATATTCAAATTTTTTAAATTTCAGATCTAAATAAATTTGAAACATTCGAATCTCTCGAATTTCAGGTTAGGAAGGAAAGTTCGAAATCTTCGAATTTCTCTAACCTCAAGTAGAAAAAAGTTTGAAATAATCGAACCCGAACTTTTAGGAATCGTGAAAGCTTCGAACTTTTTAAATTCGAAACTCCATGGTTTTTTAAAGTTTAGTTTGGTTCAAAAATATTGAAATCTTTCGAATTCAAACCTAGGGTGGTTCGCGGCATCCCTATAAAATAATATATTCTGTTGGTTTTTTTTTTTTTTTGTTTTTTTTTTTTAAATTTGTAATCTTTATGTGGTTTACTGTAGTCAAAGGGAGGTCTTTGCGACGCCGAAAAAACAGCAGCATAATCCAGGAAGGCCAAGACTGGACCTTTGCCTTTTCTGCTTTCTTTATAAAACCGAATTCTTCATATGATGGTTACATCGATGGGTTGAAATACAGCCATTAATTTTTTCGTGAAATCAAATAAGCAGCATCCTTCGCGATATCTCCGGAGGTCTTCAAGAGTCGTCGATCCGGGGACCACACTTGCCAGAGATGGTTGTAAGTCTCAAAATGTCACCAATTCCCAGAGCCAACTGATACAACTTCGATAGAAGTGATCGACAGCTATGTTGCGGAGTTGTGAGTAGTGCTGGAACTAACGTCCAGTGTACAAGCACAGCTGGGACTGTTAGAACTTTTCTTGTTTTATCTTTTTTATTTCTTACTTCAAAATAAAGCTGCAAGATTTATAACCCGGGACTTCTCGCATACTTCCATTGTAAAACGTAACCTCAACCTAACCCAACTGCTGTACGGAAGATGTATTGCTTGCAAGTCATTTTTCCACAATCTCTATCACGGATCATCTCCTCTCGCGGAGTATAGTACTGCTTTGTGTTATGTTTTCATCCAGTGTTCTTGTTATTTTGTTTATTGCTTGTTTAACATTGTTATGGCAACTATGTAATTTTTGTTATTTTTTCCACTTTACCCAATTGTATAAAACTTTGTATCATCGCTTCCCCCTATGTAATGCCCTTTAGGGCCTTTAGGGTAAATAAATAAATTTGAGTTTGGGTGCCATTAGGCTTACTTGAAAATAAGAAGGAACAAAAACGAGCAGAAACTGGCGTGAGGTGGCAGTGGTGCAGACTTCTCCCAATATGACCGCACTTTAACGCAGAATGTGTTCTAGGCTGGGTTTGCTGAAGAAAAGTGACAAGTTACGCCCGAACAACGAGCTTGACCGACACACAAATCAAGGTGCCACCCGTCACCCTTCCGTTAGGACGTCATGACATCACGAGGTCACGTAACATGGTCGCAGAAGGTCACGTGACCTCACAACGTTACCTATACACATCACGTGCCCAGCTAATCTGCAACACATTTTGTAAGTTCATCAAATATAATCAAGACATGCTTATTACAGCAACAGCTGTTAGTGGGAACCTCCCTGGGGAATAGCGTTGCTGCTTTCCCCCGCTACTTCAAGCGTGCATGCGCAGTCGGAGCATGCGTCAAAATGCACCGAGCGCGAGCTCGAGGCCAGGCATTCGAAAGAGATGCCCTCCCGTTATCACTTTTGGCAGATTCGGGTGGTCATTTCCAAGCAAAGCGTCTTGCCATGTCTTCGGCAAGGGCGTTTCTGTGGTCAAAGGCTGGCGAGTGCAAGTTGTTTAAGTTGCAAAACAATGCTCAAATACTCTAGCCCTAGTAAAGTATTTCCAATACTTATACAATTAGTAAAGTATTTGCAATACAACAGCGGCAAATAGTGGGTTCGAGTCGCAAACGAATCATCAAAACACACTATTTTGTGCTCCAAGGCAAGATAACAAAAACAATGACGATAAATATAATTAATGTTTGAAAGGAAGCAAGCATTTTTGGAAGAATTTGTCTAGCTTACACTAGGTCAGTTTGCTCTGGGACATGGGCTGGATCACTATCCCTACATTATTTTTTTTACTACTGCGTAACAAAACGTTATTACACCGCCGGACAACAAATACTGTATGGATGGGGATGCAGTTCAACACTTAAACACACATTACAATGTCAACAAAAAAAGGGGGGGTTATGAAAAAACAAACGGGTTACAATAAAATATGAAAAGTGACGCTGGCATGCCTCCTTAAGATCCTCGTATAATGGATGGCAACAGTTCCTTGAAAATCCAAGCAAATCACATTGGAATTTGACGCGTGTGCGGGCAGCACCACATTAATTGATTAATCTGCCCTCCCATTAACTTTAAAATTCAAGATCCTGTAAGCTGCGCAGACTGTGGTAATGTTAATATTTCGAAAAATATTGCGAAGCAGCTTGTGTTTATACACATTTCAGAGAGTCAGATTTTGTGTTGTTGACGCATAAAATATCCTCATTGTACCATAGGTTAATCGAGGAAAAAGTTAACAAAGCTCACGTGCAACCCAGGCAAACAAAAACATCAGTTGCCGCTGCTTTGTGTTCAAGTGGTCAGGTGGTGCGTCACCAGCTCGTCTTTGGTCGCCTGTGCGACCGGCAAGGGCGCACCGGCAATCGACCACCCGAATTCGCCCTTTGACAGTGGCTGTAGCCGACACCCCGCTGTGTCGGCGCATGCAGACAACCGTTTAAGCAGGCGTATGGCACCTCGGAAAGTCCATAGCCTTTCCAAAGAATGCGACTTTCAGTTGCGGCATGCTGAGGACATGTCGCTGTGACAGACATTACGCGATAGGTTAAGTGCACTTGGATTTTTTCTGCAAGCCGGGCATCATGGTCACGAAAGGGGGTGCCTTGGTACGCAGGAGTTTGTGGACCTGTACGCCGACTTCCTGCTCAACAAGAGCGTGGAAAAGCAGTTCCGCGCCTTCCGGCGCGGATTTCTCCTGGTCACGGACGACTCGCCCCTCGAGACGCTCTTCCGGCCGGAAGAAGTGGAGCTGCTTGTGTGCGGAAGCAAGGTAAATGCCTCGTACTTGCAGCTGGTTAGAACTCGTTTTTTTTTTCTTAGTCTCTTTCTATTTCTCACTTTGTCTACCCTAGGTAGAGTGGAAATTTTCTGCTTGGCTACCCGCCGTAGAGGTCGTCCTATATTCTACAGCACAAGTTCTCAGGCTGAATTCCCCAGAGTACCCTCGTAGGATCCCCCGGGCTCGCAAATTTCCTAGTTCATCCCCGCCCCCAGTGAAGTTACAATCCAAGCGCTATGTTAGCAGAGCCATCCATCTAGGCATAACTACGAGCCAAACACTCCCTGGTATGTGGCTCATTGTTTACAAGCTTTGTCAGCTTCTACACTGCTGCCTTCTTAATGTCAACACCAATACTATTGAGGGTTCTTTGTTGTTGAGCCAGACGGGGGTGTTTTGGGACTGAAATGTTCGCGAATCCCCAGTCTACAACGAAGCACCGTAGAAATGTGACCCTGTTTTGATTAAAGCCAATAATGTGCTCCTCCAGACTGCACTTTGAGCCGGTAAATATGGTGCTTGTCACCACCTATCGCAAGTAAAATGCAAAACAGCATTGATGTCGTGTTTGTGTTGTGTCGCGCAGCGTGCATTTATGTAAACCCCGGAGTTCCGTAGCAAGTTTACTATATGTGGACATAACTTCAGTGGTATCAAACTGCCGATGCAAGGGACCAGTTTTGCGAAGCAGGATCGTTATTATAAGTCTATTTCGGTTATACGGAATGTATACATTAATGCTGTTTTAAGAGGTCTATCGTAAAGGACATTTTGTCGCTTTAAATCCGTACTAGCGCAATATTTTGTCGTTTATCACAGCGGTAGCTGTGATAAACGATGCTCATGTACAAAAAAGCCTCACTCTATGGCAGAGGCACCATTCTCCCACCCCCATCGTTCCTCACACATGCTCGTTAACTGCGGCGAGGTTATCTCTCACTCCCTTCCCTACCACCCTGTAGTGCGCCATTGTTAAAAAAAAAAAAAAACACAGGATCACGGGGAGAATGTTCCCTGCCCCCCCCCATCACTCTTGCTATGTCCAGATACCCTCCGGCAACACTCTCCCCGCCCCTCCGGCAGCTGCTATTGCGAAATACCCATGTGGTTGTGCTGTGCGGACACGCTCGCTCACTGCCCCACTACCGCCGCGCAGCTTCCGTTCTCACGTGCTCCCCGCGCCTCTACAGAAATGCTTGCACGTATAATTTCGCTTCTTGCGCCGCAGGCGCGGTCCCCCCCCCGTGCTAAAAGAAAGTTTTAGCAAGAAAAAAACGTGTCTCCGTGTCTTTCTTTAACATTGACAACATCTCGCACAATCATTCGACTAAAGCGCGCATCTCCTCACACGTGTCTCCTACATCAATTCCACTGAAAGCGAAGAACCCTTGCAAACATCATACAGCATACTGTCTGGAGGCAAATCTCCTTCAACGTGCCTTTCCACGATGCAGCGGCTGCCGCTGTCGATTCCAGCACACTTTGTGTGGTCGTTTGCAATTTTTTTTTTCTCGTTAGTATGAAACTAGTGCAGTACTGTGTGGTTGGTTGTTCTTCCAAGTCATGCATGTTCTGTAGCATCATTTGGGCATGCCAGTCGGCTGCTGTGTTCTCAACTTTGGTGTTTTTGTGCATCGGTGCTTTTGCTCGCTTTTCTCTCTTCAGAACTTTGACTTCAACGCTCTAGAAGAATCCACGGAGTACGACGGAGGTTACTGTGCAAACACCCCCATTATCAGGTGCGTAGCAAAGTTCACATAACCTCCAACTCCAGCAACGTCGGGTTTTTTCGTTGTGTATTTAATTTTAGCACCTTTTTAGTCTTTTTTTTGTGGTGGGTGATAATGAGAATTTTATTTTTTCGGTAAATACCGATAAACCCCGAAAAGTAATTCCCGGGTGGATTCGATCGAACAGAGATAAAACCGAAAAACCTCATATTTGAGCTCTCCTCAAGTAAGAGGTACCCAAGCTTCGGGGGAACCTAATCTTCATTCTTTGTATACTCAAAAGAGAGCTCCCAGGGGTGGTTTTGCTGCTCCATTTGCACCATTTCAAGAGATCCCTACTTGCCCGTGCCTTGCTGCACCCAATGGGAAAAGCCGTTAAAAAGTGTGCCAGACCGTTTATCCGTGTACAGGTTGGTTTTTGGGAGGGTTTGGAAGTCAAATAATTAATTAAATTTTGATCATTAACTTTTTAATTAGTGAAAGCAGACATGGTTCCAATTAGAAACTTGCTGAGCATCATTGAAATCCACTAAATCAGTAATTTTTTAACGTAGTAATAATGTGGAAATTTCTTTTTTTTTCTTTTTTGCATAATTTAGACACTTTTCAGAAAAAAACACTGAAAAGGAAAATTTTTAAACACCCTAGAAAAATTAAAAACCATAATAAATTTTCCGCAAAAAAAAACATTTTTATGGCCCTAGACTTGTTTTAGATGAAAGCTTTCAAAACGTGCGTGCAAAAAAATGGTACATAACGTCGCCATATGTGCACGCCAAAGGCAGCGTTCTCACTGACTACATCTCCTTACCTCTCAGCGGTCCTCCTTTCCACTTTTCTCGCGCATGTAATTTCGCAACGCGGAGTAGAGGTAAGGAGAGGATGCTGGCCTTGGCGTCTTAAAGTGCATGCATTTGAAAGCTGTAAAGTAAAACGAGTCTAGCGCCGTAAATAATATTACAAAAATATTTTTTTTGCAGCAGATCCTTTTGTAATATTTGTGATTTTTCCAAGTCATTTAATAACAATGATTTTTTTTTTTCTTATCAATGTTTTTTAAGTGATAAATTTAGACATCACCAAAATTAAAAAAAAAAAAAAGAAATGGAGTAGGCATAGGTTTATGTGGCCCGAATACGCCTTTGGTCGTGCTTACCGAGCCATGTCATAAACTTGGGCGTTTCATCAGCACCAAAAGTGACGCCAATAGCCGACAGTCCGCACGCAAACTAAGGAAGGTGGTGACGCTGTTCATCAATGCGGGGGAATGTGGCTTACCGAAAGTGCGAAGGCACTTTGGGAAGCTGTCTTCTGCCATCTCGTCGGGTCAAACGGGTGACCGTCCCCACTCTTTTTGCGACCATCTCCGTCCGTCGCGCAAGTGCTCGCTCGGCGTCGTCCGGCAAACGAGACGCCTCTTCATGGAGCGTCTGGCGGGGGCTGCGCAGGCACTTCTGGGAGCTGGTACACGAGTTCAGTCAGGAGCAGAAGCGCAAGCTGCTCCAGTTCGCCACGGGGAGCGACCGCGTCCCCGTCGGGGGCCTCTCCAAGCTCAAGCTGGTCGTCGCGCGCCACGGCACCGACTCCGACAGGTACGCACGGGGTCGTCGAGGCGGTGCGTGGCGGACGGCTTTCTGATCGTAACCGTGCACTTTTCCCGCAGGGCGAGTGAGCCTCGGCATGCGCTAGCCATGCTTGCTTCTTTCGTGTAAAAGATTCGAGGCGTGTCGGGAGTGCACGGCGCCATCTGTCGGGTAGTCGTGGAGCTGCGTACAACTAGACCGAAGGGGTTTTTTTTTTGCAGAGTTTGCGAGGTCAAATCTACACGCTCTCTGTGACGAGTGGTCGCTCATAACTAGGGTTCCTTTTTTTTTCTGATAAATTCATTAAAATCCGAAAAACGCTCGCTGGTAAAATTTTTTGCAGTTCGGGTTTATCCAAAACTCTAAATTTCAAAGTAACGATGGCAAAATAAAATAGGCAGTATTTTATGAATAAAGAGTGTCAGAGCAAACTTCTGGCAAAAAGCAATTCATTTTTTTTTTTTTTTTAAATTTTGGGCTATTGTTAAAAGTTTCTTGTTTATTCCGTCAAGGTTCGTCGAGTACGATGGGCCAATGTACTTTTGAGCCTTGACGAAGGCCGCTGGTCCAGTTTCCAGTTTGGACCATACTGTTTGCGCTTAGAGGGAGGAGGTGTTGTTTTTGTGAAACAGTGAATTTCATAGGGTGGGTTGGGCAGCTGAAGGTTGTGTGCTTGTTGGGCTATTTCAAGGTACTGAAGTTTATTGAAGCAACACTTGCTTTCAAGCAGCTTTGAACACATTAAAAACATGGCGGGACAACCAAAATTTTGAAATTTGTTTGAATTAACCGGAAGTATGAAATATGTGAGTGAATTATTGCGTGCCTACTGTAGTACTCTTGTTTGCACGGGTGCTTTCAAGTGCCCGGACGTACATGAAAAATGAGAAAATGAGCACTTTGTCCAGACGAGTGTTGAAAAACAAATTCATCTTGGAGTGGAGTGGCGCGTAGTCAACACCGTAAGCAAGACGAAAATGCGTGCAGTGAAGCTCGGCACTGCCTCCGTCGCGCCGCTTCTGTTGCCGCTATGCCATGCATGCTCGGTTTTGGGTCCAGATATTTTGCTAATGTGCAGCCTTGTGTCTAGATGGTGCTTCTTGACTACGTTGCTGCATACAGGCTTTTTACGCAGCAACGTGGTGCGAGCAACCGGACGCGACGCCTCGTCTTTTTCCTGGGACCTGTGTTTGAAGTTTTTATTTTCGATGCAAGGAAGGTGAAAAGGTAGACGGGTCGAGGAATGCGGACAGCAGCCGAATGTGGCTGGAAGCATTTCAGCGTGGAGAAAATCCAGCCAATTAGAATATCTGGCTGAAAGCAGTGTCTGCTGTGCTTGTACAATGCTGTAAAACTACTCTTCGTCGTTTGCGCAAAAGCCGCCACCGAACGACACACTTTGCCACCACTATGGAATACAACAATTCCCCTTCGAAAACTGTTGCACAAGCTGTGTGAAGTGCTATCAATGGTATAGACGTGCGGGCGTATCACTGTGCTAAGCTTTGTTTGCGCGAAAACACGCCGAAAGAGCACCTTAAGGTGCGCGCTCGAGTCCATGCCTCTCACATGCGCCGCGTACAACTAAAGTGTAAACGTTTGCATATTCGTCGCCGTTGTCCAATCAGTGAAGACGGTTGCCTCCGAGCACATATGCAATCACAAAGGCTAGGCAACAACAATTGTACGAAGCAAACAAATAAAAAATTATCCTTTATCGACAAACACAAGATACCCCGAGAAAGACACTGCCATTTGGAGGGCCTGCGTGACTGCTTTTTTTGGCGGCGATGGCGACCGAAACGCAAGCTTTCTTCTCCGTGTGAATGCGCCTTAATTGTTTGGACCTGAAACCGAGAATAACATGCGGCGCAATAATGGTTTCAACCGTTGCCTTTGCCGCAGCATTCCTTTCCTCTACACCGGTCACTTGCGGGCAACGATTTCTGTGAAACCGATAACTTCTCACGTAGAAAATTCGTGATACTAGTCATTTTTGCTTCTTGGGGTGGCGAAATCGCTTCGTCAAACAGAAATATTTGTTAAACGGGAATTTGTTTTAGTGCTCAGAGAAGCAAATTGAATACGTGGAAGATTGGCCAGGACTTTATCTGACTTCGCTAAACGGTTGTTTTCGTGGTTGAGGCGTCGGGTATAAAGGCGTCTGACGGAGCCCAGAACACTCGGGCTTTGCTGTTCCTTGCGTCTCGAAATGTCTTGTGCTGCATCAAAAAGCAGGCACGGTCCTCGCGGTTGTCGAAGAAGCCTGTCGCCCCCGTGCGGGAAGTATCTTTTTCGATGCTTCCCGCACGGGGGCGACAGGCTTCTGCGGTGGTGCGGCCAGTGCCTGAAACACCGTTTTAACTTCGAGACGCGACACGGCATGACGCCACCTTCGCGTAAGACCCAATGCGTATCCGCGCAAACGTTGACGCGTCGGCTTTGTTCGAAGGACGATTGGGGTCGACGGGCTTATTCGCGTTCGTGTGAACGGGGGTGCTAACGTTCCCGAAGGACGGAAAAGCGTTTCGTGCAACGTCGGATCGAGCTTCGATAACTGGCAACATTGACTTTAAGCACCAAAATGGCACAAGTGTAGTTACTCTAAACCGAATTCTGGCTAGCTCCTTGCGGCTCTTTCAGGGACCCAGGTGCGGCTCGTGGCTCCGTGGTAAGCCTACCCCTACCCCCCCCAACAAGGTCAGAAGGAAAGGAAGACATATAGAAAAAAATGCAGCTTGTGTTTTGTCAGCTTCATGTCATAGTATGCACGTCAGACGTGGCCCTCGTTTCACGAACGGGGACTCGCGACGAAGAAACCTATAAAGTAAAGTTTATCGTGGCCGCCAACTGAAAAAAAATTAAAGGAAAAGTGCCACACCTCATTTTTATTGCGACTCTTCACTTGGAATGCTTCCTTTTTATGGCTCTATGAATTCGTCTGCGTGACCGCTCGTGCTCTAGAGCGTGGCCTTCTCGTCTGCTTCGGGCACGGCGACCAAGCTCGGCGGGATTGCTCTCCTCCAGGTTGCCGACGGCCCACACCTGCTTCAACGTGCTGCTCCTGCCCGAATACTCGTCCAAGGAGAAGCTCGAGGACCGACTGCTGAAGGCCATCAACTATTCCAAGGGCTTCGGCATGTTTTGATGCTCGGCGCAGCCGTCCTACTTGTACCGCCCCACTCCACCCTCCCGCATACTTCTCCGTCGTGTCCGGGGACACCGAGCGAGGGTCGTTGCTCCGGGGCTTGTGTTGGCGGCACCACCCAGAAGCTGCGTTGCGAGAATCTGGAGCAAAACTCTTCGCTTCCGCCGCGAACGAAACGGAGTTGGAAAAGGTTTTTTACGGGCTTGGCCGTTATTGTTTCCGTTGAGTTGCATTTCGATTTTCCCAGAGTTATTAGGGCCAAATTGGGTGCGTGCTAAGATAACCGACGCTTAAAGTGGCACTACAGTGGTTTCTGAGATACTCTTGGTGATAATGCAATGTACGTACGTGTGATCTCCCTTTTCAATACTGAATCAAAGATCACAATGTGCCCGTTCCTTTTTTTGCGATTCGGCGCAAAAGTTGGAGGATGTCGTTGGACGTGCGACAGCTAATTGCGAGTGATCGCTATTGCGCGCGAATAGCACACATTTGGAAATCGTTTTGCCATTGGACGGCCCCCATGCCGCGTGGGAACCGATCGCTCGCCATTGGCTGTTGCACATACTATGGTGCCCTTCGATTTCTGCGCCGCATTGCAGAAAAATGGACTAGTCACGACCTTTGATTTCACCTTTTAGGGGGGACGTGGGCCTAAATTTTAAATTTTTTTGAAAAAATTCATTTTTTAATTTTGAAGTTTTCAGTTTTAGAAACTAATTATACACCCTTGCACTAAATTCGATAACCATATGCCAAATAGTTACGTAGATATAAAATATTTTCCACACATTGTGAGGCAGTAACAAAGTAAAGGAGTTCAATGTTTGAATGCATTTTTCTCAGTTCCACTTTTTGCTGCAAATTTCATACAAAGGAATCTTTTGTTCGAAGGTGAAAGTATTCTTATACAGCAATCAAGATGTTTCTGAACTTAAATTTACTTAGGAATCGGGCTATCTACTTTATTTTGTTATACGTTGAAGTCCTCAGCGATAAAAAACCAAGTTTTCAAAAATTGACGGAGGACAGATATGCATCTCATAGTTTGAGGTAATAACTCTTCCTGAAATATTTACATTTAAGTTATTAACACTAGGTAGCCCGAGGTCCCATATCCCCTACTTTATATTCAAGCAGTCAAAATGATGCTTAATAGCTTGATTTGCATATCATGGATTCCTTAATGAAAAGTGACACATCATCTTATGCAGGTATGTAAATTTGTCCTAGAGAGCTGAAAGTTTGCACAGTACACCTACATCTGAAGCTAAACCTGCCCTGCAAATTTCATTCCAATTACTTGAGTAGGTCAAAAGTTTGACCTCTAGCCAGTGTCCCTCTAGCCAGTGTCCCCCCTTAGAAGGAAAATCGGACGCATATCAATATCTCGGGTTTTTTTTATAATGCTTTCAGCCCTTGGATTGTGTTATGACCGTAAATAGACGGTCTCAGAAACCACTTTAGTGCCCCTTTAAAATAAGGAAGCTTTGGCAGTTGTCATTTTGTTGTTTTTGTCTGACGTGGCGGAGGCAACATTTCGTTGTCCCTCTGATGTTTGTTTGCAAGCTACGGCCAGAGAAAAGTGAAAAATGCTACTTTTTGGGCTCAAATGCCAGGCACTTTGCAGTGCATTTTTGTGCGGCCTCAATTTCTTCCACTGGTCTCGTTGTTTTTAGCGAAACCCTAGGAGGAAAGGATTCTCTGTGTAACAAATTTTTTTTTTTGCCCCTATATATATATATTTTTTTTTTTTTATGCCAGTCATTTTAGGAGGCAGCGAAACTGTGAAAGAAGGTGCTTACCAAGTCTCGAAAGTGTACCTTCTTTATTCGTCTCGTGGCAGCGTCTGCTGCGGAAGCGACGGTAGAGTGTCTGGGGTAAGGGGTTATGGAGGGCGTGCTGCAACCCTCGGGGGCTCCCTCTGTCTGTGCATACGGATATCTTGTAAATACGGGAACCTTCCTGTTGCAGCGGGAGCTTCACGGTGTTCTTTTGTATATGTTCTTGTCGTTCGATGGCCGGTCCAAGTCGGTTTTGTGCGGGCCGTTTCCTTTTATATCCCGAGACGAGGCAACCGAGGGATGTGCAGAAAGGTAAAAGTAACGAGAGAGAGAAAAAAAAAAAAAAGGAAATTGCTGTGTCCGTTGTGCGAAGGAGGAACCCAATTTTTCGCAACAATTGTGATGAACAAAATGAGCGACGCATCGAGGAGCTGGCATCGCGGTGCGCCTCGGGTACGTCGAAAATTTTGTGCGAAATTCGTTTAGGATCAAAATGTAGAGTTTTCGGAATTATAGGGAAGCTTTGTGTAAAGGCGGGGTTTAGCAAAATAAATGTGCAAACGTTTTTGTTTTTGCGATGCGAATCATGCTTGAGGGTATCGGGAGTTGTGGGGTGTGGGGTAGGGAGGGGGCGGGGGGTGGCGGGTTGCGCACACGCGAATATACAGAAATGGTTTGTAATATTGAGACTAGTAACTCGGACAACTTCCTGTTGTAGCGATTACCAGACATATAATGGTATGAAGATTGTACTGCCTGCTTGTTGCCACAGTCCTTAGATTACCTGGTCTGGAATCTTTCCGTTACGCTATGGGAAAGTTTTCTAGGGACAAATGAAAGCCCCGGAAGTGCGCTGCCGACGTCGGAAGTCGACCAGTCGGATCGCTCGGAGAACCTGATGGACGAACGTGGCTTCGGAGGAGCCACCGGGGAGAAAAGCGCTGGATGCGTGTGCTCTTTCGTAAAAAAAACCCCGCCGTGTCGAAAAGGTGGACGATTGGAAATGGCCATCTATACTGGAGACGTAGGAGTCATTGTTTCCGAGTGATTGAAAAGTGCACATTAAGGATGCTACATATCCTCTAAAGTTATTATCAATAATTTTCGAGACAATTTTTGTTTTCCTTTTTGAAACTTTTATTTGTTTCGACGCCACTTGTGGTGACACAGTTTACCATGGGGGAAACCACCGAAGCTTCCAGATCAGAAAGCAGTCTATCTAATGACCGTGTTATTACAGGGGTGGGGTGGGGGGAGGGGAATGATGGCTCGGAATCTTCGTCATCGTCCCAATCATCCTGGCCTTGCGGTGATACAAGTCTGGCAGCTCCAGCCTTTCTGTACTACACCTTAGGTATGGTGTCTGAAACACGTCTCCAACTGGTGTGCCTACCACGTCCTAAAAAGTCATCCCTCAATTTCCGCCTAATGACGTCAAAGTGCTGCTTTGTCACCGGCATCTTCCCGGGCTGTGTCACGGCAGCGGACATGGCAGACGTCTCTTCTGTTGTGGGTTGCTCTCCAGCTGCACAGTCACGGAGTCTTCGGCAGCCGGAAGTCGGGACGCCCCGACGACGGCGACACTCGCATTCCCCCGTGCTTTTTTTTTTTTCCAGAGCTTTGACACTTAATTACCAGGATCGCGACATCTGACTGTGTGACACTCCAGCCTTTGTGACGTCGTTCGTTGCCGTTGCGGGACCGGTCTCGATGCACCGTGCAATACGACACTAAACGCACCGGACGAAGACTGGGTCCGGGCACTGTAACCTAAGACCTGAGAGCCATCCTCGAGAAGAGGCCATCTTTTCTTCGAAGCAGTTCCCTGGGGGTGCCTTGCTCAGCCACTTTTCCAGCATTCATCAGTAGGATTCTGCATGAGAAAAGTCGGCTATTAAAGCATAGCACTGCATCTAATGTATGCCACATACTAGGTGCATACCATATTGATTTGCACTTTATTATTTCGTAGGCACGTGCGAATAGTAAATTTTGAGTTGGAAGTGGATAGTGGGTTTGGCCAAATATTTTCTAATTCAATAGTTTCTCTGTCTTCCACTGCCGTGCTCCGTGCTTAAACAAAAATTCGACTGAACTCGTGAAGGTTGTCCACTTCTAAGCTCGGTCGATCTTCATATGTAGGTAACTATATGAACCAGTGACTGATTCGAAGGGGGGGGGGACTTGATTTGAGCCCCACCCAAGGCATATGAACCCCCCTCCCCTCCCACCCCCCGGTGATGCTGTGCAGACTGCACACAACAGAACCTGGAACGAGACTTTGATGAATTCTAAACATTCTTATCCGAGCTCAGAAAATTCATACTTTCAAAGTTCGTAATTTGAACACTTTACAGTCAATCCTCCGAGCTGTTTGTCCAAACCATGTATAGGTGTATTTTCCTGCGACTTGCCAATTAAGATTATAAGCAGGGGCCCCCAAGCGTCAAGGTGCACCTGCATCCCCGTGACAGCGCAGCATCGAAAAAGACGACAAGCCTGTTTCTATTTAACAATGGACCTTTTCCGAGAAGCATTTTGCGCACGCGCGAGCGCCGGATGCCAAGCGGCGGAAGTCGGAACGAAAAATCGAGGAAATTCGGAAGGAGGCTGTATATCGGCGAGTAGAACACGTAACTGCAGCATATATGTATAATTGTGTTACACAAAAAACGAATGTCGACGGAAAGGAAAACACGACGTTTGGGTGGACGCCACGGATGCCCCTCTTTCAAGTCGCGTTGGGCAGGCGCCGCTGCTCAGAGAGCGAAGAAACTGGTAGCGTAGCTCCTATTATCGATTGGTAGCGCAGGTAGGTCACTTCCTCGATTTTTAGTTTGTGCAGCCACTGCCTGGTGCCGTCGGTATGTGGAAAAGGTCCATTGGCTTTAGAGTAGCGACGACCTTCACCGTTGTCCTCGAAGGGCTTCACCCGACCTGAAGGGATTAAATGTCACCATCTTCAAACAGAAAAAAGGATGTAGAAAATAAGCAGATTTGAGCACGACAGAAATAGGAAACCCTTTGGAAGGCGTCTGGGCGATTGATCTTTGAGGGTCATTACTTTCCTTCGGGCACCCTGTCCAGGCGAGCTGCCTCCAAGCTACCATTAGCACTTCAGAGTGGGAAAGGCAACGGGTTATCAACTTGGAAAACCTTTTGTTGCCATTCCCGAGAATTCAGTCGGAGAGGTAAAAAGAGAGCAGCTAGCGTTAATAGGAAGTTTTCGCAGACGGTTTTCGCCGTCCTGCAACGGTCTCCGCAACCCGCCACGATACCCGGAACTCTACAGTGAAGGCCATCGGCTTCGTTGCGGAGGGCTTAGCGGAGGGGGGAACGCAGTCTACAAAAACTCCCTATTGTGAACAATCTCAACATTATTGACTGTCACTCCGATCTCTTCGGGTCCCTGCATTGGGACACTGAAAAATTGGCTTAGACGAAGGTGCTCAAGCCTAGACCTTATGGCCACCCTGAATGGCAACAAGCAATTGAATTTGATTCCCAGGATTTGTGATTAGAGTTTGTTTCTGTATAGTGTCTGAGCCTACCAAGTCTTGCTTGCCCGTTTCTACCTTATCGGATACATCACGTGCAGCGCAGCGAAAATGGTAAGCCTTCTTATATTGCCCTTAACTAATTTAGTGCTTGTTTTTCTGGTTATATGTTGAAACAATAGAGTCAGGCTAGAAGTGTACTCGGGACATAATTTGATAAAATATTCTCGCTTCTTTTGTAGGCCAAGACCTTATTGTAGCACGCATTCTGGTGTAGAGCTTTTTGGCAAATGTTTCGTCACTTAATAGCCGACGCACAAATTTCTTGTGGCAGTCTGAAAATCTGAAATTTATTACGAGGATCCGAAAGAGATGTCTAATTGAACTCGACGCCAGTGATCAGAGGTTCTGTCGCACATGAGTAGGGTCGAGTCTTTTTGGTAAATAATGAAATAGCCGAAAATTAACTTCCAAACTAATTTTATCAAAATAAAAAAAAAAAAAAATTAAAAAAAAAGTGAATTTAAGATTTGTAGGAAGAAAACCCGTACTACAGCTTTATTTTGTTTTGAACGGGAGCACCGCCCACACTAAACTGTCCAAGAGGCTGCTGCTCGTATCGGTACTGGATTCACGCATGCTCCATTGGAGGTAGGAGAATCTTATGCCCTTCGTTAACACAAGTCCCGATAAACTCCGATTGTTTTCTCGAGTCGGCCTGGACAACCTCCAGAGCGCCGTCTAGCTAGAGCTTTCATTGCTTCGAGCGCGTCTCCACGCATTGGTGCTGCTTAGCTCATAGGTTTGGTAGGGTTTCGTGTTCTCGGTGTTTATTTTTGTTGAAATTCGTGGACGCTTTTTCAGGGTTCACTTTTTCTCGCAGATTCGGTGTTCTTTGGTGACAAATTTTAGTGTTGGCCAAAAAATGGGGTTTGTCGGATATTATGTCGAAGAAAAGGGGGCATGTGGCTTCCCAACCTCCGCAGAATGTTCGCGTGACCAAAATAATCGAAAAACTTCTCCGTACCGAGGAAAAAAAGAAACGAGAAGTTGGGAAGCAAAAACCAGCCTCGCGGACAGTTCATTTCAGGCAGTGTTTTGTGCCAAACTAGTACTAGATGAAATTTTTTTTTAGCAATGTTTTTTTTTTTTTTTTTTATTCAAGGATAGATTTCGATAAAACTGATTCGGGGGTTAATTCTCGTGGTTTATCTGGATTTACCAAAAAACAGTGCTAAATCGGAGTCTGCGGTCATGCGAAGCGAGCAGAGTTAAATCAACGCTCCATTATCTCGCACTTCGAAGCGGGAGATATCGCAATCGCGTCTTGAATTGCGGCACTTCGTGTCGCTGAGGAGAAAAGACCTGTCTCTGCTATTTATACGTGCGTTCAGGCAAAGATCAAACACGCAATGATGTGTGCTGCGGCTGTTCCCTCTCTGTACCCCCTTTCCATGGGGGAGGCTCCTCTGGATCCGCCCCCGATGTGAACTATAGCGTGTATACGACAGGTTTGTCGCAGCTATCCTAATCGAGAGGATTTATAAATGTAATTGCTATATTCAAATACTGATTCGCCTATTTCGAATGCGACAACAAAATAAATGGAGCAGTCCTGCGTTCATCCACAGTATAGTACGTTACGGCAAGGTCGTTGGGCACTGTGTTTGCGCTTCATGGGGTTTGTGAACAAAAGCGTATGGAATAAAATAGACATCAGACCATTTTGTTTCGAAGGCTTTTGTTTCTTTTTTTTATCCAGAGTGTGTGAATGCGCGCCTCTTGGCACGAGCTCTTGGCATTCAAGTGCCACAAAGGCATTTTGGCATCTGCTATTTCTTTTTTTCTTAACCCAGGTTTGATTCCCACAGGCAGCGGGCAATCTTTTTCAAATGCCCTACGTCGCCAACTACAACATCAACAGCAACTTCTACAACTACAACATGAACAACTACAACGTCAACAACGGACGTTGTTTCCAGTGGTTGGAAGAGCTTATAACAACCGTTGCTTTAAAGGGACACTGACATTCCCAAAATTTCTTTTTCCATTTTTTGCCAGACGCTTCATTATGGTGTCGGAGGACTGCCCAATTAATATTTTGCAACGGAGTAGCGTACTTTTTAATAAAGCCAAAAGACGCAACTGCTCGAAACCGAAACCCGACGGAGGTCGGAGAAGTGGAGAGAAGAGAGTGAGTGGCGGAAGTCACGTGACTACACCCGACCGTGCGTTTTTTTTTTTTTTTTTTTTTTTTTTTCTCTCTTCTCCGTAGCAGACGACACGACATGCGGCGTACGGGACCCAGCTGTTCGCTTTTGCAGTTATGATTGTTCCGCTCGTTGTTCTGAACTCCAAGATGAGTTGTTTTGTACATTGAGGAGTTGGAGATGAGTATTGAGTGCCCGTGGTGAATTTCCATGATCGGCTCCGAAAAGAATACACCCAAGATGTTGCGTGAAGAGCTGGCTCACATGTCCTGCATCCGAAAAAAAAGGCATTGTGCGGCAGAGTTTCCGAAAGATCAACGGGATCGGGACCAATGGCTGGCTGCAATTCCTGTAGAACATTTACCGGCACCTCGGAAAGCGGACGCTACCTGATTTATATGCTCCTTGCATTTTGTGGAAAGTGATTACATTGAGTTCGCAAGTGTCAAAAAGGAAATCCCATACCATTTAACTCAGCGAAGTGTCGTCCACAACATTTGTTTTTTTTTTTTTTTCTTCCATGATAATTGTAAAAAAAAAAAAAAAAATGTGTAAACATCGGAAAATGTTTGAAAAAAAAAAATTCACGGGGGATCGATCCCGGTCCTACCGAGTATGAAGCGGACGTCTTTTTTACTGAGCTACTGTGGCACTTTTTTTTTTTTTCTTTATTGCATGGAAGCACAGACGGTGGGCACATAGATCATAGTTACAGTTTTGAAACGAGAATGCACTGAGATTATACAAGCTTATTCAGATACATTTTCACCAGCACTTTTACAATTCAGACAAATTTGCATAGCTCTTCGGGTGCGCAGGACTGACTCGGCTGTATCAGAAATCAGGAAACAAAAGGCACTTTTCAAGTCGCCAGTACCATCTTGGCTTTTCCCCGAGTTCATCAAGGACACTTATTACGTGATTGCATGTTTCGATAAAATTTGATTTGGTAGTTCTTGGTGGTTCAGCGTTTCTGTCTATCATGCGAGTCTTCCAGAGACTATGCATACCAAGCAAAATAAAAAAATCTGAGGGAAATGTGTCTGGATCTTCCACAGGAAGAAAACGAATAGAGTATGCGTTGATATACAAGTCCTTTTTGATAGTCCTTTGAAGCATATCCCAGAAAAGGTATGCATCTGTGCAAAAAATAAAGCAATGCTCAA